TAATTGTCTTTAAATAGGTTTAAATTCTTAGCAGTCATATTAACCCCCAAGTATTTTACTTTCTTAACCAATGTTAAACCTGTCTCCTTCTGAAACCTCTCTTTCTCAATCGGTGTTAGATTTTTCTCAAGCACCTTAGTTTTTAACTTGTTCAACTTAAATCCTGCCACATGACCAAATTCCTGAATCAATTCTAATACTCTTTTAGTACTAGATTCTGGCTCCTGTAACGTCAATACCAAATCATCTGCAAAAGCTTTCAATTTGTACTGTTTAGCTCCGACCTGTATACCTTTAACCAAACGGTCCCTTCTAATTATATTAGCAAAACCTCCAGAACCGAAATAAACAACAATGGGAAAATTGGGCAGCCTTATCGTGTCCCTTTCTCTATCTTAAATTCCTCTGTCACCACATTGTTAACTATTAGTTTGGCCTTTTGTTCTGAGTAAATTGCACTTATACCATTTTCAAACCCTTGACCAACCCCCATCCCCTGAAGGTTTTTCTTCATGAAACTCCAAGAAATATTGTCGAAGGCTTTCTCCGCATCTACAAAAATTAAAACAACTTTAGTATTAATATTCACTTGTAACATCTCCAAAATGTTAATTATATTTCTCGTATTGTCAGACAAGTGTCTAGTCAGGAGAAAGCCAGCTTGGTCTTTGTGTATCTCCTCCACTAATACTTTTTTTAACCTTTTAGCCAAAATATCTGCAAAAATTTTATAATCCACATTAAGCAGGGATATGGGGCGGTAGTGGAACTACTTGATAGTATAGCAAGGAAATGTTGAAGCAGCTTCCATGGGATAACTTCTGGGGATTTTTAGTGATAAATATTTACAAAGGAAGCTAGTATAAAACTGAGTGCAATTCATTTTATTTGCTTGCAAGATTGCTATACAGTTACATGTTGCTGCCTTAATCCAGTTATTTGCAGTGGCCTCAGAAGGGCCTCTTCTTCCTTTTTACTGAGGTGGAAACTCTATACAGACATCTTGCACCTGGAACTATCCCACCAGTGGCGTAGCGTGGGGGGGCAGGGGGGGCCGGCTGCACCGGGCGCAACATCTGGGGGTTAGGGTTAGGGGGCGCAAATCCACGGGTTAGGGGGCGCAAATTCACAGGTTAGGGGGCGCAAATTACTTGCCTTGCCCCGGGTGCTGACAACCCACGCTACGCCACTGTATCCCACCACTGAATTGCAAATAAGTAAGCTCCATTTTCACCTTAAAAGTACACAGGGCCCCAGAAAGCAGATTTACTACAAACTTGATTGCTGGTTTCATTATGGTACTCCATTTGAGGAATGAGAACACAAACCAAACCCCAAAAACTTGGAGGCAATTTTAATGTTTTCAGCCCTGGGTGAATACCTTTATATTCTTCCCAGACTTTCAAAAGGCCTCAATCAGTTTTTTATTTTTATTTTTTTGGTGGAATGCTGCTTATATATTTTTGTTATTTTTCTATTCCGTGATTTTTGTGTCTGCAGGTACTCACTAGGTTCTCCCCCTATTGCACACTGACACTCACAGCACTCTTTAAAAAAAATGCAGGTAATAGTGACCATTATATTTACAAACTGCTCTGGAAGCTGATGTTGAAGAGCAGTATAGATCTTTCCTAAGAAATACAATATACCAACAAATGAGGAACAAGCAGATTTCATATGAATATGCCTATAACAAGTATTCTTTTCTTTTTTAAAAAAAACACACACACTCATTTAATCCACAGGTAGGGCTCAGGCAAATCCCAACAAGGCCAGTGAGCATCTTTTGTAGCCCTGAGAGAGGCAGGGGTCAGCATACACAAACATGTGCAACACTGGTGCTGGGATGAGCCATAGAGCTATTTAAACCCCAGGCAGGCCCCTCTCATGTCTCTTTGTATTATCAGGGACTGCCCACCCCACTCTTGTTCACCCTGTACTCGATGTCAGAGGGCATTAAGGGCCCAATGGGGCAGTGTCTTTAAACAGATGAATTAATCACATTTGGCAGGAAAGTGTAGGGAACAGGTGCACCCTGAGGCAGATTCTCATGGGTGTCCCCAGAGGCCAACTGCTAGGAGCTGTGCGGCCCTTCGCATGGATATGGAACATATTTGAGGCTAATCTGCCTCACCTGCCTGGAGGTCAGAACGAGCTCTACAAGCACCCTAATAGTCCGGGTAAAGGGATCATCGCCCTGTTTGTGTCCCTTGCTTGGGGACACAATTTGGCATCTGATATAGTTTGGTTGTCCACACTGTTTATTATCAACATAGCTGTTTAAATAAAATGTGGCCCATGTTCTACTGTGTGTCTTGCCTCTTATTTCCTGGTTTCTGGTTCCTGTCACAAGAGCTTTACTCCATGTAAATTTACACCATGTGGATTTTCCAGAAACATTCCCTTCTATCAGCAGTGACAGATTGTAGATGAAGCAACTTCAATCTAATTTGTGTCACTGCTTGTTTTTTCTTGTGAGCATGCATTGCTTTAGATGGCAATAGATGTATCTCATACTAGGAATGAGTCTGTCAGTGGTGTTTATTTTCTCCATTCTTGTTCACCTTCCATATTAAATGGTACCATCTCTAAATAGCAAGATGAGGACTTGTTTGAATTCAGAGGACAGTCACAGCAGTCTTAAGTTGACAGGAATTCAAGAGGTGGCCACTTAACCTTATTTGAATGGGGTGGGAAACTGGATCTCAAGACTAACAATCAAATTCATTAAAAGGAATTGTACAGTTTATGGATATAGCTTTGTGAGGAAGTAGGTTGACTTACAGCTCAAGCGGCCTTGGTGTGAGACCAAGTATGTATTCTGAGTTAAAATAAGAAAACAATTTTCTCTGTGTTGATAATTTCAGAGTTCCCCCCTGCCTTCCATATTAATGAGCTAGAGACGAAGGATGAAAAGCAGTCCAACTGGAAACAGGACTGACATAGTTTGTTGTTTGCTGTGAACTTTCTGAAATATTAGTTGCTTTCACATTTCATATTATATATGGTGCCTTTTAGTGAACAAAGATAATGAGGTCTTAATTTGTCAAAAGCTGATCCACATTTAATTGCTGAAGTTAGTTTTAGGGGTGTTTCTGAGTTTTACCATGACAGCTACTTAAGGGCACTGGCTTCGCACATATAAAGGCCTCAAGTTCAATGTGTGACATTTTGGGTAGTGGACTAGGAAAGGCCCCAATTTGGAAAATTGCTACCAGTCAGATTACTGATCAAATGGGATGGGATGGTAAACATATCATTAGAAACAATGTCAGGCTAAAAAAGAATTAAAGGTCATAGGAAACTCTTGGTTTTCATCCGGACTGTAGAATATGAGGAAGGTTTAACCCCTTCCTCCCAGCCACTATCCTGATGAAATCTGCCTGCCCCCTGCAGTAATGTTAACTTTTGAAAGACAGCTTCCATTGGCAGCAATGGGAGAGGGCTTCCCCCTACCACCCTTAAGGCTTAGAGCATGGGGGTGATTTTCATCTAGATCGGGGCTGTCCAACAGGTAGATCGTGATCCACTGGTAGATCGTGGGGTGTTCGTGGTAGATCGTGAGCCCCCCTTCCCAAATGTTGACTTCCCCAAAAAAGCTCAACTTTGGTAGATCACTGCCAGTTTTTTTATAGTGGTAGTAGATCTCAGTCTCTTGAAAGTTGGACATGCCTGATCTAGATCATAGCTAAGGAGGGAAAGGTTAACCACATGCTGTGGTCCTACTGAAAAATAACCCATGCTCCTACGTTTACAATTATGATTATTAAATTCATTTTAGCTTCTAATGACACATTTCTAATGACAAAGTTGGCTCCAAGTATAACTGTGCTACAAGTACAAATGGTCTCTCATGCTAGAGAAATTTATTTTGGAAACAAATAATTCAAAAGTTATATTCACTAGAAACTCCATCCCCGCCTCCAAAAAAAAAGAAAAAGAATTATTGAACACCAAGGAGAAATGGCAGTTATCTTCATTATCCCCTTTCCAGAGAAATCTGGGTGGTTAGATTCCACTGCTGGAGTCAAGGGGGCTGAGAGGCTGAGCTAGCCAGACCTTGTTTCTGCTTTAGCAAGCCATTAAAAATATATACTCAAGTTCTGAAGCACAATCCATAGAGAATTAAAGGAGGGGGAGCAGTATTGGTCAGAAATGAGAGGCATTTTTCTTCAAGAAATATATTGTTACTATTCAACAAAGTGGATTTTTTAAATAAAAAGAACCATTATGAATCCAACTTCTTTCTGGGCCAAGAAAACACATATCCATTTTAGCAATGTGATTCATGCAAAAAGACCTTCACAAGCAGCTTAAGCAATTGGCACCCAGACAATTATGTAGACAAATGTGGGCACTATGGCAAAGGGTGAATTTGCAAAGCTGGTTTCTCAGAAAGCTTCCTGGAAACAGTGGGAACTGGTTGGCTACATCGCCATGAAACCATAGCTTAAAATGAACTATGGTTTAACATGACATGTAAAGTACCTCCGTGTTTGAGCATGCATCTTCAGATACCTTGCCCTCCTAGTCAGCAGCAGACCATTTGAAAAGGATGGTGGTAGGAAAGATAGGCTGCTGTCCTTCCACAGAAATGAGGTGGAGAAAAAGGAGCAAGGGACAGCCTCTTAGAGTTCTGCAAATCAGAAAGAGCATCTCACTACCTCCAGTTCCGATAAACTTTACAGCTCTGGCTCTGAATGCCAAAATAGGGACTTGGAAGGAGGGTCCACACAGACCAAAATAAAATTATATGCTCATTTTAAAATGCAATAATTTGAGATTTAATGTTCAGTGGAAAACGATAAAATAACTATTGCAATTAATTAGAGGGTAAGAGGGTTATTTTAGTCATATTAAGCTTTCATTAATATGCTGCAGCAGAACTTTGAATTAGTTAAATTACTGTTGTAAAATGGCATATTAAAAGTGAGACATGGTATTTGAAATAAAACAGGAATGTACGCATAAAATCAAAGAGCCTAAAATTATTTATCTTTGATTCAAACCTTTTTTTTTATTAAAGTATGAATGCCTTTACATTGCAGAATAGTTTACATACATTGGAAAGCAATAAGCATATTATTTTCAAGAGGTGCAAGTCCTCCTCAGTATGTTCCCATGATCAATCTACATGCTGTGACACTGATCGCACACGCAGACACACACACACACACTCACACAAACATACAAAGTATACATATTCACACACAATGGAACAGACCGCTAGAGCTATCTGCTTTGATTAGCTTTCTTTTAAGGCTTCTGTAAGGTGCCCTCGTGCCCCTAACATTACCACGATTTATGAACAAGACTATATGTATAAAGGAGCAGCGTTATCTGCAACCTATTAATCAGCGCTTGGCCTTTAAACATTATTTTTTTTTAAAAGAAACAAATAAACAACTTTCTCAAGTTATGAACCCTTTCATCTGTGACCAGAAAAGGGTTCTGGAAATATTAGTATGAGGTTTTGAATCACAACAAATAATCTGCTTTCAAACCTGATCCCTTTCCACTGTAAGACACCCTGTGATCAAACTGGACCTAAGAAATGATACCCAAGGAAGTGGGGGCAATATGGACATAGCTGGTGGCAAGACTGCTGTGGAACTAAGGGTCTCATACCATGCCAGAACTGAGGGAAAGCATGTGAGGCAGCTTAACTATTAACTATCCAGGATCTTTATTTTGAAGCTATTTATATACTGCTTAATTACCGAAGTTTATCATTAATTACCAAATTACAGTCTCTCACAATCTTCAGCAGTGGTTCGGTCGTCCCAGGCATTCAAAAACAGTTCACAATCAGGTCCCCCAGCTCCCCAACCTGCCTTCTGGTATCCCTGGAAGTTTGTATTTAAAAACTATAGGGCTAAAGTGGAAAATGAGTGGCTGCAGATACATTAAAAAGGTAAAATAAAATAAAATATAGCATATGATTATAGTGTGTAAATATAAGCATCTCTGAATATTCAAACTGTGAAATGTGAGTTTATGTAGATTTTCAGGCTGTTAATCTAAAAGACTGCAGGTAGCTACTTCAATCTGGAGACGGTCAACAGGATTAGCAGTAGGCCACCAAATTGTATTTTCTTCTCTAGAAATGGATCCCATTTGCAACTGTATTAAGACTCTAGCAACAAATCCTAGAGGATTCTATCATTAGAATTGTTCACTTGTTTCAACAAGCAAAACTGAAATAATTTATTATCTTTATGAGACGAGCCTGAACTGTGAGGGCCAAAATGGGGCTGGAAGCTGTGGCTGAAGGTAAAATGGAAACACAAGTAAAAATGTTTCGTCACATTTTTAAACAGCAGCAGCAGATTTCAATGTGGTGCAGTTATTATAAAGATGCATATATTTTAGGGAATTTACTGAATTGCTTCTTTATTTTGAAAAGCTGATCAGTCACATGTTGGGCGCCCCATCACTCCCACATTGAACTGTTGCTTATTCATCTATATGCTTCTATTCCCAGGGCCATTTTCTGCTTTTGCTTAACCAGTAATGAGTTCAAGTCAGCCGTCGTCAGATTCCAATTCTTGAGACATTTCTTCAGATGAGCTATTCCTGTGGATCCGTCCATCACTCTTCATGCTATGGAAAGTCTTCTTAAAGGCCTCCATCATGGCATGAGCCAACTTCTTGGCCTCTAACTTGCTCTCACACTCTACGGCATGGCAGTCCATTTGGTAGGACAAATCATCGTTGATCTCCCGATAAACCCAAGCAAAAATGTTTGGGCTGACATTGTGGTCGGCAGTGCAGTAAGCAATACGTGCAACTTGAAAGGTATCCATGTGGACAGTGGCCTCTCCTTTGAGGTCCAGATGATGAAGCCAAACTTGGAAGGGGCGGATTTCCAGAAGGGCATTAGCTGAGAAGATGTCCTCTCTGGCAAGCGTGTGCTTCTTCCACAACTCAATGACTGGTTTCTCCGTGCAACCTGACAAAAACTGCATCCCTGTTGTGGAAACTTTACCCAAATATGTAACCTAAGAAAAGAGATAGAAAGGAAAAGAAAGTTTGTCAACGGAAGTCTTTGGAATTTCAATTTCAACATGTTGTGATCTTTACACAGAACACCATTAGCATCACTTGAAAATTGTAGACCTATCTCAGCTCAAGCAATTTTTAGCTTGGGATTTTCAAAGTCTAGGTGATGTTGAATTAGAACTACTGAATTCACAGTACATCCAAATATTGCATCACCTGACAATTCTATTAAAAAGCTGAATATTAAGCTACTTACATCCATATTAGTTTTGCAATGATCAAAATGTGCCTATTTTGTCTTCCAATTAGGCTTATGTATGTATCATACAAGAATACAAAGATCTGAAGCAGCATTTTCAAGTCTGAACTTATGTCTGCCTATCTTCCAATGATTGCTTCTAAATGTAGAAATACAACAGAAGATAAGCACTCTGTTCCTACTAGCTCTCAAATTTTATTCCTGTAATAGTGCTAAAATAATACATTCCAAGTGAACTGGTGTAACACAGTGAGTTAATTATACAATGTTGTGCACGTTTAATCAGAAGCAAGGCTCAATGAGTTCAAGAGGGCTTGCACTTACTTGGGAAGTGTTTTAGGACTGCAGCCTAAGACATGCTTAGTCAGGCATTATGCTTGAACAGGGAATCCTGATCAAAGTATGAGGCACTGAGTGGGAAGGTTTGAAGATAGTCAAACACACATAGAGACCCCCTTCAAAGCTTCTCACTCAACGTGGGAAGCTCAGAGCAAGCAGGAATGGCATACACAGCTCTATGGTTCCTGTTCATGCTGGTATACGGTGTTCAGAGGTAATACCTATACAAGCTACAAAGAGCTGCAAATCTGAACGCTCGTGGTTCGGTTCTTGTCTCTACCACCAGGTAGAAACCCATTAGGCGGGTCTCTGGCAAACTGCTCTCTTTCAGTCTCAACAATATGGGGATAATACTCATCCACTTCACAGGGTTGTTATAAAAACCACAGAATGATGTTAAAAGTGCTCTACAGATGCTAATAATTATTATTATGTACATTGTGTTGTCTTTTTCAACATCTCAAATTAAAATATGATCTGTAAAAATAACCAGATGGGCAGGGTAGAAATAAATTATTCCTACAACTACTACTACTACTACTACCACTACCACTACTACTACCGTCCAGTTCACAACTCTAAAATATATAGTTTGGAGCTAGTTAGTTACAAAGTCGACCTAAGCAGTTGCTTTAGGGTGCCAGAATCTTAGGGGAAACAGTGAAGTAGCAGCAGATGCTGCATATGACAGAGTTCACTGGGAGTTTTGAAAGCAAAGTGGAAAGGAAATAGAGCCATAGCTAGTGCTGGAGGAGCGAGGGTCAAAAAGGGTAAAAGAGAATGGTACAGATAGAACAGGAGCTGGGCACAGAGATACATGCATGGCCAAGAGTTCTGCTTCATCTCTGGAAGAGGTTTGTGCTGGTGGGAAGTGGTTGGCATCATTTACCTATCCATGCTTGGCCAAATTTTGAAATCGTATTCTTTAACAATGAGTTACAAAGACTCTCCTCCTGCAAAAGAGGGGAGTGGTTGTGGGCAGGAGCCGGTCTCCGCCTCAAGCAAGGGGCGTTGGCCCCCTGCCTCCTACTCACCTGGCTGGTGCACCACGCCCACGGGCAGGCACCCAACCAGGTGCCTTCGAAGGGGTGTGGACGGCAGCATAAATCGCTGCTGCACCAGCCACATGGCTTCACTCTTCGTCGTCCCATCGCGAATACGATTTGCCAGGCTATATAGCTTTGAACCAAACATGACACTATAATTGTGCAAGTACAGTTAATGTGTTTTTTTGGGTTAAGTAAACAGCAGCCTTTGTGATGCTGGAGTAGTTTTAGGACCATTAGGGCAGAGGAGGGGGATTTTTATGTCCCTGAAAAAATCCCCTGAAAGGCAAACAACATTTTTGGAGAAGCAATTTTTGTCAGACCACAGCAGAAGCAGAAAGAGGCTACTATATTAAAAATGTGCACATTAATTGCATTCATGTAATTGGCATAATGTTTGGATTGGTCCATAGATGTACTGCTACTCTTTTTTATGGGGTCTACTTTTTCCACATCCCAAGCAACCAGCTGCTGTAAGAGTTCACTATAAATTTTCCTTTTCTATTTTTTGGCTTTAAAAAGTTCCTCATTATAAAAATAGCTTTGAACAGCAATGTGTTTACATTGTGCAAAATCATTAAATACTAATGTAACATGCAAGGACTCAGCATGAAAACAACTCTCAAAGAGTTTCTGCAGGAGTTGTTCGTGTCACACTCAGAGACCCAAATAATTAAGAATAAGCTTACAAAATATTATTGGAAATCCATCCTGGTTCATTCCCTCTCTGCCAAAATGCAAGGAAATCACAAAATGAAAAGCCTTAAGAAGCCTTCTCTAACGTCACACCTATAAGCATCTTACATTTGGGGCAACACAGGGAACTGCAACAGCTAAAATTGTTAACAAGGCTCTGGATTTTTAGTTCCTATCGCTACTCTAATCAATTAAGTTTCCATAGCCTTATGGTGTTACTAAGAGTTCAAGCAGTTCCCTTCCTGCCCCCTCTGAACAGTCTCACAGATGCTGAAGTTGTTGTAGGTTGCCGAGTCTATAGTTTAGAAAATAAGATAAATCTATAAACTGCCATGTTTGTAACCTTCAGCTTATTCTCTGCAGAGCCAATCCAATACATTTCATTCTTACACGAGTTACCCAAAAGAAGTTTGATACCACAAACAGCAGTATGCATTGGAAGCCTTCTCTGAAATCCATGACAATTGTTGACCATGGAGGACTCAGCCCTCAGAAGCAAGGCCAGATTAAGGTGGTGGGGCCCGCTGGTACAATCGCCAAAATAAGGCAGCTTCTCCCCAAAAAGAGCACATGAAATACAGTACCACAAAATTAGTCTTGAGGTATCTTAACAGACTAAAACATTTATTAAGGCATAAGGATTTGTGGGCTACAAAAAAAATTACTTTTGAGCCTGAAGAGTTTCAAAATTCTGAAACATAAACAAGAAACATTTGGGCTATCTTATGCAGCCTACGGCTCTTACACTGAACATAGTGCGACTTAATTCTGAATATGGCACGACACAGATTGAGTACATAAGAAATTACAAGTTGCAAGCGTTTGCATGTTACCACAGATTTTTATCATTTCTCTAACATCAGAAATATGGATCTTCCAGTGATATTGAAAGGGAGCAGTAGGTTCAAAAGTGAAATAATTTCTTCACACAGCACATCATGTGGTGCTGGCCACTGGCTTGCACACCCTTTTAAACGTGTTTAAACAAAGCAGGGTTTGAGACCCAAAGCCCTTTCCTGTTGTTAGCCTCCACAACTTCAGGTTATTTAGATTATTTAGAGGGAGGCTGTCTCTGAACCTGGAGGTTCTATATACAGTTCTGGCTATATACTTGTATATTCCATATACAGCCGTGTCGGATGTTCAGGTTCCAAAGAGCGTTCACAAACCGGAACACACACTCCCAGGTTTGCGGTGTTTGGGAGCTAAAACGTCCGATTCACAAGGCGTTCGGGATCCAAGGTATCCTCACCAGGTTTGGATGATGTCTACCTTTGAATATGCTGAAGGAAGAGAGAACAACAGAACAGGGTTCTTGGCCTCATGCCCTGTGTATAAGCTTCTTGATGCATCTGGTGACATTGTGCAAAGCAGGATAATGGACTAGATGACCTTTGGATTGATCCAGTCTGGTTACTCTTATATTCAAAGGAACTCCCCCATCACCACTATTTAAAATAAAATATTTGTTTTTATTTATGGTTTGCCAGGCCCCAATTTTTTACTAACCCAATCTCATTGCTTCATGAACCCAAGCAAACTCCACTGTTCTGAAGTAGCAATATTTTTATTTTGTATACTATACAACAGACAGAAAAATAAAGCTTTTTTACCCCACTTGTCATTGTTATTTTGTACACAAACACAAGCCTTAATATGTGAAGTCTATCCCCGTTCAGATTGTGCTTAGCCAAATGAGAGGCACATTACCTCTGTAAAGGGAAGTCCAGGACTGTTTGCAAGAAGGCATTCAAACAGATCCATACTGCTCTCTGACTGCATGCACCTGTTCCCAAGAGCAGGTGTTGGTCTATGTTTACCTGCGATTGGAAGCCATTTTGAATCCATGTGGACAGAACCTTCCAAAATTTCACTGATTTCTCTGTTTTATTTTGGTTTCTTTGAATTCCCAAGCAGTGCCAAGTATGAGGCTGCTAGCATTTTATAAGCCACCATTGCTGATTTCTGTAATGCTTTGTTCTTACAACTCATGAATTTCATATAGCGAGGGAATACTTTTTTAAAAGCACAAAACACATAAAATATCCATGTGTTATACATATATTCTATCAACACACCATAAAATAATATTGAAAGCTGCGTTTTAGCAAGATTAATTCTTCAAAACCAGTAAAAACGACAGGAACCTGCACAATTTAATAGTCACCAGGTAGAAGAATCATCTGAAGTGTATGATATCCATTTCCCCAACACCCGCAGGTGTTTGGTTCAGTACGACAAGCAATTGCACAAGGCAATCCAGTTGCGGGGAAGCTATATATAAAAATAAAATCAGAGCCCTTGCAATACACTTTGCTGCCAGAGAAGAAGGAAAGTAAGTTGTTTCCCTTCTCCATCCCACATACAATAACCGCTCAGACTGGCAGTTGAATCTGCTTTCACTTTGGGTAACCAGATAGCACCCTCATCCACACTCAAATGCAGCATATGAGCTAGGGAGCACAGGGCAGAATGCATGGCACAAACAGCTCTGCTTTCCAGCACCTTGCCATCAGTGACTTCCCGCTCCTCCTGACCCTTGTTCCCTCCAACAAATGCTGCAATGCAGACATGATGACGCTGTGTGTCATATGAGCAAAGCAAGACACGGCATGCCAGCTGGAGTGGGTGGCCTGTGCTGGATGCATCTGCCTGCCCACTCAGCCAAGATTTCTCCTCTGCAACAGTGCTGATTGCGATGCATTGGGAGAAAACTTGCTGAGCCAGCTAGCACGGGCCAGCAACAAGCCATTAGTGTTGATGCTGTGGCAGCAGCTCAAGAGAATGGGAATATCTAGATGATCCCATTGCTGCCCTCCCCAGCGATCTCTCTGCCTAATGGTACTGGTGGAACCACAAGTCATAATTCAACGGAGTAGGATAGTCAGTGGAGGGTGGCGACGGTGGACTGCTTTGTTTTGTATCACACTTCTCAGAAAGAGGTCCAGTATAAAGTCCTAGTCATCAGTCTTGGTGTACAACCAATGCCAATTTCATGTGGGCGAACAGTCAAACCTCTCACTGACTTCTTTGAGAATCTGAGAGATGATTTGTCTATTATACCATCTCTTAGTAGGTCATATGATATAGGAAACTGAGGGGGAACACCTAAACAGCATTTTAATAAATTTCAGTAATAAAGAGCTTTTTATTATCTCATTATTCTCCGCATATAAAAATATTGCTTTATTATATGCTGTAGTAGGTTGAGATCTCCATATAGTTTTTCAAAGGGTGTGTAAAAAGAAGGCATCCCACGCAACTTTCCTGGCATACTAAAGTTGTCTATATTCTTTCTGCCCTTTCTCCTGTCAAATGGGATTTCTTATCCAAGTCTTTTCCCTACTGGCAAGCTTCTACAATGATCTCAAACACAGCTGCACTTTCAACTATTAATAGTTATTAGTTATTAGGTGCATGTGAATATGCTAACCTTTAGGGGAAAAGCAAAATCCATGTCAAGGAAGATTTCATTTCTCATGTAAACCTTGTAACAGAGTATGAATATTTGACTCAAGGTGCAATCTGCAAAAAGACTGCAGTATCTAGAGCTTTTGTTGTTATTCTTTTCAGCAGGACTGGTGAAAAGGCTATTTGGCTTACAGAGACTTAGGGTAAAATTTCAACCTAAATGAAATCAATGAGAATTTGCTATTAATTTAAACAATAACATGATTTATGCATCAAAATCAACCTGTTTGCAATACATTTGACAAACAGAGGATGACCGTAACTCACACTCCAATACCTGTGTAGCATCTCTGTGGCTTCCTTTTTGCATTACTCATGTGAAAAGGCAAGAGGGTGTGGAAAGGGACTGTGAGGCTGCACCCTTGGGCCTACCACCACTCATACACAGGTCAGAACTTGGGGGGCAGAGGGGGCTCATAGGCAAAGGCCTACAATTTTGAGGGCGCCTACCCCAAGTCCCACTGGTAGAGGCGAAGGGGAATCCTTTGGTAAAGATTATTGCTCATGCATGGCTCTCCACTCTCGCTTCCCCGCCCCACCATCTGAGAAGGAGGGAAAGCCTTTGAGCAGACTGCATGACTGAGTTCCAGGATGTGGGGAAGCCTACATCTGTAGGCCTTCCAGCTTTTGTCATCCCTGCTAATATGTGGACAGCAGAGGAGGCAGTCACACATCATTGGGGATGGGGGCAGAGGTATTGCCCAGAAGATGCATTCTATGTGCTTTGCATGTCCATGCAAATAATATGTGAAGAGTTTGTGGCTTCATGTGGTTTTGCTTCCACACTGCTGAGCTCTCAGCAGAACATAACTAAGAGAGGCTAGAAGACAGACATGACTGTGAATCATGCCTCTTTATTCTGATCTTTGACAGAGAGGCTCTTGTGTGTCCCCAAAATGCCACAGATACCTTTTCAGAAGCTGTGCCTAGGCTTTAGCACAAATAATAATAATAATAATAATAATAATAATAATAATAATAATAATAATTTATTTATACCCCGCCCATCTAGCTGGGTTTCCCCAGCCACTCTGGGCGGCTTCCAACAGAATATTAAAATACAATAATCTATTAAACATTAAATGCTTCCCTAAACAGGGCTGCCTTCAGATGTCTTCTATAAGTCTTCTAAAAGTCCTAAGATAAGCCTGGCTTGCTGACCACTCTGTTGGCCTCTAACCACAATATAAGACTTTCCTTTTTGAGCAGGATTTTGGTGAAATGGTTTCAAGTTCCTGGAAGCTGTCTTATTTTTTTTTTATTTTTTTTAAATACATTTTTATTAATTTTCATTGATTATACATATATACAGTCTAGATTACATAAGTTGCATATAACATAGCTGTTACAAAAATCATATATATAGTACACAATTATTTATAGGCTCCACCGAGCCTCGGACTTCCCTTCACTTTATTGATAAGTATCAGATAATTTCTAAAGTTACATGTTTTATCTCCTTTACATATTTGCCAAACACTGTTAGAGTTATTCTAACCCTGCCAGAGTCCTCAAAGTTCTATACTTATCTCTTATATACGTCAGATATTTATTCCAATTTTCATGAAACTTCTGGTCATCCTGGTCTCTTAGTCTTCCTGTTATTCTAGCTAGTTCAACATAATTTATCATCTTATTCTGCCAGTCGTCTATAGTAGGTATTAATTCTGTTTTCCAGCTTTGGGCCAACATATTTCTAGCGGCCGTTGTGGCATATAGAAACAGATTTTTATCCTCTTTTTTAATTTCCTTGCCAACTATTCCTAGCAGGAAAGCTTCAGGCTTTTTGGGAAAAGTATATTTAAAAATCCTTTTGAGCTCATTGTAGATCAGTTCCCAAAAGCCTTTTACTTTCCTGCATGTCCACCACATGTGGTAGAACTCACCATCTTCCTCTCCACATTTCCAGCACTTCTTATTCTTCAGTTTGTAAATCTTAGCCAATTTCACTGGTGTGAGATACCACCTATGAATCATCTTCCAGAGATTCTCCCTTAATGCCGTACACGCCGTGAATTTCATATTTACATTCCACAATTCCTGCCACTTTACAAAGTCAATGTTGTAACCAATGTCTATGGCCCATTTTATCATAGCCTCCTTCACCTCTTCATCTTTTGTAAACCAATCCAGTAAAAGGTCATACATCCTAGATAATGTTTTGTTTTTGCCTTCAATAATTTCTACATTAAATTTAGATTTTTTATCTTCAAATCCCAGTTTCTTTTTATCATCTTTTAACAGATCATTCACTTGATGGTATTGCAACCATCCCGTAAGTACATTCTTTACCTCCTCATAGGGCTTGAGTTTTATGCCCTGATCAGTTTTATTGATAAGTTCTTCATAGGTGGCTCTTTTCCCTTCCATATTAGTTTTTTTAACAGTTAAGACATCAATTGGTGAGATCCACCATGGAGTTTTCTTTTCCAGCAAGTTCTTATTTCTTTCCCATACTTGAAATAATGATCCTCTGATTATATGATTTAGAAAGCCTCTATGAACTTTCACCTTTTCGTACCACAGGTACGAGTGCCACCCGTACCTGTTATCAAAGCCCTCTAAATCCAAGATATCAGTATTCTCTAACTTTATCCAGTCTTTCACCCACATTAAACAAGCCGCTTCATAGTATAGACTCAAATCTGGTAAAGAAAAACCCCTCTTTCTTTTTGTCTACCAATATTTTCATTTTTATTCGTGGTCTTTTCCCCTGCCAGATAAATCTCGCTAAGATCCTTTGCCAATCTTTACACTGTTTTAGTCCTTTCATTACTGGTATAGTTTGGAACAAAAATAACATTCTGGGCAGGACATTCATTTTAATAACTGAGATCCTCCCTAAGAAAGAAAGTTTCAATCTCTCCCAGATTTCTAAGTCTTTCTTGACACCCTTCCAAGTAGCCTCATAATTATCTTTATATAAGTTTATATTTTTTGCTGTGATCCACACTCCTAAATATTTTACCTTCTTAACAACCGTAATTCCTGTCCTTTGTTCTAGCTCTGCTATCTCTTCCTTGGTTATATTTTTTGTTATCATTTTGGTCTTATTCCTGTTAAGCTTAAAACCTGCCACTTTTCCAAATTCTTCTAATTTCTGTAAGGCTGCTTGTAGACTGTTCTTAGGATCTTCCAATGTTAATATCAAGTCATCTGCAAATGCTTTTATTTTGAATTCCTTACTTCCTACCTTAATTCCTTTAACTTCCGGTGTTTCCCTTAACCTTTTATTAAACACTTCCAACACTGTTATAAATAACAAAGGGGATAAAGGACAACCTTGCCTAGTCCCTTTGGCAATATCAAAGGCCTCCGATATATTGTTATTTATTATAAGTTTGGCATTTTGCTCTTGATAAATTGCGTCAATACCTTTTCTAAATCCTTCACCAATTCCCATCATTTTTAAATTTTCCTTCATGAAACGCCAGGAGACGTTGTCAAATGCCTTCTCGGCGTCAATGAAGATCAGCGCCGCCTGTTTGTCTATTCTAGTATCCAAATACTCAATGATGTCAATCACATTTCTTACGTTGTCTTTCAGTTGTCTCCCCGGGAGGAAACCCGTTTGGTCTTTATGGATTCTTTTATTTAAGACTTTTTTTAACCTTTCTGCCAGTACGTCTGCGAATAATTTATAGTCGTTATTTAGTAACGAAATAGGTCTATAATTTTTTACCTCTAAACCATCTGTGTCTTTTTTAGGGATTAAGGTAATATACGCTTCTTTCCAGGTGTTTGGAATTCTCCCTTCTTTTAATACATTGTTCATGACTTCACATAGCACTGGGGAAATTTGGTCACTTAATATTTTATAATATTTAGCCGAGATACCATCTGGCCCCGGCGCTTTTCCTATTCTCATTTTTTTTATTGCTTTCCTAATTTCTTCCTCTGTAATTGTCTGGTTTAGATATTCTCTTTCTTCAGTCGTGATCTGTTGCAATTGGTATTTTTTCAAGTAATTTTCTATCTCATTATCTATCTCTCTTTCTCTTTTATATAGTTCCTTATAGTATTTCTGAAATATCTTCTTTATCTCTTTTGGGTCCTCCACTATCCTTTCTCCATCCCTTATCTTACATATCATGTTTTGTTTTTTCCTCTCTCTTAATTGCCACGCCAGGTATTTTCCTATCTTATTTGCTGATTCAAAGTTCTTTTGTTTCATCATTTTGATCCTCCATTCAATCTCCTGGTTCACTATCATAGAAAATTGAGCTTGTAGCATCCTTATGTTTTGTTTTAATATTTCATCTCCTGGTTTGATGGTTAATTGTCTTTCATTCTCCATAAGGTGTAGTAAGATTTCTTCTTTCCTTTTCTCTTTTATCTTTTTTGAGATGCTATTTTTCTGAATAAGAAAACCCCTCATGACAGCCTTCCCGGCATCCCACACCGTTTCTAGAGATGTTTCTTTATTCAAATTCCACTTAAAATATTCCTCAATTGTCTCTTTTGCTTTATTTGCTATCTTTTGATCATTGAATAGGTTTTCGTTCATTCTCCATCTTAATGTTCTGAAATCTTTTCCTTTTACCTCCATATATACTGGATTATGATCAGATAAAGTTTGTGGGAGGATTTCAGTCTTAATTACTCTTTGCGTCAATTCCTTCGAGACCCAAATATGATCTATTCTCCCCAGCTTTGATTTGGGTTTGAAAAAAAAGTGAATTGTTTTATCGTGGGGTTTTTAAATCTCCAAGCGTCAATTAATCCCAAATTTTCCACTAATTCGAAGAAGGCTTTCGGTAATTTGCCCTCCCTCATTTCCTGTTTTCTTATTGATCTATCCAAATTTGGGAGAACCACTCCATTAAAGTCCCCCATCAATATCATTTGTTGGTCCATCCATTCTAACAATTTGTTACCTAGTTCAGAATAAAATGCTGATTTTTGTCATTGGGTGCATATATCCCTACCACGATTATCTTTTCTCCTTGGTGGGTGATCTGTACTGCTATCGTTCTCCCCTCTTCGTCTTTATGTATTAATTTTGGATCAAATTTTTCTTTTATATATAGTACCACTCCTCTTTTCTTGACATTATCCGATGCTACAAAGTCCAACCCCAATCTCTTATTACTTAAAATTCTTTTATGTTTTTTGTTACATGGGTTTCTTGCAGACAGATTATGTCAAGGTTCTTTTTAAGCAATACATGAGCAATTTGGTTTCTTTTATTTTTATTATTGAGCCCGTTCACATTCCACGAGGTTATTTTTAAGGTCATTTTTAATGTACAATCAGTAAGTGGTCAAATCTAGGTTAGGTCTACTGTTCCTTGTTATCTGTCTCTTCCTCTTCTTTTTCTTCGTCTAGGTTTTCCTCCTCTTCTCCCTCTCCACTTTCTTCACCTCCACCCCTCTCTTCCCCCATCTGCGCCCCTTCTGGATCCCCCCCTCCCAACCTTCCCAGTTCCTTCTCATATCTTCTTGCAAATTTATCCAATTCCAGAGAGCTGGATAGTTTGAATCTTTTTTCCTTGAAATAGAATGAAATCCCTTCCGGGAACTCCCATCTATATTGGATCCCTATCTTCTTCAATTGGTTAGTTAGTTTTTTATAAACATCTCTCTTACGAAGAAATCTCGAAGGAATCTCTTTAAATATAATAATTGGCTTTCCCTCAATACATAATTTTTGATTATAGTTTAACTTTAGTATTTCATTTCTCATATCCAGAGAGTTAAACATGACCAGGACATCTCCTGGCAGTTTCTTCCCTCTGGCTTTGGCTGATTTTGTTTTTATCCGAAAAATATTTGCAACTGAGTATCCTATGTCCTCTTCCTTCATATCTAACCAAACTGCCAATTCTCTAACCAGTTTAGATCGTATGTTTTCATTAGGTTCCTCAGGGATCCCCTAAATTTCAGGTTTGATTGTTTCTGTCTCATTTGAGTCATCGCCACACTATCCAGTAACTCTTCCTGTATTTTATTTATCTCCTTCACCTCTGTCTTAATCCTATCCATATCTTTCTTATTTTCTTTAGTATCTTTTTGAACCCTTTTCATTGAGTCTTCAAGTACTTTGGATCTTAGAGATAAATCTTTCACTTTTCCTGTTAACTCTCCCACCTGGAAGCTGTCTTAAGTGATTTGTCTGCTGCTTTTAGACTATTGCTTTAAACTCTGCTTTTCTGTAGTTTTTAATTGCCATGATCCCCAGTGAGTCTTTCCTACAGTTCTGATTAAAATTTTAAATAATCTGGCCCATAGACCCTCCTGTTCTGTATGCGGCTGCCACCGATTCCACCTGTTTGTGCCAGTGGTTTCCACCTATTATTTGCAACACCTGCATAACTTTTTCCATGAAATCATCAGGCAATCACTACATATAGGCTGGATCTAGACACATCAAAGAAGCGTTTAAAGTGTTGTAGATTTAAACAAGGAAAACAGTTAGAGACAGACAGGACTCCATTTCGCCATCTGGTGGCACAATGTTATATCGCAATACAACGCATATAAATCATTTTTTCTTTACCAGTCTAGCTGAGTCCATAGAAAGAGGCACTGAACCACCAGTCTCTTGTGAGTAACAGAGACTTAATGCACACACTAAGGGTCAAACTGGATGCAACAGCAGGAGATCCAGTATTTTTATTTCCCCAGGCTTTATAATAAAAAAATAGCAATTAGAATATTGTAATAGGGGGCAAATCTGATCAGGATCACAGTGTTTGGGTAAAAAGCTAGCCCTTTATTCTCCAGAGCAGTTTCCCTATGAAAAGCACTTTCCCAAAGCTGATATTTGACAGTGGAGGAAGATGTCCAGGGAGGGGACCTTAATGTTTTCTTGCTGTAGGGAAAATAACAACAACAACAACAACAACAACAACAACAACAACAAAATTATATTTATACCCCGCCCTCCCCGGCCAGAGCCGGGCTCAGGGCAGCTAATACCAGTAAAATTACAATAAAAACATAATAGGAAAAAAACCAATTTAAAATACATGTTAAAATGCAATTTAAAATGCAGCCTCGTTTTTAAAAAATAGCAGATTGGGGAACAATTTCCATTGTGGAAATAGCAGGCAGTGGAAGGTTTAACCCCTTCCTGATTAAATTCATCTCCCAGCTGCTGTTCAAGTGTTAAAAACAGAAGGATATCTGATATGGCTCTTCCATGTCACCTTGAGAGACTTAAAAGAATCACAATGCACAAGGGACTCTGGATTGAAGCAAATGCATTTTTAGTTCAGCTGAACAGTTTCATAATCTATACTTCTTTTTAGCACTCCTGCTTGCTACTTGACTTTCATTTTGTCTGTGTTATTTAGGCAAAACAGTTTTAGATTATTTTCAGTAGCTTCTAGTTTTTAACAATGTCAGAAGTGTGAATTCCTTAGCCTACTGCAAGATTAATGACTGGTTGACTTTTTTTTTACATTACCCAGTTCAATGTGGCTTGCCCTATAATCACTTGGGGGCAGAATTAAAATATGGAACAAAAATATATAATTTATTTAGCCAAACATTTGTTTATTCTACTCCTCTAAACACTGGTTGCATTTGCAGACTAATTAGCTAAGCTGTCATTAGAGGAAATACTGCTCACTTTGGACCAAGATGAGATTCAGAAATAGCAGTCACCAAGAGAAGGGCTTATTACATTACACTAGAGTAGCTGGGGAAGGAGGTAGTTCAGTGGTGCAGCGCAGGCTTTGCATTAAAATGATCACAGCTTCAAATCTAGGCATTTTCAGGTAAGGCTGGGAAAGACCCTGGAGAGTAGTTAATACTGAGCTAGATAGATCAATAGTCTGACTTGGTATAGGGTAAATTTGTATGCTTCAGTGAGTCTGGAACAAATAGCTCCCTGGCAGGGCATCTGCTGTGCCTGCAAAAGGTCTCAGCATCTCGTGGTAGGGCTGGAAAAAACACTCCTGTCTAAAACCCTGGAGAGCTGCTACCAGCCTGTACACACAACGAGCTAGATGGACCTATTGTCTGATTCAGTATAAGGCAGCTTCCTATGTACTTTCATAGTCACACTTGCACTGGAAGTTAATCTGTACTATGTCATTATTTTGTATGATTGCACAAGGGTCAAATTATTAATACAGAGCTTCGGAATGCAAAGTTTTGGTGAAGAGTGGGCTGATGGGGAACTGAGGGGTCGCTAGGCAGTGCATCATAGGTCTCAGACAGAGAGGGACCTCAGAAAAAATTAGAGGCTTTCCGGCAATATTAGAGTTCTACAAGACCACAGAAAGGCAAGAGGATACTTGGCATGGAATGGGGGAGATGATCCCTTAGCACTCCCTCTGCATGCCAGAGGCCTCCAGACAAGTAATAGGTGCAATCTATTTTGCACATGAGGGACGTGGGTGGCGCTGTGGGTTAAACCACAGAGCCTAGGACTTGCCAATCAGAAGGTCGGTGGTTCGAATCCCCGTGACGGGGTGAGCTCCCGTTGCTCGGTCCCTGCTCCTGCCAACCTAGCAGTTCGAAAGCACGTCAAAGTGCAAGTAGATAAATAGGTACCGCTCCGGCGGGAAGGTAAACAGCATTTCCGTGTGCTGCTCTGGTTCACCAGCAGCAGCTTAGTCATGCTGGCCACATGACCCGGAAGCTGTACGCCGGCTCCCTCGGCCAATAAAGCGAGATGAGCGCCGCAACCCCAGAGTCGGTCACGACTGGACCTAATGGTCAGGGGTCCCTTTACCTATGTTGCACATACCTGCCTCATAAATTTCCAGAATAAACATGCAACTTCAAGGAAGGTAGTGGTACCTGTGGCCAGTACAGATTCTGGTAGGAGCATAATTTGCCTCATTTGTACATCATAATAAATGCTTTCGTTCTGTGTTCCCAAAAGCATACATACAAGTGCACTAAAACTTCTCTCTGAAAATCCAATGAACTTCACATTTAAAAAAGAAATGTGTAAAAATATGTTCGAAATTGGGAGGGGGGGACAAGGACAACAAAGTAACACAGCCTGCTTTTAACAGTACCAATGACATCACATAATGCATCGGAAGTGGGTTACCAAGGAGATACGGTTCAGTCTAGCAAGCAATTCTGAACACCTTCTTCATGGTTCAATGAGAGTTGACAGCATTCAGTGTTTGGAGTGTTTTTTAAAAAAAAGAAAGAAAGAAAGAAAGAAAGAAAATGACATGAATTGGGGAAATGGCCTAATTTAAATTATTTTCCTATATGGCTAGAAGCCGAAATCTTATTCAAGTCAAAGGTTTTAGCCGATCCTTGATATTTTAACATGGTAAAATGCTACCAATTCATGTACTATTTAATTTCATGTTGCAGCTTTCAGGCCATTCTGTTGTAATTGGGTATTTTACTATTTGTTGTAGAGAGGACAAAACCAGTCATACACAATGCTAGACACACTGGGGTTTTTTAAGACATGAATGGGCAGAAGGTAGAATATGTACCACAGCTGGACCATGAGCCACTGTCTGCTGAGTTACTTAGTGAAAATAGGAGGCTGCCTTATAAAGAAGCTCAATATTGTCTCCAATTCTACACCAACTAGCAGTGGCTCACCAGAGGACGTTCCCAGCACTACTTGAAGATGCTGGGCCCTGGACCTAAGACTCGCTGCATGCAAAGCACTGACTTTTAGCCCTTCCTTTAGTGCCTGCTGGTTGTGGAATTCTTGCAAGGTGTTTTAAGAATAGGTAAAGGTAAAGGGACCCCTGACCATTAGGTCCAGTCTTGGCCGACTCTGGGGTTGCGACGCTCATCTCGCTTTATTGGCCGAGGGAGCTGGCGTACAGCTTCCGGGTCATGTGGCCAGCATGACTAAGCCGCTTCTGGCGAACCAGAGCAGTGCACGGAAATGCCTTTTATCTTCCCACCGGAGCGGTACCTATTTATCTACTTGCACTTTGACGTGCTTTCGAACAGCTAGGTTGGCAGGAGGTTTTAAGAATACAAGTGCCATATTGGATCAAAACTCCTTGCAGAATTAGGATCACTTACTACACATTGGAAGAAGAAATAGGAAATATGGTACTGGAGCATGTGCTGGTAGCTCAGCTCCAGAGGTTTCTGGAGAAGACTGATTATCTAGATCCATTTCAATCTGGTTCTAGGCCTGGTTATGGGACAGAGATGGCTTTGGTCACCTTGATGGATGACGTACGCCAAGCACTGGACAGGTGGGAATGTGTTCCTGTTGGTTCTGCTGGATCTCTTGGTGCCTTTCAATACTATTGACTATGGTATCCTTCCAGGCTGCCTTGCTGGGACAGGACTTGGAGGCACTATTTTACAGTATAGTGCTCCATTCCTTCCTGGAGAAGCAAATTCAGAAGATGGTGCTTGGGACGACGACTCCTGTTCAATGCCTTGGTCATTGGCTTGCAGAGTCCCTTAGGGTTTACAAACCTGATATTTGGGGGAGGCCCTTCTCCTCCCTTGGAGGTTTTTCAGCAGAGGTTGAATGGCCACCTGTCATGGATGCTTTAGTTGAGATTCCTGCACTGCAGGGCATTGGACTAGATTTTGCTCAAAGTCTTTACATTCTATTATTCTCTCTAGAAGCTGCTAGAGCAATGGCACTAATGGAAGCAATATGCTGTGGTCCAGTAACAAGTGTCATTAAAACAACACAGCAATTAAAACATGAGACTCGGATAAAGAGGTCAGGGGAATACCTGTTCAAACAGGTGTGTCTTCAAGAGCTAACAGAATGCCAACACAGATGGGGTGTCTCTTATTTCAGCAGGGAATGTATCACATTCAGTGCCATCACTGAAAAAGCCCATCTCCATGTCAGCAGCCTTATCTCACGGGAAGGAGGACAGGATACAAATGGAATAGGCAAGCAAACCAAGAAATAAACATATTCACTCATAGTTTGGGCCCGGCTTTTTGCCATGGGTACTTAGAAGTGGTGGAGAAGAAAATTTAAATGAATGTAACTTTAATTTCAGGTTCAACATGGAGATGTAAGTTGACAAAAAACACTTAAAGGAGTTAAAGGAGATTAAACCTCTTTCCCTTTCTGACAGCCAAATTAATTCCTACTGCTTTCATTGTGGCTTGGTCATTATTACTAATTTTGCTTGGACTGGGGTCACAAGGTTAGCGCCCACACATTTGATTCTGGCACCTAGAAGTTGAAACTCAGGCTTCCAGGTTTAATTTATTGCTTTAATCTGTATATGTGAATGCTTACATTTGTCTTTTCAGTTGCTTAGAGTGCCTTGCCAAATGGATAAACTATAAATTGTTGAAACAAATCAAATTTGGATCCCAGCTGACACAAATCTTAATTACGTACACGTAGCTTATTTGCTCACATGCAGCCCTTGTTATTTCCCCTTCCTATCTCCTCCACTGCTGAAGCGTAGATTGTAAGCTCATCATGGCAGGGACCCATCTTTTTGATTTTCTTACTCCGTGAATCACTAATTGCATTGCCAGCATTAAAGGGTTTGGCTCTCTTTAACACAATATAGTACAAGAAACCCACGGTACTCCTGTTCCCTCTCCACTCCCAGCTTTGCACTGGCATTCAGTTCTACACTCAACTGTTGTACTGGACTGGACGATTGTAATTGGAGAACAGCAATAATAGGTTTTGTATCTCTTTTAGCAGAATCTATGTGAACACAAACCTATAGTAAATAGCTACATCATAAACTTTAAAATTAAAAAAAACCCCATGGATCTATTGACAAAGTGTTTGAACTAGAATTTATGTGTAGAAGGAGTCGTCACCTGTTGTGCTGTGTCTGGAGCTAAGATGGAGCGCATCAGTGGCACCACCTCTGCTTTGTTAAAGGAAAGAGGGAGGGAGACGGAGGGAAAGGGATGCTCAAAACTGATCTTTAGTTCCTGATTGCTGTTTTTAAATTTTCATAGCTTCAATCTACCTTGCTCTGGGCAAGTCAGTTGGAGACCTTAGGAATTTTTACTAAAATGTGTGCAGTCAAAGAGTGACTGTAAGACAGATGACTTACACATTTCTTTCTCCATTGCGGAGTGTATCTGCACTGTAACTGCAATTCAGCTGTAGCTTTTAGCCAGCCTGTGCCTACTTTTATTGCTGGGCTGAACTGGTTTTGTTCATGTCCATATGTTCTGATCTGCCTGGACTGGCTTGATCAAACAGTTGCAACCACAGAATTCCAAGTGGTTGCAACAAAATCTAATTCCAGAACTCCATCACTGCTGGGTTTTGGTTGTCTGTAGTTACCCAGCTGGCTCACCCCATACAACCCTCCCATACCTCTAGGACATGGTGGTTTATAAATGAAGACTTTGAAAGTGGACTTCGAGGTAACTTCATTTTTCTTGACTTGTAGTGATTAACATTCAGCGTGACACTATTCTGCACATCAAGCAAGGACTTTTGAAACGTTCAATGAAATATAAGAATATCTGGTATATGTGCATCGCTTGAACATGTGCATCTCTCTACACAGTGAGAATAAGAGCAGCTTATTTATTGGGTAGCAAAGTCCCTTGCTTCCCACAGGCAGTAATTATTTGTTGTCAGTTCAGCTTTTTTTCATAAGTGTGCAACATATTCAAACTTGATTTTAGTTCCTGTTGCAAGTTCTTGAAATTACTGTAGTTTTAATCTACTGCTTTCTTTAACCATATCATATTTTATAGTCTTGCAGTAATTGCATATGGATGAAAGTCTATCCACTTTGCATATAAAGTACTGTAGCAAAGAAAGAAAGTGAGCCATATTGCCTGAAATTCCAGATCCAGTGTATTAATAATCATCTGCAGTAGTGTCACAAGGTCTGAAGACAGTAAAATAGTAAAACCAAGCACTTTGGAAAGTTTTATGCTGTGTAAGGCAAGCCCACCACTGGTTTCTATGAAACTATATTGAAGCCCAGCACCTAAGCAATTTTTCTAAGGCAGCTGGTGAGATCTCCAACATAAAACATTAATTGTATCAGCTAAAGTCTTTTCCTCCCTCACTTATCTGAATCATGAGCTTAACACAATTCCAGTGAGATTTTTTAAACAAAATATTTATTTTATTCTCAGATTTGGATGAGAAAGAGGTGGAGTCACTGCCACTCGAAGAGATACAAGAAAACAAACTCAAAAGAGGAAACAACTCCTATCTTATAAACAGAGGAAGGCAAAGTGATTACTCTACTCACAGAGTTATCTTGATATGCACTTCCGCAGCCTAGGCAAAGGGATTTTGGAGACTGCTGGTGGAGTAAGTAGCATACTCATCTGTTAATGCAAGTTCTGCATCATCTTTTAAAAAACACAACTACTGCAGATCAACACTTATATGTGCACATTGGTAATGAGATTTGTGGCACAAATGCAGATGTGTTTTAAATAATGGCAAGCGATTCTCCATCAATGAATCAGGTGCCTAGATTATTTTTCTTAGTCCCATTACATCCTTTCCCCAGCTTGTTATTCTGCTTATTTTTCAACTTATATTACCAAACACAATTAAGCGTTCAAACACCCGCTCTGGATCCAGAATACACATTACCACTTTGCACTGATATACAGCAAGGAAGCCCAGCCCCTCTCTTCATTTTGCTCTTGTCAAATGGCGCCAGCACATAATTTGCCATGTCAGCCAGGCTCCTGATGTGTGAAGACTGTAGATATTGTGGCTGTCAGTGATGAAGTCTGAAGTGATTTATTTCTGAGGCATTAAGAGGGTGGTGCAGGAGACAAAGGCACTTTATAAAAATGACACCTCAGTAATACAAAGGTATTCTCCTTTTGTCTCTGTTGCCAAATTTGTCTAGCTTTGAGTCAAAGCAAAGGGCTGCTACTCTCACAGCACATAAATGACTCAACTCGTGACACCCACAACATCCTCTTGGTTACTTTGCATGCTGAACGATGTCAGGAAGGATCAACAAATTTATGAAACATTTTCAGTCCATAGACTTTTGGGAAATAACACTAATGACAAGAAAATAACGCTGAGGAAGAAAAGACATACAAACCAAGAAGTATAATCAGCTAGTTTCCCCTTACGTTAATGTGAACAAAGATACCAGAAATAATCACACATTAAAACTTCAGTAGGTAGATTTCTAAAATGCAGAACTGTGTGTGATCTTTATAATAAGAAAGGAAACAATCATTTAAGTTTCATTCCGCATCTTCCTGATTTCATTCCTTTAAACTTTCACCTGAAGGTACAAAGCATCCTGCTTCACATGTTAAATTAAAATACTATATTCCCCAATATTTTTGTTGGGACTTCATGTGCTCAAAACAATGGAGATATTTGGGGAAAGAACTTGATCATGGAGTTGACATTGAGTTTATCTTAGAACCAGCAATATTGCACCACACAGGCAAGCTGTACATTAGAAACCCAGCTTCAGTTTGTAATATATTGAGGGGGTGGGGGCAATTTACATACAGTGTGCCAGATCCAGGAAATCCTGCTGGAATCCTTTGATGATAGAGAAGTGAAGCAACGTTCTCCTCCTCCTGCCTTCCCATCTCTTGTCAAACCCTCCCACAGTCCCAACAGCTTCCATCATGATGGCTGCCGCCTCATCACAAAACAGCAGGTTCCATATCTGAAGCAATAGGAAAGCTTAATTTAATACTAGGAACCTGACCTGTGAAAGCAGCATATGTTCTGCACTACAGAAGATTTTAGTAACATTATAGGACAGGGTGGAGAAGCCTGGGCAAGAGGCTGTACATCTGTGCAAAATCATATTTCTACAGGGAACAGAAAATGGTATTTATGAGCAACGACCTGCAGTACGTGATCTCAGAATATGGTTCAGCCAAGGCCTCATCTTTGGCCTTCTAACTTCACCCTCAGGACCTTTGGTGGCTGGTGCCCCAGGGACTTGTAGGGCAGAAGGCAGGGAGACCAATACTGTGTGGAGCCAGTGCCAACTAATTCTAGTTGTATTCCCATCCTCCTCCATGCTGTGTTCTACAAAAGCAACACTGAGACATTCTGATTTCACCCTAATGGACCAGCCTCAATTGCCCTGAACACCTCTCACATAAATATTTTACAAAGTAAAGGACGGTCATGTCATAGTTAAAACACTGGATAAATGGAGCAAATGGAGCTGCTTATTATTTTTAAGTAACATAACTCAGGAAAGAAGAAATGAATTCATTATCTTATGGGTTTAACAAAATCTGAACCATCTGGGAAAACAGCTAACTGTCCCAGTTCCTGTGTTTTGCTACTAATAGTGCATTTAGTCCAATTCAGTTGTTCACACCAATTAAGAGAGAAATTATGAGAATTTCCTGTGTTAAGGTTTGAAACAGAATGAACTACTAAAGAACACCAAGCTCACCCCTAAAATAGAAGGGCTGACCAAGAAAATATATTCATCTTTAATCTGTTCCAGAGATAACAATACCTAGCACAGCTGTAAGTCTATGGAACCGGGTCATCTGTTATAGTAACATTCCCACAGCATAAGTCAGGACTCTGCCATTCAGATTTAATCATCATCCTCTCTAACCCCACAGCATGTTCTGAACACTCTTTTCATACTCAAATAAACTAATCTCTCTGGTATTGTGGAGGTCACTAGCTTTACAAGAGACTGAAAACTCATTTTCATGTTTTGTCTGATCCCAATTTCAACTGCAGGGAAGTTCACTGGTCGATTCTGCATCTGATCAACACTACATGCATCATGGGTTATGGAAGCAAACATATTAGAGATTTTGGACATAGAGGAAAATTAGTAACATACATCACATGTGCATACATTAGAGGTTTCGCACAACCAGATTCATTAAGTTGATACTTGGCTTACGGGGGGGGGGGGGTGGAGATCTTTATTTCTTGGATTTTAGACAAAAACAAACCAACTGAAGTTTGAGCTGGATTGTACTGGCCAATCAAAGAAATTTGTGGGCATATGTACCTTTGATACATGAGAAAGACAAGGTGCAAGGATTCACATTACATGTTACAAACACAGAATGATTTCTTTTAAGGTTTCCCATGCCTGACCATTAGATGAACATTATAATGATCTGCTTTGTTTATTACTATGATCATAGCTTCCAGCAAATTATGACCATTTTATATAAGATCTATGATGGCAGGGAAAATAAATGAAAGCTCAAAACCTTCTGCATTGATTTAGAACTAAAGTGAAATGCAGCTCTACAAATTATGAGTGCACACATTAATTTAAGCATCTCCTTTATTATACCTATTTGCTCCATATAATGATTACTTCTGTTGCAACTGGGCACAAAGCCCTAATTTAAAAAGAGACAATCTATTTAATATAGAACAATCAAACTTATTCTAGGTACTTTAATGCAGAGTTTACATTAAAAACCCCACAAAACAACAGATACACTTTTTTTGGCCCACCTCAGTAAGAATAGATTGGATTTAAGCTAGCCCTAATAATCTGCACAGCCTTTTCCTGCATAAATATTCTGGGCATAATGCCTTGGCATTTCAAATGAACTTCTGTAGGAGATGTTCCCATTAGATGGTGCCTTATGTTTTCATTTTGCTGTTCCAAAGTGTAAAGGCCAAGAAACTGGACAGTAATTACATGAGAAACAACACTCATTTGAAATTCATTATTGCAAACAGCTTAGGCAGATCACTCTAGAATGATTAGTCATTAACAGAATTTTTATAGCTGTAAAACTATTCAGTATTAACCTTCATACAGTAAGGGGGAAACAAACACTTGCAGCAACTTCTATATAAGAAATAGACTAAAAATGGGCTGCTCCTATCAGTGGCCTCTGCCACTGATGCCATAATAGTATCAGTGATGTCATGCTGTGATGCCATAATGGTTTTTCACAGCACAGTGAAAGGATGGTATAGGAACACTGGCAATTTCTATGAACAGTAAAAATGTCTTGCTTTGAACATTAAAAGGAACTGAACTCAACTGTGTGTAAAAAAACAACATTCAGTTATACAGATATTAAATGTTTCAAATTGCAGGCCACTGGATTTGGCTCTTTCCAATACTAAGATATGTTTGGAACAAAGGTTTTGGAAAAGACAGGAATTCAATCTACTGAAGCATAACTCTCTGCATTTATTTTAGTCTGTTGTCATGTGGACAGTTAATAAACTCTCTGGCAAATGATTAGGAAATGGTAGTTTTAGCTTCTTTGATATTCCACATGTTCTGCAGAAGAACATAATAGTTTTGATTCAGATCCTTGCCACAAAAGACAACGCAATATCTTTTTCTCTTCACCATGATTCCTGGAGAATTACTTCACATAATGTACTGGCTATAGCTGCCAAGTTTACACATTCAAACTAATTAAATCAAAGCTTCAAAATGCTTAAACCAGGATTGGAGGAGCTGCACTTTTTATCCAATACAGGGCAGTGGAACAAAAGAAATAGCAAAACCAACTGTTTAGTCACAATGGCTAGAAAATTAGACTCAACAAGGCACCATGAAATCAGCCAATTATTCAAAGAGCAGCCAGTTTGGCTACTAAAGGTGTAACTTATTGACTCAATTGGTTCTTTAGGTCACTAACAACAAAAGGTTGACATTGCCCATATGGAATTTATATTTTCATGCATGATTAAAATGGCTTCCTCCTCATCTTTACAATAATATGCCTTCTCTCTTATCACAACCACAGAAGAGCAATCAAATCAAGTCTCTTTGATAATACAGGATTTCTTCTCCATTATTAGCAGAAGGTAATAGTCACTCTTGAATATTTCAGTTATGTTAGCAATTAATTGTCCACTCCAGTCATTAAGTACATTTATAGCTAGTTAAATATACTTATTGTTTTTTGTAGATGATTTGACCATGTGGTCCTCATCAGGTTCCAATTCAATGAAAGAAAATCTATTTAGAAAGAAACCTGTACAGTAATGGTACTTAGAATTTATATAGAATCAAGAATTCAAAGCATTTTACATATATTATATCCATCTCAGTAAACTTTTCAATAGCAGTACAAAATGTGCAAACATTATAGAGCTGAAAGTATTTGGTTCACTTTAAGAGAAATTAGCAAAATTTGAAAATCATGTTTAGGCAAAACCTACAGGAATGAATTAAATGCATGATTTATTTTTAAAAAGGGAAATGTTTGACTGATAAATAATAATCAAACTTTTAACTAAGCAAACTTTAAACAAGTTTTTAAATGTGCAAACTTACATAGCTGAACACTGTCTCTTGGATATATTATTAACGGCATAAGTAAGATGACCTAAATTATATGAAAAATATAAGAAACTCAAGAAGCTGGCTGCAATTCTGTGAAACATCCAACATATTGCCAGCCCAGGTTAGATCTGAAATATATCATATTCTATGCTTCACTTAACTGGGTCATTTCTAAAAGGAGATCTGTACTGGGCCACCAGTGGCTTCTAGGCAGAAAGCAAAGGAAACAATTACCACTTTAACCTCTGGCACAAAAGACAGACAGTAACAATCTAAGTCAGTTGATTCAATCGTGATGTATGTTTTTTGCAGCAGCCCCACAACTTTTAATGGAGGGGTCTTTTTTGGAACCCAGTTCCTTCCATCTTTTGCTGCAGCTGCAGAATTTCTGTGGTTCCAGAAAAGCTAAAGGAAATCTTACTAAAACAGGAAGCTCAGGACACTACATGCATTTTAAAGTTAGAAAACAGAAATTGTAAAATATTGCCCACAACCATGATTCAAGGATTCTACATACAAAGAAAACTACTCTGAGGTGTGTCCAATGGCGGCTTTGCCTAAGTGGAAAGTGCTCCTAGTCTCACAAGTTGGAGAACCTGGTTTTTGCTGCTTTTCCCTACCATCTTCAGCCCCACCATATCTGCCCCCCAAAACTGTTCCCAACGGCTGGGAGACCCCTGGAACAGAATGAGATTTGGAGCAGTGGAGTGCAGCAAACAGCAGCAACACAGGCGCTACAGCAAAAAAGAAAAAGGGTGTCTCAACCTCTGTGATCAGAAGCACTTTTTACTAAGGCAAAGCCACAATCTGTCCAACATTATGGGTTGAAACACCAAAGAACATGGATAGCTTTTTCTTTCATATAATATATAGAGTAGAGGTTGTAATGCCATATGGCAAAGAATAAGCTGAGCCAAGATAAATAACTTTTGCTTGTCATTAACAAAAGTTGAAGCTCAGCTGTAACAGCTACATCATAGCGTATCTCTAAAAGGGGGTGTCAAAATCTTGTTCAATTGGCTTCTGAAGCATTCCGGCATGATAAAAGCCTAGTTAAGAACACTGTTGATCATAAAAAGGCTCTCTTTCTTCAGATGAGTCAGGCAGCTTTTTTGACCTTTATGGTGAGTTATCTTTCAAGGACTGTGGAAGGAGACTACTTTTGTATTCCAACAGATGAGTTATCAGGCTATAGATCTCAAAATATATACAGCTTTAAAAACAGCCAGAGCATTTCATAGTATAGTACTGAATCTCACATGCTTAGTATAAGTAAGGAATATGTAGCTTCTGTAGCCCAGGCATAAATACCATTTCCACAGCTGGAATAAAGCTAAGAGGATTTCATTTTGAAAGATGCTTCATGTGATATGAGCCAGGTTCAAGTTTAAGGCTTGCCCAATATTTAAAATCTTTTCACTCACATATGCTCAAAATCAGCCTCTGATGAAGATTTGTATACTATCCATTGCTACATATGTTAACTATTTTGAATCTATTAAGTGAAGGTCTTGCAGTTGTACAATTACCAGCTATGTCCCCCCACCTTGATTTAACATGCTCTCTGCCTAAAAGGAACAGAGATATTTGTGGAACCTTTGTGGACTACATAAAATATTCACAAAATGTTAACCTGAGTTATTGATGGATAGATAGATAGATAGATAGATAGATAGATAGATAGATGATAGATAGATAGATGATAGATAGATGATAGATATTATACCTACAAATTATAGCACTGAACCTATTGATGTATTGTTATTCAGCTGTTTCATGTCACAGTCTCCCTTTGAGGTTACTTTGTTACGATATGTCTCCTTTAATATTGGTTACAGGCTGTCCTGGTAGGACGGCATGTTTATCACTGTTTGTTTGTTTGTTTGTTTGTTTGTTTGTTTTAATATTGCCATATTTGTGTTATTTGTTTGCACAGAGACAGGCCTATTTGTCACAAATAGAATGCAGAAGAGCATGGTTGGCAGATAATGGCATACATCACACTGGAAGATGGGCAGGTGAATAACTTGAAGTTTTGGATGACATTATTCGGTTCTGTAGTACAGTGGTACCTCAGGTTACATACGCTTCAGGTTACAGACTCTGCTAACCCAGAAAAATGCTTCAGGTTAAGAACTTTGCTTCCATGATGAGAACAAAAATCGTGCTCCAGCGGCGCGGCAGCAGCAGGAGGCCCCATTAGCTAAAGTGGTGCTTCAGGTTAAGAACAGTTTCAGGTTAATAACAGACCTCCGGAACAAATTAAGTACTTAACCCGAGGTACCACTGTATTGCCCATCACTTTACTTGTTTCTCTGCTGTGTGACCTGTGGTTGTACAACTCTTTTAGGGGTGGGTGGGTGTGGGTGGGTGAGTGGGTATGAGAGAGAGAGAGAGAGAGAGAGAGAGAGAGAGAGAGAGCTATCTTTAAGCAACTACAGGCCTGCCATTCAAGGGCTGTGAGAGGGTAGTGTCAATGCCCAGGATGGGTTACAAATGGCTGATACACACACATACCTACAGCTCAGGATAACCCTTCATGCATCTGGTAACATCAACTGTAGTCCACAAAAGCTTGTCCATAACAAATGTGTTAGCCTTTCAGGTGCCAGAAGACTGCTGCCTTTGCTACAAGAAACTGCTACCCCTTTGGAAATGTCAGGTCATGCACCATATGGCTTTGCTCTAATACACCTACCAAAAATGCTTCCTAGCAGCTCTTTCAGTTATTACAAAATCATTATCCTGAAATAGCACTGAAGATTGTCTTTCAAGTCCATAATGGCCACATTAGAGCCCTGCTGGATCAAACTAAAAGTTCATCTAGCCCAGCATCCTGTTTTCCACTGTGGCCAATGGGAAGCCAACAAGAAGGACATGAAGAGTGCTCCGTGGTTCCTTTCATTTCCTGTGTATTACATGTTCACTTTCATCTGTCCATTGCCCTGTTCCCTACAGAGGAGAATGCGTAGATTTTGATTTCCCCCCCAAAAAAGTGCATCCTCCTGGTGAAAGACTGGGTCATTTTCAAATTCTGACTTCACTAGAAGGTGTTTCCCATGCAAGTCACCTACCCAACAGATAAGTGAAAAGGGTCTGAAGCTCCTTTGATTTCTCTCTGTCTTGCTCCACTGCTATTTCTCTCTCTCCTCTTTGCCTTAATTCGGCCTGGTGACAAGAGAACAGGGCTTTGGAGAAGTAGGGGGCCCTTGGCAGGGTCCTGATGATGAGCTCTCTCTCTGCTGCCAACCAGAGTGGGGGAGGGGAGCCCAGCTGTGGTGGTCCAAACAGCAGTTGCCACTGCTGCTGTGGTAGTGGCAGCCACTGTCCTCCACCATGCTTCTGGGCATGCTTCATCAGTGGATGGATGGTGGTCCTTCTGAATGGGAGCTAAGGTCAGTTCCCACCCAAAGCGGGTGCAATGCACAGGCTCATAGATTTATCACCCTACCTGCTTGACAAAGCTACGAAATAATAAATTTCATAAATCTAGGGGCTAGGGCATTACATTTTTGGTAACAAAACAGCAGATGTCCACAACGTTTATATTGGGCTTGCTTAATATTTAATGGGAACTGCTATGAGAAATTTGGCGAGAAACGAGCATACATACAATTATAAGACATCAAGGCTGTTGAACCTCCTTCATCCAGAAATTGATTTTATATGAACAGTGCTTTATGACCTCTAGACTCCAAAAAGAAGCAATTTCTTAGCTGTGCCCTATGAATGCAGGTTTTGAGCACACAAATATTTTGTTGTGGAACTTTTCGGTTTAACGTGTAATGCAAAGACACCAAAGCCATCCATCAACTGGGCAAAAAAAGGGCAAAATATCATTTGATTGATAGCATTAGCTGTCAACAACAATTATATTATGAGCTAAAATAAATTTTGTAATGAAAAAGCTGTTGTAAATAATTTGATCCATAGAGTCTAATGGATGGTACATGGCAGCATTGCATTACTGTTTAATCATTTGTGGGCCAAAATGAAGCGTGGTGTAAATTTTTATTAGAACTATTCAACAGAACAGAGTGTATGCCTTCCATCTAAATCCTGGCTTCTGTCAAACTAAACTTTGGGGGGAAAGGAAACAGATTTATATATGGGTCAAACTTATGTGTGTTACATTCCCCACATGGAGTGATTCTACAGCTACAGATGTGGAAGGAATGCATGCACTGATGGAATTGTGCATTTTCCTAATTGCACGGGAACTAAAAAAGGATGAACTACAGCTTATAGTACCCCTACAAAATCCTAATTAATGAGATCATACTGGTGTGGAAATAATAATGAAACAATATGGAATTCACTTATTTAGATGTGAAGTGCTAAAGAGATAACAATACTGGACATAAAATTTGGGGACTTCTATTTTATGTTCCATTTCTTAACATACCATGTGCCTATATCTCTAACAAAAAAATCAGATTGATGGATCTATTATTTTTATTATAACCTGATAGATAGATCCAAATAGCTGGGGCTGGTGGGAGTTGTAATCCAGAACAGCTAGACGACACTAGGCTGGTGAAGACTGTTCTATGTCAAGAGATGTGCATTTGTCTCTCCCACCCAAAAAGATTCACACTCTTCCCGTATATCCAGGCTGCAGACATGATACATAAGCACAGGGAGAGGAACTGCAAGGTTTACACTTCATTATAATTATAGGACCGGTCCTATAGGGGGCATGGAACCGGATTTAGGGGACTGGTCGCATAGGGCATGGAGCCTCAGGGCACCACAGGGGACGTCACAACTATGATGTTTAAGAAAGGTGAGATGTGGCTGGGTGCTGCTTAAATTTGAGACTCCACTGGTGTAATTCATGTCCAAAGCCACTGGCATGGTTAATCTCTGCTCATGATACCTTGGGATGCCCAGGGATATTAAGATATATTTATGGACCAGTTTTGCCCCCAGAAAGATTGATTGCATGGATTCTTATATAGTAGGTACAGAAAAACGTCAGAGATAATATTTTTCCCTCCAGCAAATCATGATGGATTAGGCCCTCACTCCCAGCTAATCATAGCTGAGCAGATCAAAGCACACCAAAGATGTGCATCTCTCTGATAAAACACAACAGATGGAAAACCTTACTTGCCAAGGAAAAGCATGTCTGCAAAATGTGGGTGATAAGCACAGAGAAACACCAACTCAACAAACTACATCCACCTTCAACATTTTATCTAAAGTGTACTTAATTGAGCTGCCAGTTAATCTTTTCCAGTATTTGATAAAATAATTATATTAAATCACAGAAAAATGTCACTACCTCAATTAACTAGGAGATTTTCCCAGGAGAACTGAACTTGAAATTGCCATTAATGAGGCAGGAAAAAAGGGACGCACGTAATAATGAGGCAGTGCTGGTATCTTTTGAACCATTATCTCCTGGAAGCAAATGGTAAGTCAATGCAGTTGCTGTCCTACACCCCATACAAGTATACCATCTACATCATCAGAAGCTTACAGCTCCAGGAGATTCTGTATCCATCTCCCCAGGTAAAGCAGGTGATATATTAAATTAAATGAAAATATATTCTTTGCATCACTGAACAAACCTGCAAACTGTACAACATTGATCTTATATTAGACAAAACAAAATCAAACACAAGAATGTTCACATTAAGGCATTTTTCTAATTTCAGTTCTGCTTAGGTTATTTGTGTTTTGAAGTGTTAACACAGTTTACACTATGCTAGCAAGACCATTCAACCTGTAAGACTTAGGATTCGACAAGTAAAAGCAGGAATACAAACAACATAGTCTTATTCAACTTCTCAGTTTTTAACACTGATGAACTGAATCCTTTGGTTTAATATAAATCAATTTGTTAATTCGATGTGAGGCTTTTGCAATTCACACAGGAATACAGGAAGCTGCCTTGTACCAAGTCAGACTATTGATCCATTACTGTCTACACTGACTGGAAGTGGCTGTCCAGGATTTCAAGCAGGGAGTCTCTCTTAACCCTACCTGGAGATTGAAGGCAGACATTTTACCACTGAGCTACAACCCTTCCCTTACATACATTACGTCCTAGAGCTCTGAATGAACACGAGATATTTCATTAATATTGTCTGGTTTTAGTGCTATATAAGTTTGTGCTTCTGTGCCTTTAAGACTGTTGGTGCTTTAATGTGAGAGAGATTTCACTTCCTAAGTCACTGTTACTGTTGTTGTGTTTGGAATTTTGCAACTGAAGGGAAAGGAACTCATATTTTGCAGCTCCCTTGCCTCAAGTTATTAGGAAATGATTTGCCTATTGAAGCAGTTATTGTTCAACAAGATTTTTTCCCTAGCTCACTTATTTCAAATATTGACATTTTTTGACATACACTTTTATGTTACACCAAAATCTTGATTTAAGAAAGCTTTCTGGGAAGATATTTTATTTGTATTCATGATGTATACAATAGCCTGGTTCTCATGTCACATTAAACCTGTCTTCTCCAAAGAGGTGTGCCCCAGACAAACCTGATTTCCCCCAAACAGGCTACTTCAAATTCTGGCAGGAAAGAAAGACAGATGAGCCCCAAAGATAATAAAACCCAAGTCAGAAGAGCATAGAAGAGCAGCTTTTTTGGAAAAAAAGATAACTCAATTCCAAATCAAGTAGGGCTTTGTAGGTCAAAACTAGCATTTTGAAATGCACCCTGAAACAGACTGATAGCCAATGAAATTGTTTTAATATAGGGGCTGCTCCCTACAAGTAGCCCTAGTCAATAGTCTGGCTGCAGAATTCACATGTTTTTACTGCGAAATCACTTCAATAAATTTCATGAGCAGTAATTCATAAATGGAATCAAATAAATACAGAATGATCTGAAGTTTCTGAACAGTCTTCAAAGGTAGCCCCATGAAAAATGTATTGTCGTTTAGTCATGTCCGACTCTTCGTGACCCCATGGACCAGAGCACGCCAGGCACTCCTGTCTTCCACTGCCTCCCGCAGTTTGGTCAAACTCATGTTCGTAGCTTCGAGAACACTATCCAACCATCTCGTCCTCTGTCGTCCCCTTCTCCTTGTGCCCTCAATCTTTCCCAACATCAGGCCTTTTCCAGGGAGTCTTCTCTTCTCATGAGGTGGCCAAAGTATTGGAGCCTCCGCTTCAGGATCTGTCCTTCCAGTGAGCACTGAGGGCTGATTTCATTCAGAATGGATAGGTTGGATCTTCTTGCAGTCCATGGGACTCTCAAGAGTCTCCTCCAGCACCATAATTCAAAAGCATTGATTGTTTGGCAATAAGCTTTCTTTATGGTCCAGTAGTTTAAATGTTGTGTTTATAAAGAACGCATTTTAAAGGTGCTAACCGAGTAAAAGATTGTGGTAAAAAGTGAAGACAACATGATTTAAGTGACATGTTTATTTCTGCTTGCTTAGCTTTGACTTTTTTTAGGTGCCACTTAGTCCAGTTCTCATCCTTCAGACTCTCTGCATCTTCATCCCATCCCTTCCATTGCTCACCTTACCTCTAGCTACTGTTTCATTTGCTCCCTTTCCCTCCCCTGGGCACATTTCCCTTGCTTCTGTTTGGGTTCTGCTTCAGGAAACTGCTCAAGAATTTAAGGGCAGAAGACTGGGTTCCTAACAGTCACAAATAATTTGTGCCCATATCAGAGCAGATGGTAGACTTTTGGAATCTAGATAGCGATGGCCCTGTTCCAAAGTTCAAACTGTAGTTTGAGCTACCTTTGCAAGCCAGTGATATACATTTTTACCAAATCAGTATGACAGAATTTGCTACTATAGAAAGCAAGAGAGACTCATCTACATGGGAGGATGACAATGTGCTCAAAGAACTGCACATGACTTCAGCTTTTCAGACAAGCTTTTAAGTGCAGAAACCTACCACAGCTCCATGTATAATAAGAAACATTTACTTTAACGAATGATTACAAACAGAAGGCTCTTAAACAACTCTCTGTCCAACAGGGACCTTTAAATATTTACATTGTGCTGGTGGACACGTAACAAGGCTTTATGCTCCAACCAAGCTCAGTATAGTGCCCACACAGAATATTCTGCTTTATTTTTCTGTCATCTCCTGGTCAAACATTAGATTAAAGATTGACGCAGGCAAGCTTCCACCTACAGCAGTCTTGCCACTCATGTACAACTAATTCCATCTGTATTTCCCCCCACAATCCATATGGCAGCTATTTTAAATGTGACTAGGAACTACAAGTTAGATCTTCAATGTGACTATGACTGCTGCACTAAAAAAGGAGTGAGTTTGTCTTTCATTATTAACTATACCTGCAAGTATTATTAGTTGGGCTTTTGAAAAGGAATGGAAATTACTGCATTTGGGGGGATTACTGGTTTGGAGGAGACTGGCAGACTTAGTTTACTTCATAGGACTTAGATCTTAAATCAAACACTACAGGAAACTTTGGGACATCAATGGAACCATTTCCAAGAAGGTCTTTCAGTAGTTAATTAGCCGTCAGAAACTGCATGGTTAAGTAAAGTTGGCCATCTCTTCTGTTTCGGCGATATAAATAGAATCAATGGGCTTGATCCAGCCAAATTAAATTGAGCACAAACCAAGATGTTTGCTGTTACTTGAAGTAAATTGTACTTGGAAGATGCAGAACCCTCCTTTATCAAAAAAAAAGAAATGTTTTTGAGATTTAAAAGTACTTCAACTTTGCCTAATCAAGAAACGATCCTAAATTTGTGCTGGTTGCTTTTCACTTCTTGGAATTTATAAACTTTTTGTGTCTGTTTTGTTAGTCATTTCAGCACAGACCTAAGGTCTTGGCAGGACAGAATTATGTTTCACATCTAAGAAGCATAAATAAGAAGGAATAAGAGCCATATGTATGCTCATCAGTAAGAGCAACATGATTGCACAGTGCAGCAAATGGAGATTCCTGTGGATTTCCCAGCACTAATGGCTCAGAATGGGGGGGAAAGGACTATGAAAAACATGCAATTTCCAAAGCTTATTCTGTCAATCAGTGCAAATGTGAAACCTAATTCCTGTGTGTCAATAAAACTGATGAAATGGAAATTCTGTGATCTCCTTCCTGCATGGTGCAGGAATTTGGAAGTTAACGTAAACACAAGTTCATGAGACAAATGCTGCTGTATGAAAGTCCTACCTAGTTCAGCGTTCTGTTTCCCACAATGGGCAGTCAGATGCCAATGGAAATCCCACAAAGTTGCTGCTTGTCCTCACCCTAAGGCCCAGATGACACTGATAATTACATTTAATGAATTTATATTTGCTTCATATATATTGGTTTATTTTGTTTTTAAGAAAATGTGGCAGGAATAGAGCTGTAAATTTCTGCTTCTGCATCTTTTTTTATTAAGACTAATTCATTTGTTTTTTTAATTTTATCCCTTTTTTTTGCTAGCCAGTTATAGACTATAGCTTAAACCTTGCCTTGAATTATGTTTCTATATTAATAAAACTAAAATTAAATGTGAATGGGTCAAGTCTGCTATATTAGATTTTTTAATATAATTGGTTTTAACTATAGCCAGCTTCTGAATACTAGCTGAAGGGGAGAGGGCTCTTGCGTTAAGATTCTGCTTGCAGGCTTTGCATAGGGACGTGGTTGGCGCATGTTAGACTCATGCAGGTCCTCTCTGGGAAGTGTTTTAAATACTTCTAACAATGTATCCTTGTGATTTTAAGATTACTTTATAACCTAGTAAATATCCTTCACATGGAACATGATTTTGACAAAGATTTCATATTAAAAAGAAAACTGTCTGAATTAAAATACCTTGGAGGTGGGGAGGACATACACCACTTCCTACTGTACTTCTTATAAAGATTTTATTTATTCATCACTCTTCCTCCAAGGTGATGTACGAAAAGAATACCTAGTTTATGTCATCAATAAAGTTACGGGTAGCCCTTATTCTTTCCCCCAGAAGTCCTGCCTTTTAATATAAATTTTATATAGCTTGATATATAATTTGAATTTTATGTGAATTTTATATTATTGGGGGGAGTTTGTTTCAGTGATAGTTTGTGACCTACACAACGTCACCATCGCATTGTTCTTGATCTGATGGAGCAGGTTTTATGACACACACACACACACCCAATCTACAGGGTAGGTGTTAATTCAAAATGTTTGGGGGTTGTGCCCCTGTACATAGTGACTCCGTAGATGTATTCCCTTCAATGTACAGGCTAGTGTTTGCTCCTGTTTGTCAAGGCATCCATCATCCCATGGAATGGTGATGGTGGGTCATCAACATCCCTTATTCCTATTGGTTAGGAAAGTGGTGGGCCACCTCTAAAGGAGTAGATACACTGGAGAAATTTCAAACACTAACCTGTATATTGAAGGGACTACTGTACAGAGGGACTCACCACCAAGTTGGAGGCAAACATTCTAAACCTTGGTTTCTGATGCTGGTTTGCAGAATAAACACAACTACTGTTTGCCTCATACTACAATCAGATTCAGGGAATCAACACACATAAGGGAACAGGGGGTTGGTATCACAGGAGCCCCATAGCTTCCTGTTTTTTTCAATTGCCAAATCATGATTTGATATTACACTAGAATCACCCTTGTGAATAGCACAGTTTCCCAAAGCAGTCGTCCTTCTTATTTTCAGAATAATTCATAGCATTCCAAGGGTTGTTCAGCTTGATTTAATTACCTGGAACCAATGCAAGACCATTTTATTTGGGCTAGCCACTGTTGTGGTTAAATTGGCATAGATTTACTTGGGAGTAGGTTTTCATATTTTACCTTTGTTTTCAAAACATGCCACTTATTTTGAACATGAATAACATAGGTTATAGTATTTTTATAAATCAACATTATATATGTACAATATTTTACATAAAGACAGGACACGTTGTGAAAGAGAACGAGAGCATCCGGACTTACACCCCACCCTCCCTTCAGGCTAACTAGAATAGCTGTGCACTTTCACTTTGTGAAAGAAACAAGCATGCATTTCATTGAAATGGAAACAGTTTCAGAACCTTGACTGCAAGTGCATTTTAAGTCCCCTTCAGGACAGCTTCTATTTTGAAATGCAAGATGTGTTGCTCTCCATCAAAAACCCATTTGGCTGAATGGTTATGAATAAATAAATACATAAGTATCATATGGACAAAGAAAGAATATATGAAACACTCCATAAAGCTACAGAACTCCCACCTCTGCTCTACTTGAATGAACCACAAACATGTCTTCAAAACAGGCCCCAAAGCAGTAAAAGCAAATACAGTGGGGGAGAATTTCTGTTCTGGAAGAAATAACAGTAACCACGCATGGGAACTCTCTGCAGGATTTCTACAACTTACCCAAACAACTAGGCTGTAATGAAACGCCCATAAAGCATGATTATCCATATTAGATTACCCATAATCATACATGGGTAACTAATCTCTCTTGATTCCAAATCTGTGCTTTCCCTCAATTTCTTGCCTTATATTTGGAACTGCTTCCTCTTATCTAGCTCCAATCTCAAAATGGACTTCTCATCTCTTTACTGGGTAATCACAAATGTTTGCATTTTCTGCTAATTCAGATTTTGTTCTTTCACTTCACCTTTCTCCTGTCTAAATCAACCAGACAATAAAGTCCAAAGTGGTTGTGTGTCTCTTTGGTACTGTGATCAGAATGCAGCACACTGATTTGCAATAGGCATGTTTTAATTTTTACTCATCACCATAATACTCAAAGGCTGCACAAAATCACATTTAACACAGCTTGGAATTGGATCACATTTTCAAAACAAAGCAGCAACCCAGTGCTAGTACAATAACATTTAGAAACCACAATTTCTTTTAACAGTGTTCGGGGCCAGGGACCAGGGGCCGACATGCATCTGAAAAAGACCTAGAATAGGTACATCTGTATCAGTGAAACCGGACGCCTTAATCTGCCCCAGCTGCAATAAAACATGTCTCTCCCATTTTGGTCTCTACAGCTACAGCAGATACTGTTACTCTTCAACAGTTTGAATTTATTCCCGATGGCATACTCTTGCATTGTCCCTTGAGATGGATGGATGCCAACAAGAATAGGTAATATCTATTTTATTGACAAAAACAAAAGTAGAGAATTCAGAGCTAATCTTGGTCATATTGCAACATTATTCAGAGAGCTGTTACTGGGAAAGATACACACCTTAGCATAAGAAATCTTTAAAGATTCATTTCCTTTTTTACTCTATCATACCCACACCTACTGATTTCAACTGATCTTAACTCTACATGACTTCACTTTGACTTGCATCCTAAATCAAGGAAAGGAAAGGAAAGGAAAGGAAAGGAAAGGAAAGGAAAGGAAAGGAAAGGAAAGGAAAGGAAAGGAAAGAGAGCCTTGTGCAAGAATTTCAAATATCAGGAAAAGGCCGCTTCACACATCTAAGATGTTTTAAATATACATGAAATCAAACATGCATCATACAGGTATACTGATCAGACAGCCAATTGGTTGCAGCCTCCAGTTAAGTGTATACTCAGTGGCAAACACATGTTTGCGTCTACACAATGTGCAAAGTGTTAAGACAGTGATCCAAAGGGTGACTTCCCGTAACTCACTGTAAGCTCACTTTCTCAGAAGAAGATGTTGCAAGAGGAACCTCTGAGCCTTCTCAAGTGGGCAGGTTCTAATTCCATATTCCATGTGTGTAACAATATGAATATCAATGCCTGTCACACACACACACACACACAAAACAACCCCCTAATATCAGAAAAGTATTTTCTTTTTATCATATTTTAGACTAGAAAAGCATCAAAACAGGAACAAACACAAATGCAACACTGTGCAAAAGCTTATCTAAACTATAAAAAAAACCCCTCAGTATTTTGGATAAAAGAACTAAAAGAAAGATTAACTGAATAATGCCAGACTCTGTCATAAAAATATGGAGCATGCTGAGAAGCTGTGTAATAAAGATTTTAATACCCACAGAGCAGAGTTCCAGCAGTGTGAGAGTTCAGCAGGTCTTGGATAATAACATTCTACTGTTTTGTTCTTTGGGGGGGAAATCATAACAAGAAAAGAAACATGTGTGAAAAATGATCTATGGGACACTACTAATGCAAACTACTGAGTAGCTAGCCATTGGTTAGTGTTAACATTTTCAGCTATGTTTTCAGTGACAAAGGTCCCCACTGCCCTCTGTTAGGCAGTGTGCCGGTCATGAAAAGCTAGTACAATAATTATACTAGAAGTCTCCATTCATTGCTTCCCATCATTAATCACCTTGTTACTTGCAAAACCTTTTGCCATCTTTTGATCATTCACGTAAACACTGAGGTTTTTAAAATCTATTTTCTTTTCCTTCTCTGGTTTTTTACACATAAACCGCATGCATGGGAGGTTCAAAATATTGCTTTTCTTGGCCAGTGTTCCTGCTGTGCTGCTAGAATGTCATACATTTCTAATAGTGTTTTCCCCCCCCCTTCTCTTCCCCCTACCCAACTCATTTTACCTTCTCGCTGCCTTTGCACTTCATTGCATTCTGGTTATTAAGGGGGTAGGTTAGAGGAGAGGAGACAACTTTGCAGTGTGCTGCCTGTACTGGAGCACAATGCATAATGATAGGGAATATTCCCGTCCATTATATGACAGTTTATGCTACCTGATGCTCTGGAACTCTTTGGGATATAAATACATCATAGACATGATCAGCAAACCCTGACATTCTTTCAGTTTGATCAAGCCCATGTGACAGCCTTGAAACAAGATGCTTTTATTTTAAGAAAAGCATCAGTGTGTGAATAATCAGAGTTAACATGGTATTTATATTTGGCTTGGCTCTCTTTTCAATGTTCTGTCTTTTAACTCTCCAGCCTAAAACGTTTCACAGTGCTTTAGCAACTTTAAAGAAAACAATCGATCAAAGATGCACACATGTTTTGTGTGCTATACAGTATACCTCTTCGTGTTTCAACTCACTGTCATATTGGCCACACAGAGATTTTAAATATGCCCACCAAATTCATTGTGCTCATTTCTCAGGAGAACAGCCAGCATCCAATTCAAATTCTCTTACAAAATACTGCAGCTAAGGGCCAAATTAAGATGAGATGCTATTTGTGAAATTAGCAAATGGAAATTAGCAAATCATCAGGACTGTTGAATTGGCTCTACCAATGTGTTACCGAGCCAGGTTCAAAGTTCTTTACTAATTCACAACATTCATGAGCAAGCCAGGCATTTCAACCAGGCTCCTTTTCACTGCCACGTACAATGAGGAGGCCCAATCCAGAGGCCACTGGCAGCATGAAATCTGCCCAGTGCCACCCCAGTCATTTCCATCTAAATGTAGCACCCACATATGCTCAGTACTGTACATACAGTGCAAAATTAAAATAACAAAAATTGGACATTCAGCAATGAGTCAGGTCTGATATCTCCCAAACCAGGCTGTCTGGTAGTTTTCCTAATTAATTTGGAACCCTAACCTGAAGAAAATTATTGCCCTTTTAGTTTTAAGGTTTGGTGTATATTATTTCAAGGCAGCTCTACAAGCTTTTCCTATGATGAGATATTCACTTGAACATTGCACAACAGTCATATGATACAGTGAATGTTTTATGAGACAGACATGACAGATTAAAATTAAAAACAGGTTCCCTGTCTGGACTCAGAAGAATAATGACAGGGGAAGAGACACACAGAGAGAGACTGGGGATTAGGGATAAAAACAGGCTGAGACAAAGAGTTACAGCATCCTCTCCAGAATAAAAGCAGCTTTTACCAATAAGGATCTCCAACATTTGTGAATGCAGTTGAATGCACATTGATATTGGCATGCGTATGCCTTGTGCTATTTTTATTTATTATTGCAGTACAAATAGTCAATTTTCTTTATTAGTCTAAATGCAATTCTTTTACCTCATTGTATTTAAATATTTCCTAAAATTCCGGCTGTCGTACAAAAACAGACTAATAGTTCAACACACACCTAATCAACTGGTCCTCTTTATCTATAGCATATTTTTATTTAACAACAATTTTCTTTGAACTTCTGCTTATCAAGTAGTGTCAGAAAAATGGCCTGAAGTAATATTAAAAGGGTTACTGGCTCCCAGCTAAGCACTTCAATGTAGACCATTTTCAAATCCCCCCATCACCTATATTCTGACCTCATATTCTGTTTCTCAATTAGCACTGGAATAACCTGAAACGACAGCATCCACAAATTGTTCCCATTTGCCTGTTTGACTCTCCCCTCGTTTGGTGGTCATCACTGTATACTGTGGCCGTCATTTACATAGTTTGACTATGAGCTGTATGAAGGAACATTTCTTTCATGCACTGGTGGAGGAAGAGGGGGGCAGGGAGAGCACACCGCCCCTGGCACCATGATCCCGGTAGGGTGCCATCGTGCCCCCCCACTGGGCACCACACCCCCACAGGCGCATCACGCCCCCAGGACATGCATCACGCCCCTGCGGGCAGCATGCTATGCCCCCAGGACACTGCTTTCATGTGTCCTGAAACTTCCAGCATTCATTTTCAATGGAGTCCCACGACTGCTAGTGCTATGAGAGAGGAAGCACAATCTTGTCTGAAATCGGCACTAACGGCAACTTCCTGCAAGTCACCTAACATTCATACTTGCATCCTAATAGGCAGCCTTGCTGCCTTCACATGTAGTTCTCTATTCTTAAGATCAGAGAGATCTGTAGTCCAACTTGCACATTGGTGTGCAAGGTCTTGGGAAGAGGAACTGACCAAGTGTAGAAGGACCAGAGCTGGCCCAGCCATCAGGCAGGGTGAGGCTGCTGCCTCAGGCAGCACCCCTACAGGTGCCCTGTCTGTGCTGCCACCTCTGCCAGTGGCAGAGAAGTGCCGCTGCCAACAGCGCTGATTTGGGGCAAGATCATGACCATTTTGGGTGAGATCTCACCCCAAATCAGAGCAATCTTGTTGGCACTAATGGTGGTGGTGCTTCACCAACAGCAGCAGATGCTGCAGAGAATGTGGCGGTGTCAGAACAGACAGTGTCAGTGGAAGCTGCAGGGGCAGGTATGTTGGTGGCAGCAGCAGGGGCAGTGGCAGGGCAGGGCGGCACTTCGTTTCACCTCAAGCAGTGAAACCTCAAGCAGTCACTCCTGAGAAGGACAACACAAAAAGCATGTTCATTTTGTGCATACTCTCACCAAGCATAATAAAAAAGAAACACAAGAAAGTTGGGGTTTTGTTTTGTTTTTTGTTATTGTATTCTTTCCCACTCCATTTTTGGAACCCATTAGACACCTCGGGTGAAGATATGTAGTTGGCTGGCACTCTCTATATATTTGAAATCCATATTATTCTAGCACTAAAACGCAAGTGTAGACTTCATTCAGCACTGAAACAGAAAAGAGATGCAGTCGTTTTTCAGTAATCTCAAACCACACTTAAATAAAGCCATCTCACTTATGAAAGATATCACACTTGATGTTTTGCATCTTATATGCACACACTGAGAAATCCTTTGGCTGTCTTTCTGTGTGTATGAACAGCGAATTTAATTAAAAAATCAATTAACAAAAGAAACCAGCCCAATCTAGAGAACAACAGTGAGAATGCCCTTGTTTCCTGCTTGTGAGCGTTCCATAAGCATCTCTTTCACCACTGTGGCAAAAACAGGAAGTTGGACCAGATGGACTTTTGTGTTTTTATGTACTATCCTACCAGGAACTTGTAATGCAATCACAACATATTTCACTTTTCAGATTCTGGAGATTAGTTGTAAGATTTAAACTAATTCCAAATAATCCCTATCTTAAAATTAAGCCCCAAAGAAGTAATATAGAGGGGTTGTAGTGTTTCATTTTAGAAGTTGTCATGGTAAAAGTTGAAAGATTTAAGGCCAGTCAAGAACATCTAGCGCTCAGTAGGCAAGCAAATTCTTTAGCGTTAGACTGAACCATGCATGCATAGATTTTTCCTCAGTGTAGCCTAAGAGGCAGAAATGAAGGGAAATACCTGATGTAAAAAAATATTTGTACATGAACACTTGTACTGCAATAAAATAATTAAGTATTTTAATGTATCAAATGGGGGTTTTTTTGGGGGGTAACATGGGTACTCTTCCAGAACCTTTATGAATTCTTTCAATTTCTGCTGCCCATTTCATAGAGCTGTAACCATAAATATTAGATATATACCTCCAAACACCAGGTCCAGGTCAATGTTCATAAACATCAACATGTTCCTTTGAAAAATAAGAACAAAAGAATTATGAAGTATTGCTAAAAGGCATACATTGACTGCAAGTACTTTTGACCTTTAGGTTTAGCAGAGATCTGAACAGCAGTGACTTGACCCAGCTTCAGTATAAGCAAATATGTTTAGAATGCACAATTAAAAACTAGTTCCACAACTGCAAGCAAATGCTTTTCCTAAAGCCATTTAGCTGCAGAGGTTCAAATCCTGCCCTGCTTAGGATACTAAGGAATGTAAGGCTCCAGTGAGTTGCTCAACACTTGGAATAGTTCCCTTTGCTTGTGTTTGTCATTAGGAGCTGGAAACATTCTCATTTCCATCTGCTTAACAGATGCTCAGATCAGCATCTTGCAAGACAACATTTCATACCAAAACATTTTCAAAATAGCAGGCATCTAAGTCAGTAAAAGTTTGGGAAGGCTACAAGTTGGAAGAAAAATATATCAGACTGTGCAGGGAAAAAAGCTTGAAGAAAACTGGATAACATATGGGGCTTCTTTTTCAACTGCATTCTTTCAAATATTCCTGCTTCACAACAATCATTATCCAGGCATTATCCGGGCAATTGAAATGCTTGCAGGCTGTTATGCTGATACATTCTACAACCTCAGAGAATATGCAGCCATATGACCTGTCATATTCTTACACATGTTTTAATTATTTGAACATAGAAAAGAAAACTAAACTTCTGCACTTTGCATTTTGATGTAACTATAAGCCAGCCTCTGCCAATCTGGTTTCTTCCAGATGTTTTGGACTACTATTCCAATAAGCCCCAGCCAGTGTAGCTGGGAGGAGATCAAAATCTTTCATTTCCAATTTCAGTTCACCACAGTTTAGTGTTGCACCCAAACTTAAACAGTGGTTTTTTTAAACTATGGTTAGATGGCTTGTTGGTTGAAACAAATCAAGTTGTCTATAGCATGAAGCTGGTTTGTTCCAACTAACCTTACTTAACACAAACCACAGTTTGCTTAGGTTCAGACATAATGCTAAGCTGTAGTTAGTCTGAAACAGAAACGAAAACATTCAGAACTCTCCTCCCAATCATGCTGGAGATGGGTGAAGGGAAGCACCTGAATCTTTCCTAGATATGTTTCCATAATGATATACCATTGACTCTTTCTTCCCATCCTGACAAAACTGCTTACCTCTAACATGGCTTGCGTAGACATAACAGTCAGTCAGTCTCTTAACAATGATTGAATATTTTTTTTTAAAAGGAAAATATTTAAAAGATGACAAATGGGCTACATAATTGCATGTTCAGATTAATTCAGCCCTCCACCTTCAAATTTCAGTTAAGCACTACATTGGTATCACAGTTAACTATGTTAAGGGCAATCGGAGTTCCTTCTTAGCCCAGGATTTGAAATGATCCCATTTCCCAGTCCCAACCTCTTAATCACTGTTAAGGAATGACATTATGCCTGCAGCAGTCCATCATCTCACTGAGAATGAACATTTTGCTTGAATACTTTGTAGTAATCTCACTGCAGAGCTGAAAAGATTCTTTCCTGTTTTTTCACTTTTTAAGTACATCACAAAATGCTTTGAGCCTCATAGGTTCAAGCCCAGCTTGTTGTACATCACACAATTCAATATATTGAAGGTTGCCCGTCTTGCCCTCCTGGCTTGACTGACGGCTGATTGTTTTCAAGCAATTTAAAGAGCAAGAGCAGAACACAGAATGGTCTTACTATGTTATGTTCATTTTATAGAGCACTTGCATAAAATCCTTCTCATTGATTTGTAACCTTTCAGAAATACCAAATTGGCATGACTGTGTTCGTAGTGGTCATGTGTGTGGTATGTAGTGGCCACATGAATAACTTTTCACTGCCAACACATGACATCATGCGAGGCATGCAGAGAAGACTCAAATTCCCAATCTATTTTGAAATACAAAACTGCAGGCTTTGCTTGCAAATGGCAACAGGGAGAATACAAACTTGCCTTAGTTATTTCTACCCAAAAGCACAGAATTTTGAAGGGAATGAAAAAACAGAACTTTGAAAACTATCCTCTTTAATGTATATGTAGAGCAATAGGAAATATGTGTTCCAATAGGTAGACTGAACTTGCAGAGAAGAACAGACAGCTGCCGTCCAGCTGCTATAGATAGTCGTTCAGGGTGCCTCAAGTACTTATTTCTCAAAAATGTTTTCCAAAATATTTCAAGAAGAAAAGGCTGGGAGTACTGAAACTAAACAAAGGTTTCACATTTACCTTATAGCAAAACTGGCCAGAGTTCTTTTTCCCGCAATAAATTATAGGTTCTCTTTTTACATAAAAACACAGATATAACAAAGTTATTCTGATCCCCTCAGGACAGTCTCCCTGCCCAAGTCTGCATTTTTGGAAAATATTCTGGAAAACAGTTTTTCTGAAACCATTCCTAAGTTCTGACAATGCTGGCAGTGGGGAAATGTTCAGTTTAACCCCCTCCCCCAAGCTATTCCATTTCTCACCCTATAGATAATATAAAATTGCTAGTCCCTAGGAAAATACTCTTCGTCCATGGGGTCACAAAGAGTCGGACACGACTAAACGACTAAACAACAACAACAGGAAAATACTGTCAGAAACTCGCAAAATGTTCCAGTAGTCTAATTTATGGTGTTTGTAGGGTTATCTATCAGGTATTTGAGCAGTGTTAGAGAAGACAAACAACACTGTTCTTATGCTGCATGGGGTGACTGGGAGTAGAATCATTGTAATCAGCTCCCCACCCCCCAAAAAGCTGCTGATTTAATCAAAATTCTATACAATGGGGAAGTCGGCTGTTACACCAAATCAAGCGGTAAATGCATGGAACAACAAGTGGTGTTGTGGTTTTATATTTCCTATTTCTCATTCATGGTCTTCATGCTATCACAATGGGCTGAGCTCTGAGTGAAATCTGACAAACTTGCTTCAGCAAGAATGGAAAGAGGAACTGCAAAACCTCAGCCCATGTCACCAAATTACAAAGCAGATTGCAATCCCAAGCCACTGTCAGCCGCACTTGTTCCATTTAAGTAGGACGAAAAAAGGAGAGACAGAGAACTAGTTTGACTAGCCTAAGCATATTCTGAAGGAAGTCTGCTGTCACGTACAGATGGAGGGACCTAGAGCAAATCCTCAGCATTGATGGTACTTCCTAATACCGTATTTTTTGCACCATAACACTCACTTTTTTCCTCCTAGAAAGTAAGGTGAAATGTCTGTGCGTGTTATGGAGGAAATGCCTACGGGTGGCATGCCTACGGATTTTCCTCCTCTATAAACTACATGCGTGTTATGGTCGGGTGCGTGTTATAGAGCGAAAAATACGGTATTTTACAGCAATCCCCTGAGCCAGTGGCAAGCACGTTCTCCTTATTAGCTGACTCCTACTACTTCCCTTGCTTGCCTCTTTAGAATTTTGAAACAAGTGCTGAAGTTGATATTTGAACTCATGTCTCTAACCATCAATCTACAGCCAGGCATAAGAAGCCAGCATTGTTTTAAACTGTTTTTAATATTGTGTTTTAATGTTGTGACCCACTGTGGAACCTTGTGAAGCGTAGGTAATAAACAAGCAAATAATACCTGTTTTTTTCATATACCTAGAAGCAAATGCATTGTCCACCCCAGTCTGCACTGGAAACGAAAAGCATTATTACTTTGCCAAAAATTGCTCAAAGACACTAACATTCAAATTCTAAGATTGGCCCCTCTGTGTCATCAAAGTAGCCAAGCCCTCTAGATGTTGTGCCCTCTAGATGTTGACCACAATTCCCATCAGCCTCAGCAATCATGGCAAATGGTCAGGGATGATGGAAGTTGTAGTCCAACAATATATTGAGGGCACTATGTTGGCTACCCCAAGCTAAGCCAGTTCCTACTAAGATAACTCTGAACCCCCTGCACAGAAAACCTCCAGAATATCAAAAGAAGTGGTGTAATTAAAAAACATGGATTTCAAAAAGGAAATAATACAAAAAATAAGATATCAGAACATGATGATCATGCAAGATGTATTTCCTGTTGTTGTGAAAGGTATTATAGCAGTTTACTGTTATACTTTATTTCAAAATTCTCACATTGCAGGGGGGAATAGGATGCACATTTTCCTCTAATCATCGTTATCTAAAAATGCTAGCATTAATGTGTTGAAAGCTTCATGGTTTGTGGAAGTTGGCACAAAGTGTCACAGCATAATTCTCTATTCATTTTTATTAATGTTAAGTCTGGGTTTAACAACTCTCTAAAAATTCAACGCTTCATAAAAAATGATAAACTGACATAAGAAAATGGCACACAGTTTCACGCTATTTCTGCTCAGCAAAGGAAGACAGGAAACTGATAATATTGTCAAAATACTATGATTCCCAGAGAGAGAGAGAGAATGTGGAGTTTCCCTCAAGGCAAGAGTTTTGAGAAGTTCCTAGTTCTGATTTTGTACCAATCCCACCAGCAAACATAGGAAACAATGACAATACTGGTAGTATTGTATTTTCAGGTAGACATATACATCCCTTGATGCACACCAGTCACAGAATATACAAGCAATGGCAAAACAATGCACAGGAAATGAAGCCTTCAAAGGGTAGCTATCTAGAAGTTGTCAGGAACTGATTTTGCTGCATTGACTCACTTCTGGGCATTTCCTAGGTGATGACTGTGAATTGTGCCAAACTGTGTTAAATTATGTATACACTGATGTCTGCCTGGGACAGAATTGAAGTCATCTTTCCTATTTAGGACTTCAAACAGTCCTAGAAGCACAGCTTGGGGATGAAGAGAGAGAGAGAGAGAAAGGGCAGGTTCTGTGGTCTTCGATTCTCTGTCAAGCTGCATTATGCTATAAAACTTACTGCATGGGTTATTTAATATTTTTAGTGATATACGGTAAGCAAAAATGTTATCCTCATCAGCTGCATTCTAGCACTTCCAAGTAATTGAGAGCAAGTGCTTGATTAAATGAAATTCCATAAGATTTATGCTTTGCGGTCTGAATGCTGAACTAATTTTATGGTGATGAAGTTCCACTGATATCAAAGTCAGCAATATATAAAATACCAATAGCATTGTATGTGTTACATAATTATATGATATATTATACCTTAACCTAGAACATAACTTCTATGCTGGCTCAACCATGAGCAGACTGTTACAATGGTTTCTTATGCAAGTGGTTTCTTATACAAGAAGAGATCCAGGATATACAATGCTAGCACTAGGCATATCCTAAGAAAAACTGCATTAATCTCACCAGCAATTATCACTGCTGAAAATCCCCCAATACATCCACAAGGCTTACATACAAGGAGGTGAACTAGATGACCCTTAGGGTCCCTTGCAACTCTACAATTCTATGATCCTAATTACTGTTCTACTTGCCAAGTGGTGTTTCTATGTTGACCATTAATCACTGAATAAGTACCTGCAAAGTATTTTACAGATATTTTAGAAGACATTCGAAACAATAGACATGACATCATCTAAGATGTTAGCAGACAGACACAAGCAAATAGCTGGGTATTTTCCTCTGTGATCTCAAGCAAGATATATAGTTTACTACACCATAACATATTCACAGAATAATAATGGTACTCTGTCACTAGCTAATCACATCTGAAAATGCCTTTCTCTTTTGTTTGATCCTTGTGTTCTTCTTAAAAAACTGAAACTCATTATTCATCTCTTCAATACGTTGGGCAAAATCTAGATTTAAATAAAAACTGGATGGCTTCTTATCTGAGAAGGCAGGTATACAGTTATTCAATGAAAATGTTTCAACAACATAGACATCTGACAACAGATGTGTCACTAACACTGAGCTTATACATTATTGAATTCTTTAACATCCAAACAAGAGCCAGTCTATGCCTTTTCAGTTCCAAATACAGACCCTGGCTAAGGAATGCTTTCCTGGCCTTGACATCATGCTTACTGATCATACCCCAAACCTAAGAACTATAGTAATTATCAAATGCTACTGAGATGGCATGCTCCATTAATCTCAAGAACAGTGCAACATTTAGGGATACCCATTACCATAAATTTAAAAAACTCTGCGGGTGAATAAATGAGAACTAGATAATTAAGCAAGCTTGTTATCACATTTATTACCCCAGTTAGTTTAGCCTACTAGCAGTTCCACAATCAATGAAGGAATATATCTCAAACAGGAAACACAGAAACACAGGTCACAAGGTCAGACTATACATCTATCTAGCACTGTACAGTATTCTGTACTATGAATGGCAGTTCTCCTGGGTGAGGTCTTCCGTATTACCGGCCCCCTAATCCTTGAAGCTGCTAATGCAAGAGACGGAACCTGGGCCCTTTAAAAAAACAAAAAAACCCAAAACACTTAATTGCCGAAGTAATGAGCTATGTCTCTCCTCAAACACTTACAATACTATTAACTGAACCTAGGGCCACTAAAAACCCCTGGGTGTGTACTAGTCCTTAGGTCAACAAAATCCCAAACCTTTCTCTTTTGAGGTTACCCATAGTTTTGGAATCTTGTGGGTAAGAAAAACTTAGAAGGAACACAGCTGTTACAGAAAGAGAACCCATAAACCCTACTGTGTAAATCCAGTACAGTGGGATTACAATTTATGCAAGGGTTATGTTCCAGAGGATAGTGTATAAAGCCAAAATTGTTTTAACTTTGGAATTGCCCCCATGTGACCATCCCTACCTTTCCAAAGCCAGTGTGCCAAGCAGGCCTTGGCCTCCGCCCCAACACACATGGTGGAGAGCTTTTAAGCTTTTTGTCTTGCTTACTGGGCTCTGGAAGGCTCTCACAAGATCTCATGGGATCCTCCCAGAGTTAGAGCCTGGTAAGCAAGATTGAGAGCTTAAAAGTGCTTTCCACACCAGGAAAGAGCTTTTAAGCTCTGCGCCTTGCATGCGTTTATCTTCTGTGATATCAGCTGGTCAGCTGCCAAGCACATAAAGCTGCAATCATGCAAGTTAAATGTGTGCACATTGCAAGCCGACTGTATTTATACACAACTCTTTGTCCACATATTTACTGCTCCCATAAACAGGCACAAGTGCTGCTGAAGGCAAGAGAGTTACATCAATTCATATGACATTTATGTGATTTAACAGATGATTCACCTTTCTCGTTTTTCAAGAATTAGAATTTCATTAATGCCACTTGAATTATCTCACAATCACGGGGCAAATGTGATATGCTCATCACTGCACACTTTGGCCAAAATTCAAAAACAGGCAATGCAGGACCATGGGAAATTGGAAACTCACCAAGGCTATCCCCACCAAGCACAGCCTCACCCTGCTGTTGTGCAGCAGCTCACTTGTGGACATGTCATTCCAGAAAAGCAAAGGGAAGCTTTTCTAGGAGGGAAAGTCTTAGCAAGTTAGATTCAGTTCTCAGGCCCTACGTCCTAGGCCCAAACTGTCAAAACTGCTGTAACTCATCAAAAATAGCATGGTCCCATCAAAAGGTAGCTCTAGTTATGTGAAAAGCATGTGAACACATTCACCTTCACTCTACAATTATGCTGGTAAGCTGAGAAATGAGAAAAAGAAGGGCTGTCAGTCTGTTAGGGATTACCACCTCATGGAAGGTAAGAACTTGAAAGCTGACTTGGTTGACACACCAGAACATATGGAACCTAAAAAGCCAGGGAGCCCAGAAGCAAAGTAGCTTAATGGGTGAGAACAGAGTTGACAGTAAGCAGCAGTCTCCCACCCACAGGCCCCCTTGGCTCACAAGGCCATTTTCCCCAATCCATGCCCACCTGCACCATCCCTGATGACATATGTGATATCAGGTGATTGGCAGGTAATGATGTAGTTACAAAGGAACAATCAGGAGCTTAAAGTGCAAGACTTGCTGCCAGGACCCTATAGCTGATTGGTGCTGCCAGCAAGCCCCACTGAGATCAGCTGAACTAACTCCCTAGTACACTCAATGAGACTCATTCTATCGGTGCTTAGATTGAACCCTTTGAAGACCTGCTGTTAACACCAATCAGTGCATCAGCACTAAGAGTGAGCCCTTTTGAGATTGCCCCATCCACCAGTCATGGTTTGCCCAACATCTGGCCTGATGCTTGGGTCCATGAGCTATAGGAACTTAATCCATGGGCAATTAAAAGAGACTGAGACTAGAGGAAAAGACCCTGGCATTGAGGGCTAGGAACCTAAGGGGTGCAGGGGTGCCATTCAAGACTCTGGAACTTTCTTGGTCATTATGAGTTGCATATAAGGAAGAACTCTGCAAGGAACAGTGTAATTTGGAAAAGCTAAAGCAGGCAGTGGGGTGGTATAATATGCTGAATTTCACATATTGATTTGAACTAGCCAGCTACATACTTCCTTTCACAATATTAAGAGCTATAAAAATAAGGAATTATTGGAGGGTTAACTTTATTACCCCTTTTAATTAATGTTAGTTGATATAAGAGTCCCAGGGCTAAACAACAGGGTAAGAACTCTGCTGAGTAGTGAGATGTTTGCCCCCCAAATCAACTTATTGAAAATCCCCCAAACTCTCCAAGTAGTTTATCTTAATACTATAGGTGTAATGGCTGCACAGCCCCCCTCCCCTTCTCCAAAGAAGAAATAAAAACAACTTTAGGTGGAAGTTCCCAGTGGAGGCCCATCAGGCCTCTCCAGAGGAAATGATGTTCCATGATCACAGCTGCTCTTATGAATAATTTCCTGCCACAGAATAAGCTCATTGGGCCTCTCTCCTCTCTGCTGGAGCCCTCCATCAGTCGCCACTTCTCCCAACAGATAAGGCTGTTTTTTCCTAGGGAAAGCAATAGACTGCGGTATACGGAAGGTGGGATGTGAACAGAATTAAGACACTATGCCCACCTTGAGTCTGTGTACTGCAGTTCAAACAGGGTTGATCCCATAACTGAGTGGCCCTGCACTGAATGTTTGCCCCCATCCTTAATGGAAACTTTTTTTTTTTTTAACATTGGAATTCAAAGATGCATATCTACAGCAGGGATTTCCTTCCCTTTTCTCCCTTCATGTGCCCCCCCGACTGGTTTGAGTGGGGATTAGGAGAACCTGCAGAATGGTACATGGGGGAAGGAAGGGAGATCATTCTTCCGGGTTGGCGCCTCTGGCAATGGCGGATTTCCTCCGATCGGGAGGAATCCGCTCCGTGGAAAACAGGGTCTGAACCGCCACGGCGAGGCGGAGACCCATCAAAAACCACAGGCGGGAGAAGCCTGTGGACGTGGGATTCAGCTGGCACCTTACTCACGGGGAAACCCGATTTCGGGCTTCCGGAGCGACGTGGGGTGAGTGGCACGGTGCCTTGAATCGACTGCTTCTTTCACGGAGTGAAGCCGCATTGCTGTTGCCGGAGAGCGCTGACTTTTTCCTGTGGACAATTGGAGCTTAAATAACTGTCCGTGAGTAGAACGGAAAATTGGAATAAGAAATTTCTTTTAATTTGGCACTGAAGCGGGAGGTCTAAACAGGAAGTCTGCCTTCCGTTTTTTGTAAATAGATTGAAGCAAAGACACGGCAAGCTAGAGCTTAGAAAATCGTTTGTAAAGGATCAATTTTCATCATTTAAAATTACTGAACCCCCCTTGGAAGCAGGAGAAGAGGGGGGGACTTTTTCTGGACTGATTAAACTTGCAGAAGATAAGTAAAGAAAAGCAATTCTCCACGGTCCTGAACCTGGGAGCGGGGTGTCAGGACAGACGTCTTCGGGAAGTTCATTGACTATAGACAAACGTTTTTGACAGATAGTTAAAAGAAGAGAAACATATGGATTCCATTGTTCCCCTTCGCATCTAAAAGGAACAAAATATTGACAAATGATCTGAAAAAGGAAAGTTTGTTGTTAGATTTGCTTTTTTTTAAAAAAAAAGAGAGAGATGGATACAAATAGAAGCTTTTTCCCCTAGAGGGAGCTTGTGAAACTGTTATTAAATTCGAACTGGGGAGCTTTGCAGCTGCAATAGATTAAGATCGTGGGAACAGACTCTGACCTTCAACAACAATGTACTCGGAGGCTCTGGTGTTGGCCTTTTGTAAGACAAGTGCTTTATTGGAACAGTTACATGAGAAGATGGATTTGATGACTGTTGGGATCGGAAAGTTTGGACAGGCAGTGGGTACTTATATAGAACCCACTCAGGAATTAACTCAGGAGTGTGCTTTGACAGATCAGATGAGGGAGGAGGTTGTTGCTGGACCTAGTGAGGCAGAGATGGAGGGAACTGTGGCCCAGCAGGAACATGAGTTGTTGGACTTGACGAATGAACCTGGAGGAAGCCAGATTTGGAGAGACAGAGTTCTGTTTGGTTTGGAGATGGGGGGCTGGATAGACCCCCCTATGCAGGGATGTTTTGACCTTTCAAGTCTGGCTTTGGGCCGGGAGGCGTTCAGAGTTGTGCGGGCCCTTAACTTTGGAGGGACTTTGAAACATGCTTTTAAATACCACATGGAGTTCAGTGTTGACTTTGGAAAAGGGGCTGATCTGTCGAGAAGGGACAAAAACATTGTCAAGCTGGAGTCTCCACGAGTGAAAGGAGCAGAAGACAAAGTAAAGCACAGGTATAAATATGAAGAAGATCTGTGGATGGGACATGGAAGAGATCCAAGGGCCTCGGATATAAGGTTACCAGGTTGATGGACTAGATGGATGGGATAGAAAGGACTGACAAAACCCGAGACCAGGAGAAAGAGACATTGGATGAAGATTGGAAGAAAGTTTTAAACAATTTATTTAGGAAAATCTTGTAAAAGTAAAGAGTATTAGAAAAATGTTGGAATGAAATTATTTGGCTTTAGCAGAAATGTTAAAAAGAATATGTCATGGTTAAGAGAATTTGGTATAAATAAGATTTAAGTTTTAAGTTTTAGGGCCTTTTATGGTAAGATAAGGTTAAAATAGATTAAGGTAATTTAATGACAGAATATTATGAAAGATGGAAAGGATTTGCTGAGATAATTAACAACTAGAATACAAAAAAGGGAGGTGTGAGGAGGTCGATGAAACAACGTAATGACAGTTAATGATTTGGGAATATTGGATTTGTTTTTAAATTTTTTGTCTATTTTTGATTTTGATGTATTATGTGTTTTGTATTTTTTCTCTTTTTGACCTTTTTTTTAATTGATTCGTATTGTTTAAATGTTACTTGTTTTTTCCTCCTTTTTTTTCTTTGTTTCTTTGTAATCTTAAAATTCTCAATAAATATTATTTTTTTTTTAAAAAAGAGATCATTCTGTCTAGCAAGCTGATATGCTTGTGCAGATGGAACATTTGTAATAGTGCGATGTTGAATTCCACCCTATGGAACTAATTTCAGCTGCTCCCATTTCAGGAGCTTCAATTCTAGTACAAGGTACTAGCAACTGTAATCAGCTGCTGATTACTCATTCTCAGACTTGCCTTGGTCCAAAATCATTCCCATTCTCATCTGTAAAATCAAGAGTATCAATGCACCTTATATAATATATAACACCATTTTGGGGGGGGGGGTAAAGCATTTCATTCAGTTATAATAGAAAGAATAATACATGTACACTATTTTATTTTATTTTATTTCACAAGGGGTTCTTAATATGTTAGATGTGATTCAAGAGTTAGAAATAAAAAGCTCTTCCATCTACTGTAGCCAATTCAAGTCAAAGATGCAGTGTCTGCACTAATTATCACAAAGAGCCAACTGGCTGTTGGATAGACAAGTAACCATAGCAACCCAGCCTAGATATCACTCATACAAATTACACCAGAGACGTTTCTAGTGGATCCATCCTGAAGCCAAAGTGGTCACATAAAGGTGAGGACATTTTTCAAGGACATTTCATAGCAAGCCGATTGGCAATGACAGCAGAATCTGCTCACAGTAACCACCACAATAAATTTCAATTTTGCTTTATCATAGTGTCATGAGGTATCCAGTGAACCCTGTTTATTGTATCTATAGAACTGATTATCTCTAGTAATAGAACTGCCCAGTATGTGCTGCACACAAAGAGATGGAAAAAACTGAGAAATTTTATATCATGCGTTGTGTGAATAGTTGCACAAAAGTCTTTAAAGCTGTGAATCCCTAACAGTCCATGTAAACAAGGGAAACATTGTTTTCATTTACCATGTAGCTGGCATAAAAGTGATTTCAACTGTTCAGATTAGAAAAGTTGTGTGTGTCTATATGTGTATGTATGCACAAGTTGCTGTTTTAATCCCTGCATTTTAAACAGAATATTCAAAACATAATATGATAGTAATTTATTTGAGTATTTGTATACTACAATTTCAGCCCCCTCAACGTGGTTCAGTTTTATTAAACTGTCCTGGGTTTACACTGAAAATCATATTAAAGTGCAAGACATTAAAGACCTCTGTCATGAAGAAGTTGGTCTGTATAGATACGTTTTAATGCTCAAATACATTCCTTCTAAGTATAGAACAGACAATCAGCGGAAGTGGTCAACATAATTGTTGAACCACAGTTCCTATCATCTTTGATCAATCCAGCTATGCTGGATTGAATCTAATAAGACCTGGAGGACACCATGTTGGCTACCCTTAATCTATGGTGTCTAATATCCTTGCATCACATACCACTTGGTATAATCAAATTTTGCAGGATGTAACACACCACACTCAGTAAGGTTAATGATGCAGAACTCAAATATGGGGTCTGTCAATCTGGGTCTGACCTATCATTATGTAAAGTGATGCAACCACCAAAAGCAGCCAATTCTCGATGGTGGCAGCAGTCCTCTGGCTGTTACTCCTGGCCATGCCCATCTGCTGGAGGGCACAACTCTATGTGTCATGCACGCCAATAAAATAGCTTGCTGTCCTCAGGTGCAGTGAAGAACTGCACCAGTGAAGTTGGCTATACTGAAATAAATTTCAGCAAGCAGTCCACTCATCTTCTCTACATGGACCATCTTGTCCTCTACTTCAGGCAGCTAAATGTCATGGGCTGGCCCTGGCTCTCAGAGCATGAGGTCAGGTTCAGATCCCCACATGCAAATGAGACCCTGCAAATGAAAGTGGAGCAAGTAGCAATGTTGTGTGCAATGTTGAACCTAAATGTACAATGCCAAACTCAGTTCTTAGCAGATATTTTTCTTCTTGTAGTGATTATATTGCAACACGTTTAAGATCTTGGTTACCAAATCACTTCACACAAATATACCAGAACTCTACACCAGGTAGCACCCAGTTGTTGAAACAGTAATGTTGGATTACAAGAGAAACAGAATCTCTCTGGATTATGGAGGACATGGTAAGGATAAACTGGCTCTAAATTCCCTTTACTATGATGCTGACAACATACCAGGAACATCAATATACCTGAATATCAGCCACAACAATGTCACCTGGCTACTAAATTACTTAATACCCTTGGGCCACTCACTATTTCACATTTGCAAAGGAACTTTGGAAGTTCCTTTCTTCCTAACTTCAACTGCTGCTCCCATGAAGTAAAATGCTCTTGTATTCAAACCATCTAGCCATTTGCATTTACAGTGATCGAAAACATTTTACCAATATATATTTAGTTCAAAAGTTACAGATTTGGTTTTCCTTCTGCAGCTGTTGGAATGACAGTCTGTTGTACAAGGAGAACAACAGCACTGAATTATCAGCAACTGCAGACTAAAGGGCTAACCTGCTGTAAAAATGCATCTATAATGGTACATATTGATGTATGGTGTATATGCAGCCTGGTACGCACACTGTGGTCTCCTTACTATGAATTCAGCTGGCTCAGTTAAACTTTTCCAACACTGTAGTTCAGTACTGAAAAGCTGAGATTTCTTCCCTGAAGACTAATTATCTTATCGTGATGTCCTAATCCAATAATGTTCTCCTCTTTTCATTCTTATTGCATGTATCTATTTTTGCATCCATTCACAGAACAAGCTTCTTTTGGTTTCACGGATCATCCTAAGCATGAAATAAGTAAATCGGCATATGACACAGCTCTCTCCAAGATTTGGAGATGATAAACTAGCTATTCTGTTGAGTGAGACACGGATGCTTGTTGACTTGGCAGCTGCTCTGCATTCAATGATTCATTTTCATTTCAGGACAATCACATATGTATTGTTCATTCCAATTTTTGGAGACTATTAGCTTTTCTAAAGCTATGTAGACACAGATATACCGGTCTCCTGTCTCCCTGACATGACTGAAAATGTCTTCCCATTTCTCAACACCATTGATGCCAGCTTGACATATGATTACAGTGCACATCATTTGAAGTGTAGGTGGGATACATAACAGTATTCACCCCTATGCTCATGCCACCATGGTACACATCACTGGGTGTTCCACAGCCAAACTCTTTCACCTAATTTCTCCACTTAGCTGGATCCAGGGAGTTTCTGCCTCTAAATTTTCACTTGCCTTTTTTTTCCCTTTTGCTATTCTTCAGGTGACCAAATATCTGTGTTGAGGACTGCTGATGTAGTCCCAGGGTAGCTGACCTGGTGCCCTTCATATATTGGTCAACAATTTCCATCAGTCCCAGCCAGTAAGGCTAACTGACGTGGATGATGGGAGTATTAATCCAGAAATATCTGGAGGGCACCATGTTGACTACATCTGAAGTGGTCAGGTACCTCTTTTTACCAGGACTTTGCAATCACTATCTGTGCAAAAAGGTCTTTTGGTTAAGGAAGGAATCACTGGCGAACAGTGAGTATCCACATTCCGCTTGCCTTCTTTGTAAGCACTTAATACCATTCGTGTTCTTCTTAATCTGCTTGGATATGCTACTGTATAAAAGCTTTTTCTGTATTATAAACTGTTGGAATTTTGCAATAGCTCATCTTCTGAAATCCATACCTCCCTTCACATCCTAGTCAAAGCAATATTATTCATGGCAAAGCTAAGGCAATGTTTGGAACAAGTCTATTATGCAGGCTGAAATTGTGCAGCTAGGCCAAAGGCATATTCTGTTGGGTATCTGCCTGTGATGAGCCTATCCTTAAAACAGTTTGGGGATTTCAAGGTCTCTGCAAATTTCTCTTTTAGCACACACAAACATCGAAAGAGGAAGCCAAGCAATGAATTTGGGAATAAGGAACTGTGTCAATTGGTGAAATGAACTTAGCAACATTTAATCAAGAGAAATGAGATGGCAAGAGGAAATTATGGATTCATTACCAACATTTATTTCATTCATACATTGCCTTTCTTTGAAATAAGTCAAGGTTGCATGGATATAATTCTCACATCCAGGCACTGAACCAGTTTAGACCTGCTTACACTTAGCAAAATTGCTGCATCATCTTCCTTTAAACCACTCCATTGGAGAATTTGGGCCTTGTTTGTTTAGGAATCTGCATTTACCCTTTTTGAAAAGGGAAGTGGTTGTGGTCAGCTTACCGCCATACCACTTACCAAGTTGGCAAAGAACCTTGAAAGAATTTGCTAACTGCTTTCCATATTTTGTGAAATGCAGTTGTACTGGCGAGAATGGGTTGCTACCGCACAATAGTCACAAAAGGAAGTGGCTTTAGCAATGCATGCATCAGCTAACCAACTGTGGCTGAAACAGACAAGGTCAGCTATGAATGTCAAATGATTGCGTTGGCAGTTTTACCATGTGAGGATGTGTAATTAAAGGAGAAGTCTTGAGATGGTAAGAACCTGAGATGTTGAGTAAACACGCAAACACAGTAATGTATTAATGCAACTGCCTGGTCCAAGTGAATGTGGATATAGTTCACAACAGGACTGTACTTGATTCTAGGAAGTCAAGCTCCGTATAGAGTGGACTGTTCCATGTGCAGTGATTAATTCATTTTATTTATAATGTGGGTTTGATTTTCTTAAAAGCTATGACACACTTAATGTAAATCCTAAGCAATGTAGATATGTAAGTACAGCTAAAGGTACACTCTGGGTTCAGAGTTAACTTCTTCTGTAGGCACAGAATATGTCCAATTTTTTATTAACTCATGCTTTTTTGCTGCTGCTGGTGACCTAGCAATTAAAGTAATGGTTGGGTATCTTTTTTCCCCTCCAAGGGTAACACTGTAATTCCTGCTACAGAAATAATATTCCACATCCAAAACTTCAATTGTAATAATGGTAAAATAAGCTGCTTCCCAAAATTAGTCAATATGACATGTCGAGCTGAGAGGAAATAAAAACTTGAAGTTTGCAATCTTCCAATTTAAGAAGACGCACCACCATACAATTGCAAATGCCATTTTGCAAAACTATATGCTAGAGTGATTGTCACCTGAGCCATGCAAGCACCATTCATCATAAGCTTAAGACAGAAGGGTCAGTCCAAGTTAAATGAAGATGTCAGGTAGTGTGGTGGAAACAAGACAAACAACACTTGCTTTTCAAAAAGGACGACTAAACATCTGACTGAAATAAGAACTGACTCTGATCACTGACTGTACTGAACTGGTTTCACGTTGAAGAATTTAAGAAAAGTATTAAACTTGCGACACAACCCCACAAGTTACAGGCAACCTTTTTAACCTCTGTCATTTTGCATTTGAGTAATGAGTGGTTTGAAAATAACAATTCGCAAGAATCATTCCTACAAGTTCCTGACTTCAGAGAGGGGAGGGGGAGAAAGCAAGATATCTTGATGTCTGTTCGAACTGTGGGGAAATGGCAAAGTACTTACTTGTCTTATTTGCAATGCACCCTTCACTGAGGAGCTTATGGCGGCATAGTTGGGGCTTGTCAGGGAACTGCCATCAGTGCCAGAGGGAGAGAGCAAAATCCAGAGGGATTCCAGAGAGCGTCCCGGGATTGGGAGAGGCAGCCCATCTTCTGGGGAAGAGAATCAGCGTAGCACCAGTGGAGAAGGGGGGCAGATGGGGGAAGCGGCGAGGCGGTCCCATGACTCCTTGCCGGGGACCAGCGGGGAGAGTAGAGGTCCTCCGCTGCCTACGCCCTCCTTGCGCAGAAGGCTTTCGCGCAGAGAGAGTAGGAGGAGACTAGGCGTCAAAGAGCTTATTTGCTGGAAGAAGTTTAAGAAACGTCCACTGACAGATTCTGCCAGCGATTGAGACAGCCACGGGTGAGTGGCTGGACAGAAAAGGTTCACTCAGGCAACCCAGCCAGGTGTTTGCACCGGCTTACGCACGAGCAACCCCCAGAACCACTACAGGGCTGTTTTCACTCTCTCAACCACTGTGGAAGTAGGTTAGCTTGAAAGACTATATAACCTGTATAAGCCTGCACAATGTACTCAATGGCAGATCAGTGATTTCAAGACAAACATTCACTATAGTAGTGACTTTAACCTTGGGTTTCCAGATATTGTTGGACAACAACTCCCATAATCCCCAACCACTGGCTAAGCTGACTGAGGATGATAGGAGTAGTAATGCAACAACATCTGGGAATTCAAGCTTGAAGAAGCCTGCTCTGAAGCAAAGGAAATTAAATGTAGTGCCGTCAATATGTTTTCTAGATTCCAGATCCCATCAGGCCCAGCCAGCATGCTGAATGATCAAGGAAAATTGGAACTGGAGTCCAACAATATATGAAGGGCAACACATTGACTTTCCCTGCTCTACAGAATGTCAACACTATTTACACTACATCACCTGAGCTTTCAGAGTAGCACAGGGCTAGCATATCCTGACAATGTCTGTTGCTGGTAATTCTAGAAATCTCCCAAGCGGATTAACTATTTGGAAACATTCCAAACAGTTTGGAGTATTGTGGAAAGAGACCAGTATAGAAGTGCTAATGGAAAATGCCAACAGCTTTGTGAATTGCCAGACCTGGTGCAAGGGGACACAATGCAAAACCACTATCTAACCTGTAAGCTGCACTTTTGAGGTGGCAGCTCAGAGTCAAACCATAATTTATTCACTGCTATTTATAGTAAATATGTGCTAGTTCTTGTCTAATGTAAAGAAACTGCCAGAAACTAGCATGAACACTATAAGTGGAGCATGCTACCTTTAATATCAAGAAATTCAAACGTCAAATTTAAATATAATTGTGCGCCTCTGAAGTAGAAGGAAAGTGTTTTCTAATGAAAATTAACAAACTCTGCCAGCAATTTTCACACAATATATTCTGACACTTTGGAAATCAATAAATAATTAGGATGCTGGTCAAAGCCAAATAGGCACACCAAGACACCTGTTCTCTCCTTGGCCATTTTCCCAATCAGAATATTGTGCATGGAGATTTGTTATTTATAGGGGCATGAAGAATTGGCATATTCTGTTTCACTGTTCAGGTTTTGCCATTTTTGTCTTCATAGCAACCTGTGTTGTTGTTCTACTAGTGTCAAAAAACAGAGTTTAAAACATCAGTTGGAAACAACTGCAGACAAGGGGAAAGGACCAAGCTTGTTGACTTAGCTACATGATAAAAAGGAGATTCAGTACCAAAAACAGAAAAAGTATAGCATGGTTAGCGCTTAATCTTATGATGCAAACCACCCCATACATAAAATGCATCTAAACTCGAGTAACATAGGTTTTGACTACTTTTGAATAAAATGCTAAGCCTTAAACTGTTTTAACAAGCCAGGACATAGGTCAAAGACTATGATTTGTTTTACTTAAATGGTGGTTTGCTTCTCTTCCCACCCACCCCAAATCTCTTCTGTTGGTGGCTATCACAAATGCTCCCTCTTTGAGACTGGAGTGATCTCTGTGGCCATACCATATGGCTTAAAGTTTGCTTTGAAACAAGAGCCAACCCATCCCATGTCAAGCATCAACAGCCAAACTGTTTTGGGGAGGGTTCATCTCTTTGTAAGCTGTGATAGTTCACCTGCAATCTCATAGTGATGGGTAACCACAAGAGTATAAGGACTTTCAACAAAAAGTGACTAAGTGTGGACTGAAGCATTGGGCAACTAGCTAATCCATATGTACCCACAGAGAAAACTCAGCTACTCTGACAGACACACAGAAGCATTCTGCCATAATGGGCACCATTTTGGACCTCCTTCATTATGATGTATCCATAAATGTATCCTTCTTTATTATGTATCCAGTAGCCACTTTGGTCTCCAGTGTTGCCACCACAATAGCTCAAAGTTATTTTATTGCTTGGTGCAGTCCAGTGAATATGTTATGTTTACCATTTTGAGTTTGAGAAATCATTCAAGACCTCCCCCCATGGAAACAGGTAACCCCAACTTGGTAGCTGATTTCAAGGTCAACATATTTTGCTACGAAAACACCTATTGTTTTATCTTTTACTATTCATATGTTCAGTTCCTCTGACATTTTCTTCTGGAAATGCTCAATCCTAAGAACCCCATGAACATCAAAGCTCAGTAGGACCCAACCATACAATAAATATAACTCTCCTTAGAAATGAGCAGTTCACAAACTGCAGAATTCAAGGACCCAGAAGGAAAGGTTAATAATCCAAAACTTCCTAGGTGCAGAAGTGGCTAACTTTTTTGGTCTGCAGGCTGCTTTCAGCCTTGGACAACTTCCTATGGGCCATATGCCAGGAAGTGGGTGTGGTCAGCTGAAGTGGGTGTGGATTATGAAGAATGCTAATGTGGAATTCAAGTTCAATAGCAGAAGATACAATACATTTTACTGTATGTTTGACTCTGCAAACATGCTAATGCATAAGAGCCCTTTTTTGCTAAGACGGTACAAGTCTCAACAAATTCATGATCCTATTCCCACAGCTACATTGTCTCCGGAGGGTTAAATATTATAAACAGAGCTGACTGTATAAACACATAAATTGTTTTTCCCATTAATACATGAGATTTTTAAATTATTTTTGACAGAGAAAGTAAAGACACAATAATGAAACGGTGACTCAAGTTAGTGGCTTGTATCCAATACACTCCTTCACAAAGAAAAGAGAGCTTTCCCTTCACCCTGCAATTTTTGTGCCACCTCCCATTCTGTTCTGGAGGGTCCCCAGTTCTCCAGAGCAGATGTTTGTGGAGGAAGAGGCTGCAGGGGCAAGTGGTAAAAATGGCCTCTCATAGGATATAAGATGCCTTGTACATAGCCAGACCATTGGTCTGACTGCCAACAGTTCACCAAGGTTTCAGACAGAAGTTTTTTCACAGCCTTGCCAGGAGATGCTGTGAACTGGATGTGGGATTACCTGCATGCAAAGCACGTACTCTACCACAGAGCTACAAACAGTCTCACCTACTGAGCTAAAGATTCCCCTCTATTCCATGAGTGAACCCCCAAATGTAAGGACCAACCAAATGAAATTTGTTAGAATAAAGGATAAAAATTGGGGCAAGAAACTGGCTTATACAGCTAAGGGTTGTAGCCAAACATGTCACTCAGCTGACAATAAGGCTTGCATCAACAGAACTAAGAGAGAAGCAATATTTGACCATTCCCCATATAAAGGACACCCCAGAACAGATTTACAGGGGGTGCAGAGGGAGGGGGAATCATTGCATATTGCTTCCCTCCCCATTTTACTGATGGAAACCTCACTCTCACCTGTGTCCACATAGCCCAGCACTTTCTACTTGATTAGCAGCAACCTTCCTGGTATTGAGGTAGAGATGTCTTCCGCAGCCCATCTACTCAGGGACTGCAACCTCTGACCTTAAACATGCTAAGTTTCTGCCAATTTTTTATCATTATTATTCATAAGTGTATTTCTTAAAATGTTTCAACCTCTAAGAATTGATTCTGTGTGGTTCTTAAAATAAGAATCTTTCAAGGCCTAGATGGGAAACCTCTGGCCCACAGACCCAATTAGGCCTGGAATGGGTCCTAATTTGGCTTGTGAAGCTGTTCCTCACAAACAGCCCCTCCTGCCATACACCTGACATCCTATGGGACTCAGTGTCTGTCCCAGGGAGCCCCAATGGGATCAGCTGCACTGCAGTGGAAAATGGAGGTTTCAAAGGTGTTTTTTGTAACTGGCAAATGCCTGTTTGGCAGAGACAACAACCCGCTTTGAAGGTGCGTTCCTGTGGCCGATCACGCACCTTCAAAGGAAATTGCTGTATGAACGGTAGTTTCAGCAATCTCATTAGAACACTGACATGTGTCATCTGCTTGACATCATTGCAATGTTGTGTGACTGACCAGAAAGTGATCCCACACACTGCAGGGAGTAGGGGAAGTTAGAATCCAGCCCACTGACTGGATCTACTTTCCTACCTCTGATTCACGGGGTCAACAATTTTTAGGTTCCAGCTTCCTCATCTGTCAGTGAGGAATCTGCCCAAATTAAAATAAAGAAGAATAAAAACCTAAGCTAACAGAGGATATGATTATGGTTCGTACCAGTCCAGGGATCATGCAGAGTGAATTTGCTTCACAGTAAAATTTTCTGAGATTTAATAACATTCTGTTTTTAATTTTGTGGAACTTAATGGGTTGGACTAAGACCCATAACGTGCTTAGAGCAGACCCAATGAAATCAGCAAGACTTAGGATACTCAATGGGCCTATTCTAAGCATAACTTTAGCCTGGATCTAGCACCCTGAACAAATATTTGAATACTGCTGTTCAAATACTATAGGTGTTTAAATTTCTCACCCCTTTTCAACTGTCTCTCTATTGGTGCAGAATATTTCCACAACAGGCATGTTGCCTGGATTTTGAATTATTAGATACCTTGCATCCAGCATGTGACCGGGTTTTCATTAATGGAGTTGTGGTGCACAGCTCAATGGCTTCTGGCTCATGGAAGATCACTGTGGGGAGAGGTTCCTTCCGAAGGGTTAAGACATTTAGCTTAGTCTTCAACATGGTCTGAAAGTGCTAAATGAAAACAGAATAAAAAAAGACAGAAGATTTTATTTTATTTTGCAGAATTTATGTGTTTAAATTCAAGACAACGAACGTGAAGGTCAATATTTCTACCTGACTTGTTCTAATGATCTGTGCAGTGACATGGAAACAATGCTGGAAGGAATGAAAACTGCTTTAAGTTCATGTAAAAATCCAAGATAGGGAGGTTTGAAATATATGCTTTTCTTTTTCATTTTTCAAATTACAAATGAAGAGAGAGAGGAAGAGAGAAAATACATAACACAGGACATTGAAAAGACTGGTTTGGATCCAAACCTACTCTTGTGAAAATAGAATGCTCTTGAGCTCATGGAAGGTAGCCCTCTGATTTCCATCAATTCCCCCTTTCCTCTGTAACTTCTATGCCGTATCTTACATTGTTATGCCATATCTTACATTTCTGGGGCCACAGAAAGCTTTAGTGAGGAGGAAAGGACAGGAAAACCAGACTAACTCCATTGGTAGCTCTGCCAAGAGACTCTGCCATTCCCTTGTTTCCTTCCTTCTGAGGTGATTCCACTAAACAGCTGAGCAGCCCTTCCAATGACCTCCCCCATCCCTACCCCACGCCACTCCTCTGATCAGCGGGAAATAGTTCACTAGCGGGGGAAATAGGCCTGAGAAGACTGGGGACTAGGGAGAGGTTAGCAAGCCAAACAGGAAAGCCCTGTAAGGCTGCATCTGGTCCCAAAACTGGGAGCTTCCCACCTCTATCTATGGTCTATATGTATATTTGTAGATAAATCAAATATTTCAAAATACCATATGTCTCCAGCAAGCACTCTTCCAAAAGGAAGTCAAGCTCAAGATTTTCACCACCCATGATAGTGGTCAAGGCCAGATTTAGGTTTGATGAGGCCCTAAGCTACTGAAGGTAATGGGTCCAGCTGTCCTTTATCAACAACAAATTGTTGCTGTTTTTTGTGTTGAATTATATGCTACATGGTAATTTATGGACCTTATAGGTATCTAAAGCCATTTGCACATAAATAAAACCGTAGATTCTGGCGTATAAGATGACTTTTTAACCCCAGAAAAGAGGTTAAATAGTTGGGGGTCACGGAGCAGAGCCCGCCCACTGCAGCGGCGGCTCTGAAGCAGCTGCAGCCGGTGGCGGGCTCCGCTCCACACAAGGCGGCTTTCTCCCGGCACGGAGCTGCCCAGCATATTAGGCAACTGGGCTTATAAGATGAACGCCCAAATTGCAGCTGCCAATTTGGGGGGTTGTCTAATACACCCAGTCGCCTAATACGCCGGCATGTACGGTATGTATTTTATCAAAGTAATTGTTGAACTGAAATACAGTTAAGAAGAAGTATCCAGATTTTTTTCTTTTAATTTTTTTGGGGGGGCCCCAAGAGAGTGGGGCCCTAAGCTATAGCTTGTTTAGCTTATACATAAATCCGGCACTGGTAGTGGTAAGCACATAACATTATGCATTCTCAGGTTCACTTTCTCCAAGAATTCCCACCATTCAAAAGGGCCTTTAAACTACCAGTCCATCACCAATCAACACTTTATTACGGTCACAGACCAGCATAAGGAAGGAGGGGTACAGTCATTTAAAATCTACTTTTAAAAAACCACTAAAATGAGTTAAAACAGAAAATATATATAAACGTCCATAAGAATCCAAAAGAAGCAAAGAAAGTCTAAAAGAAGGGTTAGGAACATCAGACAAGAGTGAAAGAGCGCAAAAGGCTAGTATATATAAGACCACAGCTATCAGTCTACAGAGCACTCCAATATGAGTGCTCATTATATCTAGTTTGTGGCACAGGGCATCAAAGGCATGCTGCGTGTCTGAGTGCCCATGCAATCTACCTGCACTGAATAACTCTCCACAGAATATACAGTTCAACGTGCAATATGTGCATTTCACTAAAAGCAATGCAGCCCCAGCAGGCAGCATCCACACTTTGGTGTGCATTCAAGTTTAAGCCTACAAACTACACGGTTATATCTTTTCTCAGTGTCCCCCATCTATTTTTGTTTTATGTAATCACAGATGTCCCATGGATGCTTTATTTACAAAAGCCATGTAATAAGAATTCTTTATACAAATTTCATGGGAAGTTCTCAGCAACAAACAATTAGCATACTTTACATAAACACAATATTGGTGACCCTGGCAAAACAGTATGAAAAGTTCTTGAATGAAAAGTTAACCACAGACCAAAATAAATAAAGCTATCATAATGGTAAGTGGTTACACACTTGAAAAACCATAAACATGAAAAGTGTGCATAAGTAATAGCTGCTTTGCCATCCTACTCATGTATCATGCGACAGATTCTACAATATTTGCTTACTGTTTGTGCAAGCAGTTCAGTTTCCCAAAAACCTCCACAAAAGTAAGGAAATGATTAAGGTTGATGTTAATCCAATACACTGAAATTAGTTCGAAGATATTTCCCATCAAACTTTCAAGTCAGCAGTTGGTACTAAATTCTTTCCTTGTCACACATTTTGCTTGCCATCCTTTTCTCATACACTTGGCTTGTTCTGATCTTAACTTATATGTCCAGACCAGACCTAATTTTGGTAGTGATTCATAAGACTGAGAGCAGCCTTTGCCAGAGCCAGGCTGCATAACTGCTAATATAATCTTCTCTCATCTTCCCAATTTTAAACTAGAAAAATTATATGGAAGAAGATTCGGAAGCAAACAAGCACATTTATATTATCAGTTAGTCCCTTGTTGAACTTCATGTGCTTGACAAAAACATTTCTATTTCAGCAGGCATTTTTAAGCAAGCTTTCTGTTTTATTATGATTTTAATTGATTTTGCCCATTGAATGATTTTTGTAATCTTATGAACACTGCTTAAAAACTTCAGTGATCAAGCGGTATAAAAAACAGTTGTTGATTATTCTTTCTAGCAGTGCTGAAGGCGTATGTGCACCTTTTGTATGGTGAGAGCATTTTGTATGGTGAGAGCATATGCACCTATGACCAGTGCCAGTACCAGGCTATTTTGCACCCCAGGCAAGGCACATAAACACCCAAAATGCTAACATAAGTTTTCAAAAACATTTTCTGTGAGGAGTAAATTGGGCAGATGGGACACTGTCACAGTACACATGATGCACATACATTATATGCTACCTGAAATACATAGTTGAGGCAATAATTACTAATTATTATTATTATTATTATTATTATACCCCACCCATCTGGCTGTGTTTCCCCAGTCACTCAAGGCAGCTTATAGCACATAAAAAATTGTAAAACATTAGACATTGAAATTTCCTGATACAGGGTTGCCTTCAAATGTCTTCTAAACGTCAGATAGTTGGTTTATTTCCTTGACATCTGATGGGAGGACGTTCCACATGGTGGGTGCCACCGAGAAGGCCCTCTGCCTGGTTCCCTGTAACCTAACTTCTCGCAGTGAGAAAACTGCCAGAAGGCCCTTGGAGCTGGACCTCGGTGTCCGGGCTGAAAGATGAGGATGGAAACGCTCCTTCAGGTATACTGGACCAAGCTCATTTAGGGCTTTAAAGGTCAGCACCAGAACTTTGAATTGTGCTTGGAAATGTACTGGGAGCCAACATAGGTCTTTCAGGACATGTGTTATATGTCCTCAGTGGCCACTCCCAATTACCAGAATGGGCAAGGATCAAGGAGACAAGTAGTCAGTTTCACTCATCCAAGCAGCCTGTCTACATCCTCAGAGATAACAGATTGGAACTGATCCCATGCAACTTCACTAGACAGGACTCTAGCACTCTCCTGCCCTGGTCCTGCTACCACAGTGGAGTCTACCTCTTTCCGAATCTGAGTGACTTTATCTGAAAAAAAACTGCAAAATCATTGCAGGAGATCTTGGGGTCCTCACCAGGCCCCAGTGGTGGAGGTGGTTCCATTATTAGACTGCTACCTAAAAGAGTCTCCTGCTGCTGCTTTCTGCAGATGCAATAGAGGCGGTGAAGAAGGTCCTCTTCGCCATCACTATCACCAATTGCTGGCTTGACGTTCAGCTCTAACCCGTGTTCAGTCCGATTCAGAGTGAGTTTTCTGCCACCAGAAACGGGCATACACCTGCTCCTCCAATCCAGGAAGAAAAGCAGCAGCTGCTCAGCATTAGTATAAACCAGGCAGATGTCTGGGATTTGAAACATGAATATTAACTTATTTTGTAGGTTACTACCCACAGCAAATGTGTTGACTTTAATTCTGACTTTGAAAAGTTGTCCATTTACCTTGATAGTCAATGATAAAGTAATCACCAGTTCAACAGAATGTTTACATAATATGAACATTTTTTAAATTACGTAGCGTTTCATCTTCCTCACGTTATCGACTCAGCCAGATCACATTTCACATACTTTGGTCTTTTGCTACTACTTTGATATGTAAATATTAGCCCCAATATCACAGCCAAAGATATTTAGAAGGCAAACTGTTCCAACCAATACAGTCTTGCACAATGTTATAAAGCCACAAATGAAGACAGGTAATATGTTGCAGAGATAAGTATAGCCAATTAGAGAAGAGACCTATTTGTATAGCTATGCTTACTTTTCAGCTATATAGCTTCATCTTGGCAGACTGGCCAAGGCAACCATGGCACAACCTTATTTAGGGAGGGGAAAGGAAGAGGGAGATGCTTTCTGAGGAGATTAGGGAGGCAGAGCTGCCAAGCTACTCCATATAAACACTAAAATGGAGTCTGAGGTGTCTTCCAGCTTCCACAGAAAAAGAGAGACCAGCTTCTTAAGAAAACTAGCTGTTAATTCAGGATGTAAAACTACTGAAAACCAGCCTCTCATCAAAGTTAAAGCCATCTCCCCGCCCCACATACTCCCATTAGAAGGTAGATTTCCTTTATGGTCTTTATGGATTTTAGATGCATCATCCATATTTTCTTGGATGCCTTAATTTTAATCCCTCAGATCACCATCAGAATTTGGGTCGGGGGGTAGAAGCAGGTTTCTACTATTGTATTACTTTTCTATAGGTTTTGGCAATAATCTAAAGTAGTGAGTTAATCTTAAACAAGCCCAAGATCTGGTGCAGCACATGTTGCAAGATACATATGCTTTCGTATCACTCAGGAACAATAACTACAACTCTATCAAATTCAATGAAATGTTGGAGTGTAAAGTTGCCCAACAAAGTCTGATTGTCTTGAAATATACATGCTTTTCCAAAGTGTTTCTGTAAATCCTCTAAACATGCATATAGAAAGATTACTGGATCAGATCTTTTACCATACAGAGTCATGAATCTCTCAGAACTAGTGAGCAAAAAGTTGGGGGAAAGAGATAGACTAATGCAAAAGAAGTTTCATGTTATGTGGAGTTCTGGCCCAGGGAGAATATCAATTTCATATTTTCTCAGTTACAAGCATTACGTAACATTGATTTAATTTTCAACTATTTTATTTCAGCATTTATAGTATCAGCTGAGAACAACCACATCTGATTATCAGGGCGGGGGGAAATTATCAATGAAGTTGCTATTGGAAACAAATGCAAATGAACTGTTTTCTTCAAAGCTTCTTCATGCATCTCTTACTAGTCATCACAAAGTAAAACCATCACTTTTTCAAGCATGGGGAAATGAAATTATATTGACTATCTAGGTTCAAGGAAGAACAGAATTCATTTGTTTTAAAGCCCCATGCTTCTAAAATGGTCTAATATTTGCCTGATGTAATATAACACTTCACCATTTTGCAGAACAGCAAAGGTCCAAATAGCTTAAATAAGTATGCGATCAGCTTAAATAAGTATGCAAAACTTTGGGTAAATAATGTAAAATAAAAATGAGTGCCCAACTATGTTTTACTTCTTGTGCCATACAAGTTTCAATTGCACAGCATACGTACAGCACTCACATTGGTACTTCTTGGAACTGGGTTGTGGGAATAGTGCATGAAGATGAATAGGTCCTTATTTAAAGCGATGGCTTAAACCTTAAGCATTAGCAGCTCTGGAAGACAGACCACCTCAGCTCCAGAAAACAATTTGTGGAATTCTGCTGGTGACTTTGAAAAACCATCTAAAAATGGAGGTAGCATTGTGAAGCATAGAGGGATAAAGAAAATGTTAACAGGCTAGTCAAGATTACAGTTTCTCAGAAGCCTCCCAAAGAAGCCAAATTAGGAAATCACGCAGAGATCAAATAACTCTAGCTAACATAGATGTAAGGCTACATCTCTGTTTAGGGACAAGTTGTGCTATATGATGCTGCAAGATATGCTTGGGTGTCTGAAAACCTGCTGAGGGAAGAGTAGTTCCTAACAGCTGGGGCTGTATTGTATTATATTAGGAGGGTCTTTTTCTATAAAGAAATTCACTGGCTAGGATCCAGAGTCAGAGAAAAGATAAAAGAAGAGAAAGAAACTGACAGCACAAGAAGTTGAGCATTCTCAAAGTCATCTGCTCTCCAAGCCACTGAGAAAAATAAAATAACAACATCCTGGTAAACTCAGGTGAAGGCTATGGTTCAATGAGTGAGAACATGAGCTTATGGTACTGCGTGTTGCAGATAAGTGTTTAATAGTTATTGTACTTGTTTCAAAATCATTAAAAATGTGTTAAAAAAATAATGTTTTATGATCCTGGACTTCAAAGAAACTAAAAGTTTGGGTGGGCGAGTGGTGTAACTTGTATTTGTCCCTGTCACCAAGTGTCCCAACTTCCCCTTTTCAAGGAATGATGCATTAACTTGAAGAATCAAAGGACTAGAGGAAATTGCACCAGGAGCTCCTGCACAGAAGACCATTCTGCCAACACCTCCCTGACCTGAGGTCACATTGCCACTCACTTACTCTAGTCCCAAAATGCTGATGGGACCAATGTCTTCCCCATGCCTTAAGAGTATCAAACTGCTGAAACAAGCAAGGCCTAATTAACCAGAAGCACCTCATCCGCTGGGGTGGAGGGTGGAACTAACCACCCAGACTGAGCTGTAGACTTATTTAAATCTTAGTCTGAGTTTATCTATTTCTGAAGTGCAACTAGTGAAAGGTCCACTCCAAGTTCGAACTCTGAGAGGGGAGTTTGGAAGCCCATAGAAACACCTTTGTTAAATCAATTATTATGAATGCCCTTACAAGGCTGTATCTCAGCCAACACAGCACACCTTGGAGAACCAGTGTGCAGTAGTGATTACAGTGTCAAACTAGGACCTGGAAGACCAGGGTACAAATCACCACTCAGCCATGAAGGTCACACCTTGGACCAGTCACTGTCTCTCAGCCTAACCTACCCCATGTACACCAGGTCCTTGAGCTCCCTGGAGAATTGGTGGGATATAGGTGCAATAAATAAATAATAAGGTCCTTTCTCGTTAAATGAACCAATGCTGCAACCCTTTTCCTCAGATGAGTCTCTTAAAATGCTGCAAAATTCAGTTGTTCCAGGGAGGTGACACTCTTGCCGCTCCATGGTGTTGGATTCCACCTTGCAGCCCTTCTGTCCCCCTAGCGGTTGTAGCACTTTAAGCAGACACAGCAAAGTCTTTTAACACAAACCTTGAAAGGTTTGTGGCAAGTACCATGACAGAAGTGCCAGAAATCATGGAACATTCATTGCTGTGAATGCACAAACAAAACATGGTGGGCATTTATTGAGTTATGTGATAAATACAATCTACCTTCGACTTGCATACCTCTGATCACCCACTGCCATTTCTGGATATTCAAGAGACAGCTAGTAGGAAGACAGAACAAAATTATCTTAAAGTGGATTTTTAAAAAATGCTCTCTTAACTGTATTTTGTTGACTTTTCCAAACACCACAAACCATCAACTCTCCAGAACACTACGACCTGCCCACATTTGTCTCTTCACCAGGTACTTGTGGGAAGGAACTTGCTGCTAAAAGCAAACAAGGCTAGGCAACTCTGAACTCTCTGGAAATAATTTCACTTATTTTGGGAAGGGGGTATCAAAAGAAAGATACACAAGTAACAGGCAAAATTGGAGCAGGTGAAGGGAAATGGAATAGAGCGGCTAGAACACTGAACATCAGCAAGCCAGGCTGCTACATTCTGTTACAGGTTCCACACATTTTGTGAATTTGTATACCATCCTTCAGCAAAATGGGTCTTGGAGGAGTTTCACTGCTGTACTTGAATGAATCATATACAGTGGACCTTCCGGATACAAATCAAATTCATTCCGGGGGTCCGTCCGCAACCCGAAAAGTCCATGGGCAGAGGCACCACTTCTACGCATGCGCGCGTGGCAAAACCCGGAAGTATACACTTCCATGTTTGCCACGCTCGTAACAAGTTACGTATCCAGAGCAGTACATAACTAAAGGGTTCACTGTACAGGAAATGTCCCAATACCTATAGCAAAGGAAATGGCCAGCATAACATGAACATTTAAGAAAGGATTGCAGGGCCTGGGAAGCTGTATACCTGTGAGCCTCACTTAATTGATGGAAAGCATTTTAAAGGCCTGAATGCTAAATATAGAATGTGATCTGCTTCCAAGTTTCCCATGGGCATCTTTCAGGCTGGGAGAAAACAGGCATGCCTGAATAGACCTTTGCTCTGATGCAGCAGAGCAGCTCTTATACACTTTGAAATGAAAGTTTTTTTATAAGAAGTTGTTTCTGGTAAGTGGCCCACTAACAGCCTCTAGAAATTACTGCAGCAATAACCTCAAACATTATTATTTTTATTTTATCCATAAGTACTATTAATGAGTCCAGTTCAAAGGTCCAAATCAATGGACAGGCTTCCATTCATTTCAGCATGTTTTAAAATTAAGCTCTCAATACTATGAGTAGAATCTAGACTAGAAGGGACAGTCTGATGCCTCTGGATGCTGGCCTGCTCAAATATAGTGGATGTATTAAAACTGGCTCCAGAATGTCTCGTCTTTGGCACCGAAAGAAGAAAGTATTTCATAGTTAGCCAATTTACTTCAGAGCACTGCCTGTGCATCTAATATCCTTACCCCCTGTCCTCATCTAGGCTACGGAAATGTTGTCTAGATGGTTTGCCAAAGTTATACATATTTGAAAACCATTCAAATCTCGACATACTCCAGGAACCATCAGCTTAGTAAGTGCGGAAACAGTATTTACAGGACAGCCATATAGGAAAAAACAAGTTGTGCTTCATTTCCAATCTGTACATAGCTGTTCCAATCAGTAAAGCACGTCTCTGATGTAACCATTTACTGGCAAGTGAGCTGCAAAACTCTGCAAAATCCTCACTGAGAAGGACTTTATATATAGAGTTACAACTGCATCAGGGTTTCATGATTATGCCAACCACATAAGGGGTTTTCTACATATATTCCTGAAATAACCAATTTCCTGGAATGTGCTGCCCCCATTGCTTACTGGCTCACATAGCCATAGCTCCTGGATATAGAATAAAATATTTCTGCCCTGGAAGACTTCCAAGTTGCTTTAATGAAATTTGCAGTTCATAATCTTTTTAAAAGTTTATGATAATTTATTAGTTAATAAACTTCAAAGCTGATATCTTCACTGTGGTTCTGGAATACTGCTTTAGTAGCCAAATCCATACTGGGCTTTCTAAAATGCTAGGATTCTTAACAGCTAGATTTTAAAATGCAGCTTTAATCATCTACAATATGCAAGGGTACATGTTCATAATTATTCCTTATGGGCTGAGAAACAAAAAGATAGAAAACCCATGTTTATATGTGAGCAGCAGCAACTTATAATTTGGACAGACTGAGTAAAAGAAAGTGCTGTTTATTAAAACCATAAACTTAGCTGCAACCAGTTCTTTCACACACACAACCAATACAGCTTATTTAGCTCAGGAATTGTCTCAGTTCAGTTTAAACTGTCCATTCAGCAATTCTGAGAATGTTTCACAATACTATGGGCTCACTTATTCATAAACAAATCATTAACATTCTTGACATAAATCCATAGTTTGCAGCAATTCCCAGCTATGATCATGTTTTACTACATTTGCTTGGCCCTTTATGAATGGCAGTTTTGTTTGATATAAACCATCTTCAAGGAACAAGACCACAAATTATGTATTGTGAGAAAGTGGTCGGTGTGAACAGCTTGCACACAAACAACGGCCTCATTATCAAGGGTGGAAGATGCCAGGAAGTTCTCCTGCTCAAGTTACCTCTTCTGTGCACTTCACACTTCCCCACTCAATCCAAATGGGGTCATATAAGAGAACATCCCTGTGGCAGTCCTTACAGTTCAACTGCTAAAATCCCAAGTATACTCTGTGATATTATCATGGCAAACTTTCTGAATTGAGTTATACTTTGGATTAAAGGATCAATGAACACAATTTCCATGTGTACTCTTTCTTCTTCTTAATTTTACTACCTAAAGATCTCTCACAAGAAAAAATGGCAAAGATCTCAAAAACCAAGTAGCATGCTGCCATAATATCAAAACTTCCCACATCTTTAAACAGAGGAGATCCTGTTCTTTTCTCCACTTCTAGGCATCTCTGGGACCTCCCCTTTGCTGCCTTTCCTTCTTCTGTGTTTTGGTCATGAGTGGGGCATTTTCCAGGAAGTGTGGGAACTGGTGTAATGTGCTTTTCATAGATTAGAATGCAAAACAAACAAACAAACAAACGAAACCCTTTAAAATAAAAAGTTACTTCACCTATTGTACAAAAAGGTAGTTTGAACCCAGTCATAGTAACTCCAAGTTTCAATGTTCAGTTTAAATGGCCATTTCTCAACTACTTAAAAATAACAGAGTGTTGAATAATACTGTTTGTAAATGAAAAACATACATATCTAGTAGACTGATTACATAGTTTGAGATAGAACCTATCCAGCAAAGAAATATTTAGCTCAGTAAAATAATAAATTCAGGGTCTTTGAGAAAAGCACTTGCCTAAACAAATGTTATACTATTAAGACTTCTTCCTGAAAAAGCACTCTTGTGTATTTTCTGATTTTAATAGCCTCTCCATTAGGGATATAAGAAGGCATCATTTTCCTTTCCACCATTTATTCATCGCATGCAGCACTGTTTTGTTCCACCCAAAACTGCATAATTCATCTTACTGCCTGCTGTGGCAGAATTACTAACTTACATAATTTACGTAACTAATTATGTAAACTACATAAGTTATGCTGTCATTACATTACGTTATTCCACCCCATTCATTTCAATGCAAAGGAAACACAATGCAAATTGGGAGGTGGATAGAAATGGAATCAATTGCGAATCATTTACATACTGCAAACAACAGCAGCAGCAAATACCAATCATATTCACTGGATTGATTTCTGTTCTGGACATGGAACAAACAAACAAACATGGCCATTTCTGTTTCCATTTCAGTTTTCGTTGGAATTCTCCAATCTCCGTAGTCATCACTGGTGTAGCAAGGCTACTTACAAACTGTTGGGGAAAATGGTTTTTTGAGTACCCCTTTCAAAAGTGTTATAAATGTTATAAAGTCTACTTCCACCCCAACACAAATCTCCTCCCAGTCTAGCCATCCACACATTTGTGTGGAGGTCTGAGGCAGGGGAGCATTCGCACATAGACCTCTACAAGTAGTGCCTCCCTCCAGTTTTAGAAAGATGTCACTAGACTACAATGCCCATCATCCCTGATCACTTACCATGCTGACTAGGGCTGATGGGAGTTGGAGTCCAACAACATTTGGAGCGCCAGTGGCTCCCCATTCTTGTTCTACAGCCCTGCACAAACACCTCCACAGCTCAAGCGTGGATGACAGGGATGGGGCTACTTTCTTCACTTGTTACCACTTCACGTAAATAAAGAGTGAAAGGGACCAGTGTGCGCACATTTCTAAATGCAAATCTACAGTGGCGAAAGGAAATCTGCCTTTTCCCTTTCATTCTTTTAGCATGTAATTAAAAAGGAGGCACAACAGAGCTTGGCTGCTCCATTTTCTCTCCCAGCTTCTGTTTAAGAAGCAGTCTACATATGAAGTTAAGATGCCCATAATGCTTCCTTCCATCCTATCCCTATGTTCTAATAAAGGCTGAAGGGAAATACACTGTAAATATTTATTTTTCTCACAGATGTACTGAATACAAGCAGAGTCTTTAAAAGGAGAGGATGTGATCCAGTGCCAGCTCAAGCCAGTACAAAGACACTGATTGACTTCAACAGACTCAAATTAAACTTTAGAAACACCATGACTTCCTCCAACAGAAGCCATTTTCACATCTTCTATTCATTGAGTTCTGCGGTGCCTTTCTGCATTCCTAAGGCCTCTACCACCCTCAAAGCAAATAAATAGCAGACATGGGGGGGGAAACATGTACTTATTGATATGAATTTACTAATTACAATGGAATGCCAAAGTTTACCATATTTCATAGTAGCCCACTGCATGTGTGTGCAGGCATGCACACATGTTGGGCAAAGAGAGGAGTCTTGCCAGATGTTGGGTAAGACTCATTTTGGTTTCAATATGCACATGAGCAGCAGTTTTTCCAAACCTTTTATGGGTGTGGCAGAAGGTCCATATGTACTCAGCCCAGAAAATCCTGTAGGCATCCCATATTCATAGCACATCATGGCAGCATCAGCCAGATGTTTTTTCCCCTCCTAAAGTTAACCTTTTTTTTCATCTTTACATATAAATTAACACATGCAAGTTTGGACCATTGACTCATGCCCCAAGTTTTTTTAACTTCCTAGCAACACCCCTGCATGCAATCTTTTTGTTCTTCCATTCACATTAGCCACAATTAAGCCAGGAAGTCTCTAATTAACTGTAGTCTCCCATTTTGTTCAAACCAGGAAAAGCTTCATAACAAGCCAGGATACTAAGCCAATTTCAAACCATGGTTCTAGGTCTAGCAATACTGTGCATGCCCAACACTGTACTGCACTCCACAGAATATATGATAAGCTGCTGAGAATTCATGTTCCCATGCCTTTAAGATCTGTTTCAGATGCTATGAAGATTCATCACCAGTGAAATTAAATCACTTCATATCCAGCTGGGGGCAGTTCTCCAGGGGAACTTGTATATCTCCTCCTGTGCTTAGCTGTGCAAGCTCAAATCAATTTCTGTGCAACTTTTGAAAGCATAGGAGCTCTCTCAATGTCTGGATTTTCCATCTTTCAATAAACCGTCTTTAATCTTTTCTGCTTGATAGGATTGAAACTGTTCCTTAGTTTAAGATCAAGTCATCTCTAAGGCTTTTCTTAAGAGAGAGCTCTAGATGTTTAGTTATATCCCACTTTTCCTTGAATGAGCTTGGTTCTTTCCCAACCATTTTATATCCTCAACCACTCTGTGAAATAGGCTAGGGTGAAATAGAATGTCTAAGCCAAAATCACACAGTGAGTTCTGCAGCTGAGCGGTGATCTTAAGCTTACTCCTAGTCCAACATCAACTGCTATGCTGCACTGGCTCCCGTTATTAATTTCTTGTTCAGCTTTCAGACAGCCATCTTCTCCAGTGCCTTCAGTAAGATAGATAGGTTCATTTCAGACATCACCTGGTTTGGAGAACCAAGAGCATGCCTCAAACTTATATGCTTTCTCCTTGTCTCTCATTTGCCAATTTTCTGCTTTGCCAGCATCTTAAATTGTTGTGACATCTTAATCAGAATCTGCATCTGATCTAAGTCTGCATCTATATTTGAACTGTTTTTAGAAGTTTTATCATTTGGTACAACTTTTATCAGGCATTCTGGGGATGGCACTAACCAGTGATGTTCCTAAACCAAGGCCTGTAAATCCATTCCAAACATTAAAAATAGAATAGGATGTAATAAAATGAGAAAGAGACAGAAAGAAGGAAGTCAAAAGTAAAGTAATAGATAAGGATTCTGTGCCTGCTAACATTCCCCCCCCCCTCCCCATTCTACTGTACAACAATGTTTTTCTCCCCAAACCTGTCATATTTTATTACTTTCCTGACTGATGTTATAAGAGAGCTCTTCAGAAATTTTGAAGAGAGAACACTACTATAGTATACTTGGACAAAATTCACCATGCCATGTAACTGCAAAGACTATATCTTAGCTTTCCTTAGAAGCTGGTTATTTCTTGAGCGGCAGAGCTATTGTGTTCTGCTTCAATCCTCTCCATAGACATGTGGTACCTATTACAGATTTTATAAGAAAATAAGAGCATGCAGAGGGAAAAGCCAATCCTGCTCAGGCTTTTGTGCTAGAGAATAGCCATTCCAAACCATTGGTGCAGCAGACATTCCTTGGTAATTTTCATTTTCTGATTATATGGTTCTCTGTCGATGCACGGTAATAAGCACTTAGGCTACCCTCTGGATAAAACTTCATACATTAAAAACTAGGCAGGAGCTCCTGCTATGTCCTTGAAAGTCAGGGAGTACTCATTTCAAATAAATGTATTAATTGAAAGCTTTAGTGGCTGTAGCTGCACTGTACTGGATGTTATAGTATCAGCTAATGGGCTATTCCAGCAAATGTGAAAAAACAAAAAGAAATCTCAGAAACCAAATGGTTGCTTGTGCTGCTAAAGAAATTTGTACTGGTGGTTGTTTTTAACTTGCCTTCTTTTCTAGGGCATTTTCAGTATAGTTCAACTGGGAGATGCTGTGTTGAGTTATTGATGCAGCCAGGGCCAGTGTTCTGTGTCATCAAAGAGAACTTTGCACATTGCCTCAAAGACTGCTAGGGTTGGACCCAGGCTTGGTCAACTTTAGAACAGAACCAATAAAATCAACATAAGTTAGTCCAATTGCCTTCAATGGGTCTACCCTAAGCATTATTAAGTCTGGATCAAACCTCTAATATTTAGGAAAGAATACAAGACCTACTAGAATTCTACCTGCAGAGCTAGAACAAGCGTTATAATTCTGCATGAGAGTTTCTCCACATGGAGCAATTGATCCCCTAAGATTTAGAGTTATTAAAATCTAGGAGAGGAGCAAAGAGCATTAATTAATACAGTGGTACCTCGGGTTACATATGCTTCAGGTTACATACGCTTCAGGTTACAGGCTCCGCTAACCCAGAAATAGTACCTCTGGTTAAGAACTTTGCTTCAGGATGAGAACAGAAATCGTGCTCCGGCAGCACGGCAGCAGCAGGAGGCTCCATTAGCTAAAGTGGTGCTTCAGGTTAAGAACAGTTTCAGGTTAAGAACGGACCTCCGGAATGAACTAAGTACTTAACCCGAGGTACCACTGTAATGCAATATTGCAAATTCCAGCTACATCTCTCAGCCACATATCTAGTTACCGTATAATATATTGACAAGCAAGACCAGCATGTAGTACATGCTATTATAATATATTCCATTCTTCAGATAGGCATGTGCATATTCCAGCAGGGACTCCAGGGAATCTGAACATCACAAGAGAAGAGTGGAGAAACAAGTGTAAGCTCCTTTTCTGAAATATTTTATATGAATTTTCCCTTGGAAAATGTATCCATATTGTGTGATGTGAAAGGATTGGTCATCTATTTTAACCTATTTCAGTACTTTTTAACACAACGAATAACTCTTATGTTTGTGTAATCTTCTGGAGGAGCAAATTCTGGATAACAGCCATTTATTTCAGTGGGATTGATTTTGCTCTAGCAAAACCAACATTAACATTTGAACTATTCATATACAAGAGGCCAGGGTTTATTCCCGAGTGACCACAACCACATCCATAACTCAGTTGATAACATTTTAATTCAGTCAGTAATTGCTGCCGAAACTTTAGTTTCATTCAACATAAGCTTTTCCAATGCCAAGCCACACTCGCTTAGTTTATCTTGGAAAGCTTCAGATATGCCAAAAGCCTCAAACCATAACAGAGAAACAAAAGGTCAGTCTATTACTCTCCAGACAAACAGAAGAAACTATAGAGCAAGAAAAGTTGGAGATACCTTGTCTTTTATTGCCTATGGTGCACACATGCATGCACACACAATACATCCACTTAAGCTGAAGCTTGATGTAAGCAACCTGTCTTATCAAATATAAAATTCTCTATTACATCCCTACCTGAGAACATAACTTTGTTTATTCAGTAATGCAACCACGTCCTCTCAGCCAAACTTTCTGCAAGGAGGGCCTCTGATGCTATACCAAGAATATAATGCACAGACATTCCAACATTAAATGTAGAATTACTTAAAAATAAGGCCCAGTCCATTCAATCGAACCTACTTGCAACTAACTATGCACAGGATTGCAGTCCTTGGTGTATTTAATGTAATGTCCATTGGTCATTTCCTCAATTTTCATCAGATGTTTGACTCCACTAGTTCCCTATAGACCAGCACCCCAAATCTGCAAACTATTTTGCCAGCTTGAGTAGCAAAAAGACCCATTTTCATTTGGGAATAAGTTTCCAACTCAGTTTCAGCAAACAATGGTGAAGAACTCCTGGTGGAATGGGCAGCACTCCAACTTTCTTGGAGGATTGATGAAGAAACAGATGTACTATAAGGCCACTATAGGAATAGCTCAGGCTTCTTCAAGATCCCAGTAGTTTTTTTCAACAATTTGGTGGGTCTTCCTAGAGAAACAAGAATTTCCCCCATGACTGAATACACTATCCCTATGAGTTAAAATGTTTTTCAAAAATGAAAATTATGAAGTAAACAAGCATTCCGGTATGAACAACCTATATTTAACACTTGACAAGATCGTGACCAACAGCAAAGGTAACAACCCCTTAATTACTCCTGTATCCCAGTAACTTGGTAAGAAAAAGAAAATTGTACAGCCGTTGTTGATTCCCCCAGATCCTGACAACATAGGAAACAGTTCAAGAGTCAGTACAGAACAAGACTTTTTACAGAAGCAACACCCTACAAGATACAGCAAGTTTCCATACCCATAGTAGGAACTGGCATGAATCTAGAAAAAGACCACAGAACAGTGGTAGAGCACATATTTGCATGCAAAAGATCCCAGGTTCAGTCCCTGGATCTCCAGACAAGGCTGGGAAAGACCCCTGTCTTAAACCCTGGGGACTGCCACCACTCACCTGTGTGCCTGTCTATGGAAATCAAAGGTTAATTATACTCACTTCTGTAAAATCAGGCCAGTACCTGATAATTGAAAAGACTTTTTTTTAAAAAAAGGCATCATCTATGGCCGCTCCCACCCCATTTATTGTTGAGGACGGAGCTGAGCAAGAGTTACACACTATCCAAATGTTTGTATATTTAAACTATGTACCTCTATCTATGAAATGTATCTACTTCTGGAGCTCATCATCTGACAAATACATTTGGCTGGTACACTATATTATTGCTTAAGTACTAGATCCAACAATAACCTTGTAGTATAGCCCAAGTTTTGAAATTCTGGAACTGCTAGCAGCTACCTGTGTATATTTACTGTTATTTATATTAACCCGTCAAAGTAGATGAGTTGTTTTTATAATGTAACAAAGACGGTAGAGATAGGTAAGTACTCAGAGAAACCTAAGATCCAAGTTTTGGACATTTGAGAGGGAGGGACGGAAGGGAAAAAAGGAGGGAGAGGCAAGCACTGTGACTTTTTTTGGAGCTAAAGACTAAATGATAGACTAAAAAATTATAGGATACTGGTTTGAATTTTTTTAAAAAAACAGGTATAATTTCCAGGTACTATTTTTCTGTGTTTAACTTTTCAAAATTACTTAATAAATGCTGCTTGCTTGAGCCTTTTAAGACAACCAGCATGTGTACCTGTTTTAATCCTATAAAATACTGGATAATATGTCAACATGATCAAGCTGTATAGCAGCAAGCATTTCAAAATGTCCATTGACTGCTTCCATGTTATTCCTTTGCCCGTTGGAAGGGAGAAGGAAAGGAAGGGAGATGACCTTCTGATATTTGGAAATGTCATGTTTAATGCTAAGATTAAAGAGCCCTTGCTGAATCTCAGTTATAAAAAAGCCAAAAAGACTAAACAAGAGAAACTATTTACAGTGAAACCTCTCAGCCATTCACACTGTAGATGGTCTGAACCATCTGATGCAGACACTTGCAAAGAAAGACAGTCTGACAGCTGCAGTACCATGGAAAGCTCCAAGTGAACAACTTGCTCTGAGAAAGGCTAGAGGTAGCCAGGACCCTGTGAATCCTTCTATCCTATCAACTCCACTTAAGCTCCACCCTCTTGTATAAAAAATGCAAACTCTTATGAGTGCCATGCTCTTGGCCTTAAATAAAGCACTTTTCCATTAAAAGGTTTCCCATGCTGTTGGGTAGGGTGTGAAGGAGGTATTTGACCCATCAAGTGACTTGGACTCAGGGAAGGGCATCCATAAAAGTCTGGGCTTAGGTTCTACTGGCTCCTAAACACCAGTCCTAGGGCTTAGTATCAGGAAGCCAGGTCATCCCCCAACCACGGCTGCAGCAGCATCAACTCAGCTATATCTTGAGGTCAAGGCTGGAACCGTGATAGTTGAGGGCCAACATTTCTATTATAAAATGGAATATAATATTCTCTGGACGCACATCTTCTCATGCATAGAGACAAGTTCAACATACATCATCATAAAAATTGGTTAGTTTTATAGAGAATGCCACTCAACATCTGAAACTGGCATTCCATCAATAGGTAAAGGTAAAGGTACCCCTGCCCGTACGGGCCAGTCGTGTCCGACTCTAGGGTTGCGTGCTCATCTCGCTCTAGAGGGCGTGAGCCGGCGCCGTCCGAAGACACTTCCGGGTCACGTGGCCAGCGTGACGAAGCTGCAGCTGGCGAGCCAGCACCAGCGCAGCACACGGAAACGCTGTTTACCTTCCCGCTATAAAGCGGTACCTATTTATCTACTTGCACTTAAGAGTGCTTTCGAACTGGTAGGTGGGCAGGAGCTGGGACCGAACGATGGGAGCTCACCCTGCCGTGGGGATTTGAACCGCCGACCATACGCTAGGCACTGAGGTTTTACCCACAGCGCCACCCCCGTCCCCATTCCATCAATAAACATGCCAAAAACCCTCACAAAATATTTTTTCTTTCAAAATAAAAACCACATTTATTAGAAAACTTTAACAGATTCAGATAATTAATCTCAAGGCCACACATGACTTTTTTTATATTTAAAAAATGAAAGACAATGTATCACTGAAGACACTCTCCACAAAAAGAAGTCAAGGACTTCTAAATTAACAAACACCATTATTTCACACACAATTGTAGCATTGACTTCAAATGACCTCTTTCTGAATTCAGTGCATTGCAGCGCAGTGGACTACATGACCCTCAGTGTCCCTTTCAAACTTACAATTCTACGATTCTATGTGAAGCTCAATTAGGGCTTTAAGAGCTAATGAAAACTGGCATACAAACAAATATTCTAGGAATGAGAAACTATTGTCTGAGAAAGGGGGGAAAGAATACAAGCTTTCCTCCTACCTTCTTCATATAAACCAGATACTATAGAGAAATGAAGAAAGCAAGATAGCCCTGTGTCCGTATGTGTGAAGCCAAAGATGCACTTTTATCACAATTCTTTACAATCCACAATTACGTAATGAGTCTGTTTACTGAAAGGAAAATGAGGGTGTTAACAGAGTTGCTCAATCCTTGTTCTTTTCTTTGCACATAGGACTAGGCTTGCAAGGACCACACTTATGAAGATTAAAGAGGTATAACCACTGGCAGACATACAATGCCAACTAGTAATTACCAGATTAAATACTCAAAGTTATTTTGAAATGTATGTTTAAAGTAGGCTAAAGAAGTGCTTAAAGGAATTCAGTTTGAGCATTATCAAATTCTGGATAGAAAATAAAAGCCTGCATAAGATAACTAGAGTAAGAGCCCACAAATTGCCCACAGGAGGAATGATCAGTTTCCAACTCAATTTAAAGAGCTGGTGGAAGATAACTCAAGAATGAGACAGAAGTTGGTTGGTTCTATTTATATTCTTCACTCAACTGTCCAAATCTTTGTCATCAGCATTTATTAGCTGCCTTTCTAGCACTTAAGGCAATATACAATGAACCAAACTGAACAAATCTAAGGGGGGAAAGCCCAGAAGGAATAGCACCAATAAAAAGAAAAAATAGCCAGAACTAAAGACCAAACAGAAAAGATGTGTTTTGCACCACCTCCTGAGAGACAATACAGAAGAACTAAAGTCCTCAGGGCCTTTAAAAAACTTATCAAAAGCCTAGCTTCTCACCATGATCAGACATGGTGTGGAACTGGGAACTCAAAGAAGGGCAATGGTGACAACACAAGGAAAGGCATTTGGGATCAAGCTGCAGAAGACTTTATCCATGCATCAAGTGAAGCAAGTTCTTGCACACAGAAGCTTGAGGGATAAAATTGCTAGTCTTTAGGGTACTATGATTCTGTTGTATTTGCTGCATGAGGCTTTAGAATGTAAGGTAATTGTGAACTTTTACAAGCTGGCTCTTTCAAACACTGAGCCCAGGTGGAAATCAACATCCTACCTTTGTACAAAAGCACAGAGAATTGTTTAGCAGTTCCTCTTTACACGAAGTACTGTGGTAACTCTTAAAAATACTTAGATATTGCAACCAAATTGTTCCTATGGTTTCAAAGTATTTGCCATTTGATATTCAAATAAACAAACCAAAACTTTAAACTGCTACAAACTGACAGTCCAAGTCTCTCCATGCCTACAACTTAGAGAAAGGTCTACTCCCATGTGAAAGCTTGCAGCCTTAGACAATAAATTATTCAGAACTTTAATTAGCTACTTTCAAAGAAACCATTGATTCCAATCATTAGATGAACTGTTAACTTCATAAGGCAATATGCTTTAAATGAATCTCTTAAGATCTGCTTCTCAAAAGTCTTTCTACAAAGGACCCACAGACTTTCATTTTCTTTGGTCACACAGCATTTCCCAAATTTAGCACTTTTGCAGAGCTGTTCATTTTCTGCAAAGTATAAACAACACAGAAAAAGGGCACTGCCCAAACCTAAGTGGTGCCAGATGAGCTGCTCTGAATTCACAGAGCTTTGTTTTCAAGTTTCCTAACCCAATACTAACTCAAATAGCAAGAACAGTCTAGGAAATAAAGTCCTTTGAACTTGTGAGAGTAGTCAAACAAAGAATCAACTTCCCTCACGTCCCACACACAAAAATCGATGTTAAAGAGCTGTTTGCTTTCATCTTTTAGCTACAAATTGTAGCAACACTTAAGTTTTCATTGCAGTATCAGTAACGAAGGTGCATTCCATGTTAGGGATCATTAAGAAAGCGTCCAGAAGAAATTGTCAAGATTCAACTTCTCTTCGAAAACTGTGTACAGTTCTCAGTCTGGACCCTGTGTGAGAGACCGGGAAGTGGAGATCTCTCCGTGTGAGAGGCTGGGAGAAGCCTGGGATGCTTTCAGGTGAAAACTGGGAGGACAAACCTTTCTATGTATGGGACAAAAGTTAAAACTTGTGAGAGAGGATTCTGAATTATTCTCTCTCTTCTCTCTTTTTCCTTTCCTTTCTTTTTACTATTCTTTGTGTAGATTAGCTTGTCTTTTACTGTATTGTGAAAAGCGTTAATAAAACTTTATCCAAAAGAAAGAAAGAAAACTGTACAGTTCAAGTCACTGCACCTCAAAAAAGTGTATTGCAGAGCTCTAAAAGGTGAGGAAAAGGCAAACAACATGATTAGGTTGCTGAAGGAACTCCCCTGTGAAGAAAGGCTACAACATTTGGAACCTCTTAATTTAGACAATGGGACGTGGGTGGCGCTGTAGTCTAAACCACAGAGCCTAGGGCTTGCCGATCAGAAGGTTGGCGGTTCGAATCCCCATGGCGGGGTGAGCTCCCGTTGTTCGGTCCCAGCTCCTGCCAACCTAGCAGTTCGAAAGCACGTCAAAGTGCAAGTAGATAAATAGGTACCGCTCCGGAGGGAAGGTAAACGGTGTTTCCATGCACTGCTCTGGTTCGCCAGAAGTGGCTTAGTCATGCTGGCCACATGACCCAGAAGCTGTCTGCGGACAAACGCCAGCTCCCTCGGCCTATAGAGCGAGATGAGCGCGCAACCCCAGAGTCGTCCACGACTGGACCTAACAGTCAGGGGTACCTTTACCTTTGATTTAGACAAAAAGGTGATGAGACTGAGAGGTATATAGGGCCAACGCAAGACATGCTGCTACCTAAAGCAAGACCAAAATCTCCCCCTACTCCAAGTCAACACTTGGGATTCCACAGAACTGGTACTTGAATCTTACTTCAACACTGGTTACTGAACAGCATCCTCCAACACACCCGAGGACAAGAGTTGGCTCAGAGTAGGAAAGGCAGGTCACACTGCACACACAGTGCTGTCCTCCAGTATTCTGCTGCTGCTCCTTGTCTCACAGCAACTGCTACCCAAGGTAGGGCTGCCGTAAGACCAAGTTTTCCTGGACACATCCGGTAATCAGGCTGCAAAAGTGGCATCTGGGTTCATTTTTGCTGAATCAGCAAAATGTCTGAGTAGGGCGGGGTTTTGCTTTTATTTAAAAATCCTTTACAAAACCCAAGAAGAGCCTCCAATTTTTTTTGGAGCTCAAGAACTCTGTCTGGATTTTTTCACTTTTGGGACTATAGCAACCCTAACCCCAAGGGGACTGTCTCTTTCTACCTAATGGTAGAACTGAGCCTGGGTATATAAAATAATACATGGTGTAGAGAAAGTGAATACAGGGAATCTGTTCTCCCCCTTTCCATAGTAATAGAATTCAGAGTCCTCCAATGAAACTAAATGGTGGGGAATTCAGGGCAGCAAGAAGGAAGCAAAGTTAAAACTATTAAATTTTCTACCGCAAAATGTGGTAATGGCAATGAATTCAGTTGAATTTAAAAGTTGAATTATGGCAAAGTCATGTTGGATAAAGTTTATCAGTGACTATGACAAACCTAGACAGCATCTTAAAAAGCAAAGACATCACCTTGCCAACAAAGGTCCGTATAGTTAAAGCTATGGTTTTCCCAGTAGTAATGTATGGAAGTGAGAGCTGGACCATAAAGAAGGCTCATCACCAAAGAATTGATGCTTTTGAATTATGGTGCTGGAGGAGACTCTTGAGAGTCCCATGGACTGCAAGAAGATCAAACCTATCCATTCTGAAGGAAATCAGCCCTGAGTGCTCACTGGAAGGACAGATCGTGAAGCTGAGGCTGCAATACTTTGGCCACCTCATGAGAAGAGAAGACTCCCTGGAAAAGACCCTGATGTTGGAAAAGATGGAGGGCACAAGGAGAAGGGGACGACAGAGGATGAGATGGTTGGATAGTGTTCTCGAAGCTACCAGCATGAGTTTGACCAAACTGCAGGAGGCAGTGGGAGACAGAAGGCGTGCTCTGGTCTATGGGGTCTCGACGAGTCGGACACGACTAAACAACTAAACAACAACAACATCTAGCATGATGATTGTATAATAACTCCAGGTTCATCATCTAGCATGATGATTGTATAGTAACTCCAGGTTCAGAGGAAGTATGACTCTGAATGCCAGTTGCTGTGGAACAACAGCAGGAGAGAGCTACTGTGTTCATGTCCTGTGTATGAGCTTCCTCTAGGCATCTAATTGGCCACTGTAGAAAACAGGGTGCTGGATTGGATAGATGTTGGTCTGATCTACTTGTGGTCTTAGAAGATAGCTTGGAAATGGAAATTTAGATACAAACATATCTTTCTCAGTGGAATGGTAACAAGCAAGTCTAATGGGAAAGATGGTAAATCACAGAACTGTAGGAGCCTGAGGATCATCTAGTCCAGGGGTAGTCAACCTTTTTATACCTACCACCCACTAATGCATCTTTCTTGATGGTAAAATTTCCTTACCGCCCACCAGTGCTCGATGGAAGGAGGATTCAGCTTGTGCCGTAGAACCCCCTACCGCCCACCTAGAATCCTGAAATGCCCACTAGTGGGCAGTAGGGACCAGGTTGACAACCCCCTGAAATGCAGGAATAAATGATGTGGAGACCACAGGTTTGCCACCTTTAAAATGTATGGCTGCATTCTAATTCATTATAATGTGCTTTAAATATAATGGTTTTAAACTGTAGGTATTGTCTAAGATGCTATATAAAAACATGTAAAATGAATGTTAAGAACATGGATTACCTGTGCCCAGAGAAGGGCAAAAACGAATTTTATATGTGCCTGTGACAGACTTCTCACATTAATAATACTGATGAATTTGCATTGGATGAGCAAAATCTGAAGATCAGTATGCAGTTAATTGATTTCCGATGACAGTTTTGCCATGGCTGGGTGGATCCGATAAGTAACTCTGGAATAATCCTCCTGAAGCCAATTAGGGTGTTCTGCAGTAAATAGAGGATTGTATCATACAAATCCCATTTTACCTGAGAAGATTAGTAAGTATTGCTTATTTATCATCAAATGTAATGTAGTGCTGAGAGACACAGAAAACATAGCTTAGTAATGAAGTTAATTCTCCAATTTAAAAAATGGTATTTTTTGCAAGTATGTCAACAACTCATCACTAAGCTGTCACCACAATAACAGATACAATTCTAACATCTGCTAGCTTTGAACACGGAGCCATCTGTTCCAAAAGCCATGAAAACCAACCTAACATTTACAGTAACTAGTCTTATTACATGCAACCTCCAGAGCAGTGAGATACTATCTGTCTCAGGCCTTTGACACAGACAGGGCTATACATTTTAAAACTCATGTTTTGAGAACAAAATCAATAAGAATCCTGTAAAATTCTGAAACATCTTTTTTGTAAGATTATTCAATCCACTGCACACGCCCCCAATCCAAGTTGTATGTTTGAGCCACAAGAAAGAAAAAGGTTTTTCCTCAAAACATTCCTCCACTCTTCACATCATCTCAATTAAGAACAAATGCAACCTTAAGAGAGAGAAAAACTGTGTGGGACTTAAGATCTAATTAAGGGTGAGAGGCAGACATGTTCAATTTCATCTTTTGTCTTACAGCTTAGATAGTATGAAAATAAATAGGAAGCAACAGCAAAAACAAAGGTAGTATTTTCTCAGCCAGTACATTGATTACTCTGTTAACATCACACCATAAATATATAATGCACTTCAATCCATACACTGCCATAGTTAGTTAATTCACACATGCGAAAGTTCAAGATTAAATGCAAAGCTACTGGTATTTTCTAAGTAAGGATGTTTCTGCATGTGTCTCTGTATCCCATCAATGGGTATTCCTTCATACTACCAATATTAACACGAGAACCTCTAACAGGCATCTGCACATTGTTTAGTATTTCTTTTAACAGATTAATAAAAGAGAGATGAAAATACAAGCTTAGAGAAAGGAAACCCTCACCTTTAACATCCATGCACAAATACAAAATCATCCAAGTTATCAAAAACTTCATTTTAGGCACTCAAGATCCAAATAAGTCTAAACTTAATGCAAGAATATGACAAACTCTCAAGCAGTGGTATCAGTTATAATATCTTTATTATTTTTCTCCAAAATAAAAAGTCCCTGCCATTCTAGACAAGAATTTGAAGCCACCTATATCAGTCAGCAAGGACTGAATTGTTATTATTTTTCAAAATTCACTGCTTCCATCCTGGTTATAGGAAGCCCATTCTCTGAGCTATAACTGTGCTAGCAACTACAATTTTATACTACAATTACTACACTGTTCTGTACATTGTTTTCATCACCTGTTTTCCTCTAGTAAAATATTTTCTCATTCCAAACCAAGTGCCAGATTTTTAAAAAAGATACAAACACATATACCATCAACTAATTTGTTCTAATGCAATAGAACAAATGAAGGCTCCAATGTTCCAATGAAGGCTACAGCACTTATGTCCATTTTAACACTACCATTGTAGCAAAGCACTGCAAACACAATCACTCCTTCTGGGACTAGGAACTGGCTAGCTGCCAATATCACAGCTGGCTGCAAAGTTAGAAATGAAGCTGTGGCTCATCAGAATACCTCAGTCTTCAATGACAGAGCCACCATGCGGTTCGTGCCCTGGCAACACTACAAAGTTCAGTGTAGATGTACCCTGGATATTATGATGTTTCTAGAACTGTTGTCCAGACATTATAGCATCCCAAGCAGAAGTGAAACTGAAGCAGCACTTTGCTTTTTCCACTACAATGGCTGACAGCTGAATGTGAGAACTGAATCCAGAGAAAAATATTGCAGCTCAGTTGGCACTAGTCACTGTCTGAGGTCATCCATGAAGAGCTTTTCACAAATGTGAGTGTTTAAAGTGATGGATATGCATATCTCAACCAGTTCTATAAATAATTTGCAAAGATGGTTTGTGTCAGGAGTTCAGCCTACACTCGAGTAGGACCCTGGCAGAGACACATGCCTGACTGGCATGTTCTCTCCCTCCTGGTCTTTCGTTCGGGAGCTTCAAAAGCTTTCTTCAGCCCAAACATCACAGCAACCGATGCCAACTGACACCGGCACACTTAGGGATCCACAGAGTTTGCACAGCATGCGCGTGACAGACCTCAGCAACTCAGCATTTTGGCTAATCTACTTTATTTACATATAAACACACATGGAGCACTGCAAGATGGCTCCCTCTCTCTCTAGCATCAGACAGCAAAGAGAAAAAGAACAAAGGACAATAGTCCCACTTCACGGAACACAGTAACACAAACATCCTGTCTCCGTCACGTCCCACTCTGTGGAGTCAAAACATATACCGTCATGTGATAGACAAAAATCCCATGACTGCAATCATGGAGCAGGAATTCTAACAGTTTGTAGTCCTGTATCCTTCTCATTGTTCAACCATGTCATGAGCCTTGAATCTAGCAGTTATCTGAACAAAAAGGCTGCAAGGCCACAAGATAGGGAGACCATTGCACTAGGGGCTGAGGGACAGGAATAGCTTGTGGAACCTCTCAGACCACCAGGGCCTATAGGGACAGAACTCACGACCCTCACAGGCACAGTCTCCCGAGTCTCAAGAATGAGATGGCGCCCACTGCACAGTCCAGAGAAGCAGGTAATGCACCAGGAAGAAGACTGTGGAATAGAGGTGAAGTTCCTGTCCTCAGGACAGAGGGTTGGTCCTTTAAGGCTGCAGAGTTCTCTACTTGTGGGTGGAAGCAAAGTCTTCAAAGGCCTCCACCTAGTGTGTGATCGTATGAAGTGGGAGGTCCATTTTTTAGAACAACGCCCCCCCCCCCCAATACACAGCACTTTTCTCTTGGTCAAACTTATTTCCAGTATCATAGCCTGGCTGGGTGGGGTATGCATTTGGGTGTAAACAGCAGACAGTAGAAATGAACACCCCACAACAATGTGCTCCTTTGCTCTGAAAATCTGGCCTCCAACCCACATTTTGGACATGATGATAGTAAGCCAATCTGCCCCAGTTGGGTATACTTTGCCTTTACATCAGTGCCATCAGTGGTCCATAGGCTATCATGTATTAGAATGAGGAAATTGTGTCTGAAAATAGGCAGGCGATCAGTAAACTAAAAATATTGAAATTCAGAGAGACCAAATCAGACTTGGCTAAACTGCATCAGTTCAAGTCTCCAAATTTTCTGCTCTTTTCTTTGAAATCAATCCCTCAGTTCCAGCTGCAGAAATAATATAACCTCCAAGGCACAATATCTGCCAGAGACCAATACCTGTGTTTAATATGTTCAGATATTTCTTTCTAGGTATTTGTTTTAGAAACTTTATGAAGTTGATATAGTGAAAGGGCACAGCAAGCTTTGTTTTGCCTTAGTTTCTGTGGGTCTCATGTTCCCATGTATATTTATTATCTTAAAATGTGAAGTACGTGAAAGGCAGGGGAAAAACTTCTGCCAACTCAGAACAGTAGGCTTTAAATTAGATACACTCACTATGAGTATGGTTTGCAGAAGCATTTGACAATTTTCACCTTCTAAAAGAGAGCTTTTTCCATTTTTCTATTTAAAAAAAAACTTAAAACATACTTTTCTATATTTTATCATCTTCAGATGAGAGAGCATCTATAGATTTGAAGCAATTTAATTTATCTAATTTTAATCTGACTGTTCATCCAGATCAACGGTTCTTATTTCCTTTTATTGTTAGTGTATGGCTTGTAAAAATTGGAAGGCATTAAACTATGTTTTATCAGAGCAGACCCACTGAAAGTAATAAGCATGGCTAAGTTAGAGTCATTAATTTCAATATTTTACTCTATGTAAAATATTCACCAAACCATGCTTAGGATATTTAAAGTTTCCAGGTTTAACTTCTGCCTACTCCAGTTAAAGGAGCAGCTAGGAAGAACTTTGCCTTGGAGGCCAGTGCTAGTCAGATTAAGCTAGACTTTGCCAAACTGGTGCCCTCTAAATATTATGGATCACAACTCCTATCAGGCAGTTGCAGTTCAAACCATCTGGAGGCAGTAATGTTAGCAAAGGCTAGATTATAGAACACTGCAGCACGTAGACCAGGCATAGGCAAACTCAGCCCTCCAGATGTTTTAGGACTACAACTCCCATCATCCCTAGCTAACAGTGGTCCAGTGGTCAGGGATGATGGGAGTTGTAGTCCCAAAACATCTGGAGGCCTTAGTTTGCCTATGCCTGACCAAGACCAATAGCCTAATTCAATATAACACAACTGCATGCCACCCCACCCCAAAAAATGTGATTCCATATGGTAAAATGAAAAATGAAACTGGGTCTACAAATGCAAGTTTTGGTTACAGGTTTGAAAAGTTGAAGACTACTGTTCTAGAAAAGCTTGGATGTAGGCAAGGGTCTGCAGTGGGGAGAGAAAGGGAAGGGGAAGATTTGGAGACACCCCAGACCAAAATCCTAGGAAATGTAAACAATACTAAACTAGATGGATGAGAAGAAAATGTGAAAAATAGGGCAGCTTCCTATGTTTACTCTCCAGTTTATCAAGTTGTGGTGTTCCTGCACTATAAAAATGAACTTTGGGAAGATTTTTTTTTAAATATTCCTAGCTCATTGACCAAGAGAAATGCTATGCATTTACGTGCCTTGAACACCTAGGTCTTAAGAAGAAACTTATTATGTTAATGTGGTCCTGAGCAAGGCAGTGTTTTTGAAAGGGATCAGTGTGACCCATTACCTTGGCCATGTTGCCCAGTCTTTCCCACAGCAATAAAGCGACAGTCTATTTCATGTACTGAAGCTCTCTTTGGAGGCTCTTTGCTCTGCTGAATAGAGATGGCCACAACACCCTCACTTTGACTGGGAGTGGATGGGCTAGGATCTCTGAACTTTTTTTGTAGCATTCTTCCAAAGACATGGGAGAGAGAGGAGCATCAGCTCTCTGTAGTGAGGACATTAGAGCATACTCATATCTTCCACGGCTCATTGGAACTCTGGGAGTTGTAGCTCTCTAAATCTATTTTCAGAAACTATGCAAAGTACTCAGCAGGAGATTAAGATGACACATCCCAATAATCCAAGACCCCAGTCAATTAAACACACATACCGCTTGCGCCATAAAAACTCTACTATGTTTGCCTGATTTGGGGGGGGGGGGCAACTTAAGAAATACTAGTATTTTCTTTTACTCAAGTTTTTTTATCTTAACATGAAAGTGCCTCAAAGGAAGAGGTTTTACCGAAGCATTCAGAAATGTACTTTGCTTCTATCTAGGAAGGCCAATAGAACGGAAAGAGTGGTAGACACACTCTATTACTGTACTCTTGTTCTGCAAATACAAAGTTGCAATTCACAGGTAGTTTTAAGGCAAGATCCCTTAAGAAGTTTCAAGGACATGAATTGTCACAAGGACAATTTTCTGTTTTAAAAGGAAATAATCATAACTGTTAGATACCTTTGAAATGTCAGTATTCTTTGAAACATCAGTATTTTTTAAGAGTGTTTGAACCATAACACCTATCTAGAAGAGCAACACAAATATAGTCAGTTGTACTACAACTCAGCAAAATATAATGGCATCTTTATCTCTACATTTTAAGATCCTGGTGCCAGGCCTAGATCTATACCTATTATCTACTCCAGATAATTACATGCTCAAATAAATGGCTTGAGGACTTCAGCTTGGAGAGCAGAAGAACCTTATTTTAAGAGCGTGTTTCATAATGGTAGATGATGGACTTCTTTTATAAAAGTCTGCTGAACTATTGCTCATTTCTTTAGTTTGCCAGCAGTTTTACATAACAGCCCAATTTTAGAAAACAACACTGCTAAAATGACAATGTAAAACATGAAGCCAATGTTATTATAGCCAAATATTCCCTGAACAAAAAGCTGATATTTCTAGTGTGGAAAAATCACAACGCAGAAAGCAAGCCAGAACAGTTTGCTTTCCAAGAGACATGTGCTTTGGAGCCCACACATACTACCTTAAGTAAAGCATACAGCATCTGAACAGCTTCAATAGGATTTTAATTATTGTGCATTCAGGAGACCAATACTCAATGGGGGGGGGGACCACACTAAAGAGTTACTGCAACTACCAGTGAATGATCTTCAGAGGGATACAACAGGCTTTTATTCCCAAATATTTGCAGGGAGAAGTCAATAACTCCTCATATTACGGCTGGATGAATCATAGTAAAACCACAGAAGCAACTTTCAAAAGTTGTCCCCGTATCAACTCAGCACCATCAAGACTGCAATATTATGTGCTCTAAACTCACACTCTAAACCCACCACTGTAAAACAGATCATACTTGCAGCAAGAAAACACCAGCATGTGTCTCCCATCCAATATACAGGTCCTCACACATGCCTGCCAACCTCTGGCCCTTCCCTTACAAATAAATATTCTGCATTAGCATATTTTCTTCCACTCATGCCTTCAAAACCATTCGGCCTCCAATACTGTTTTGTTTTGCCACTTTAGAATTTCTTCAAAGTTTACTCTGAGATTTAATGCAGCTTCGGTCTGCCAAAAAGTTTGTCTGTGGGATTCTGTAAATTTATCTGGCAGTCTTTCTGGCTGACCATCTGGAGAATATTTTAGAGCAAAAAAAGAGAAAAAAAAGACAGAGCAAGAGAGAGGAGGAGAGAGAGACCTGCAAGCAAGAACACCCCTGCTCTACCACTCCCCCCCCTCCCGCGCGCGCACGAACGCACACTCACTAGGGACCTCGATTCGTTTTTGTTAATGACTCCTCTACAAAAAAAAAAAGCATCACGTTCAGCCAACATGGGGGGTGGAAGGAGAAGGAACGGGTTGAGCAATAACAGTCTACTCTTCTATATTCCAAACCAGATCCCATCAACTCGTCGTTTGCAAGCAGATGTCAATGAAAATTCCTGCGCGCCCTACAAAACGTCAGTCCCTCGTTTCCCCGGCCAAACACACACACACACACACACACACACACACACACACACACACACACACACACAGTATGTTTCTTTATTAAAAACAAAAAAAAACCTTTTAGAAGTGGAATTCAACGATTTGAGGCAGAGGACTCTTTATAAAGAGTCAGGAAGGATTCTTCCTTACACATCTCACTCAAGAGAAGCTCCTTTCGGAGCCAGAGACGGATCCCCCCCCCGCCCCCAGAATCCACGATCTGCAAGTCATCTGCGCTTTTTGCAGAAAGGAGCACATCTGGAGTCAAGACTCCCCATCTCAGCCCCGTCCAGTCCGTTGTGGAATGCGCCTGGCGAAGGAGGAAAGTTGCGAGAGAAGGATCTGCCAGGCAGGCTCAGGCGGAGGAGGGCGCCAAGTTGTTGTTTTCGCTGCCCCTTACTCACTTCGCCACAAATATTGCAATCACATGACAAGAAGAGTGCGTCTCTCCGTCTCACCCCCCACCCCACCCCCCACACTTTCCCCGTCCTAATAACCGCCGCCTCCGGCACCGGCGGCAGCAGCCGCTTCCCCTCGCTTACCTGCAGTCTCTCGCTTGCCGGCTGCCACATATTTCTCCCGCTGGGACCTGGCGGGACACTGTTGCTAACGAGCTGGCTGTTGCGGAGCGGCTGCGGGTCTCTGGCCAGGCTCGCTCACATCTGCTCGGCGTGTGTCAGCTTGGGGCGAGCCGCCAGCGGGCGACGGGGGCGAAGGGCAAGCGCCGCCCAGGCGAGAGGCGAGGGAGACGGGTAGGGAGAGCGCTCCGGAGCCCCGGGAGCCCCGGCTACGAACTTGGGTCGCGACCAAGATGTCGAGCTTTGGCGCCGGCTTCCTCAGCGAGGCGAGCTCCGCCGTCCTATTGCGCTAGTCGCCTCCGGAGGCCCCTCAGCGCAGCAGAGGCGACGTGGGGAGGGGGGCGACCAGGCTCTCCAGGCCCCGCCCCGACGCCCGCCTCCTCGCTCCGCCAACACCGCCCACCCTTCGCTCGGGAGCCCGGCCTCGCTCGGGCGCTGCTGACTGGATTTGCTCGTCGCCTGCAAGAGGCTTCTGCGCGCGGCGTGTGACGCGCGAGTTGCTTTGGCGCGCGGCGGCCGGTTGCTTTGCCCACAGGCGCGCAGGGACCGAAAGCGGGCTGAGGGGAGGGAGGCGTTCATTTGTTGTTTAGTCGTTTAGTCGTGTCCGACTCTTCGTGACCCCATGGACCAGAGCACGCCAGGCACTCCTGTCTTCCACTGCCTCCCGCACTTTGGTCAAACTCATGCCAACCATCTCGTCCTCTGTCGTCCCCTTCTCCTTGTGCTCTTTCCCAACATCAGGGTCTTTTCCAGGGAGTCTTCTCTTCTCATGAGGTGGCCAAAGTATTGGAGCCTCAGCTTCACGATCTGACCTTCCAGTGAGCACTCAGGGCTGATTTTCTTAAGAATGGATAGGTTTGATCTTCTTGCAGTCCATGGGACTCTCAAGAGTCTCCTCCAGGACCATAATTCAAAAGCATCAATTCTTCGGCAATCAGCCTTCTTGATGGTCCAGCTCTCACTTTCATACATCACTACTGGGAAAACCATAGCTTTAACTATATGGACAGTTGTTGGCAGGGTAATGTCTTTGCTGTTTAAGATGCTGTCTAGGTTTTTCATTGCTTTTCTCCCAAGAAGCAGGCCTCTTTTAATTTCGTAGCTGCTGTCACCATCTGCAGTGATCATGGAGCCCAAGAAATTAAAATCTCTCATTGCCTCCATTTCTTCCCCTTCTATTTGCCAGGAGGTGATGGGACCAGTGGCCATGATCTTCGTTTTTCTGATGTTGAGCTTCAGACCATATTTTGCGCTCTCCTCTTTCACCCTCAATAAAATGTTCTTTAATTCCTCCTCACTTTCTGTCTTCAAAGTTGTGTCATCTGCATATCTGAGGTTGTTGATATGTCTTCCGGCAATCTTAATTCCAGCTTGTGATTCATCCAGCCTTTTGCATGATGAATTCTGCATATAAGTTAAATAAGCAGGGAGACAATATACAGCCTTGTTGTATTCCTTTCCCAATTTTGAACCAATCAGTTGTTCCATATCCAATCAGTTGTTCCATATCCATATTAGGGTCCTCAAAAGGCAAAGGCCATGCGTGTCTGGTAGCAGAGAGACGTCTCTTTTTTTGCGCACTGATGGCACCAGAGCCCGATGCAGGCAGAGCGGTGGCTTCTCGGTCTCGCCTCTGGGTTGCAGCCACGGTTACACTCCTTTCGTCTTGTAATTTTGGCTTTTCTGGTTGAGGGGGGGGAGTACAGGAGGTGCGAGCTGGTGCAACACTTGGGTGCATAAAGAAGGGCTCCAGCCCTGGATCCTGTCTGTACTGGGGGGGGTCCACTTTTAAGACAAACCCCAACTTTCTACCCTGAGCATGATGGACCTCCTTTCCAGGTTGTTAAAATGTCCCGAGATAATAGTTCACAGAATGTGCTCAAGGCTGCATTTGCCCTGGAATATCATTATGGGCCTCAGCTACCAATGATAAAAGCAGGCCAAACGATAGCCTCATGTTTGCATCGTCTTGATAAGCTATCCCAAGGGTTGCATGGAGCCGTTTTGCTGCTTCCTGGGCTTTTACTGCTGCACCACCTTGACCTAAGCCAAGGTCTGGTCTAATCCGTCATCAGAACTGGGACTTGCAGTTAAGCTCTCTCTGCAAAGCAACTACAGTACTCTATTCCGAACTTAAAAATGGAAAGCGTAATGCTGGTGGTCAACAAAAGAGGTTTAAAGACTGTCTCAAGACAATTTTTTTTTAAATGTAGTATAAACACCAACAATTGGGAAACACTGGCCTGCGAGCGCTCCAATTGGAGAACAGCCTTTACCAAAGGTGTCATGGGCTTTGAAGACACTCGAACTCAGGACGCAAGGGGGAAACGTGCTAAAAGGAAGGCACATTTCGCTAACCCTCACCATGATCGACTCCCGTCTGGAAACCAATGTCCCCACTGTGGAAGGACGGGTGAATCCAGAATTGGCCTCCACAGTCTTACAGACTCATTGTTAAAACTGTGTTTATGGAAGACAATCTTACTCGGCTTTGAGTGATTGCCAAACAAGAGAATGCAGTTAAGTATTGGAACTTGACCCTACAGGATAAGCGAAAGGCACTGGCTGAGGGATGTAGGGGACAGACTTATTCTCAACCTTTTATTTTAATACTATGTGAGTGAAGGATATTTGGTCGGCAACAATGCACCTCTCTTATCCCAACTTTTCAAATCCAGATCCTTTATATTTCTGAGCATGTCCAAACATTCCCACTATTTTTTATTATTATTATTATCTCACACTGTGGCGTTGAGAATTGTATAAAGTTCCTTTATTTTTCCTCTCCACAGTACAGTAAGCCTGCCAGTTATGTGGGGGCTTAATTCCAGGCACCCTGCCTAAAGCCAAAATCATGTATAATCAAAACACATTGGGTTCAATGGCGGGTCGAATTGCTAAAGTCATTTTTTCAAGAACCCTGCCCCCCATTTTTTTAATAAACAAATGCCATGCATGTAAAGTTGAATGTGCACAAGTTAAATGCACATAAATTGCAGGTTGTACAAGGTGAGTCTTTTAAAAGAGGCCCCGTGGAACATGTGTACTCTGTATCCATGGGGCCTCTTTTAAAGGACTCACTCTGTATATTGCAGAGGGATTCCAAATCGCTGACTTCTTGGTTCAGTTACTGCCAGCCCAAGTGTCCTGAACCCCTGGCCTACCTGGCAACAAGCCAGTATGTCATGTCCCCAGTCCAGGGTCAATCCCCATGCCCAAAGTCCTAACCGAAACTCAGTCCCGCAGAGATCCTGCAGCATCCAAACTGAGGTCCCTCAACATGGGCAGTTGAGCAGACACAGCACCTCACCTCTGCTGCCCTTTTGTACTTTGCATTCTGATTGCAACATCTGGGCTTGATGATGGATGTGACCCTCACCTGTTCCAAGCCTACTCCAGCTGAGGAGTTGCACACCTCCTCCCAAAGCTAGCAAGCCCCACCTGGCCAGCTAGGGAGCTGGGCTGTGGGCGCTTGCCTGCCTCAGCTTCCTGGAGCACCCCTCCCACTGCTCCACATGCCTCAGAGTCTGCCATGTTCATGGAGATACGACTCTGGTGATGGTCTGGTTCCTGTGCACTGACCCCCCATTCCCTTGTCATCTTCCATCACCCCGTACTTCCTACACCAACCTCTCCTTGCCCATCCTCAGCTTGCCCTGGTGTGTCCCAGTCCCGGCTACACCCCTCACCAGGATCCTCTTCCTTCTCCCCATTGTCCAGCCAGTTCATGACACCAAGCGTCTAGAAAAGTGTGAGGTGGAGACAATACTCTGCTTTGAGATATCACCATCCTCTTCACTTTAACACCAATATTTGGAGTTATATTCAACTGAATTGCATTCATAGTAGGCCTATTAAAATGAATGGATCTAAGTACTGTCATTATTTTCAGCATATTTACTCAGACTATGCTTTAGTTGGACACAACCCTTCATTTCTGATTTGCTGGCACATGTTAAAGTGGGTATAACATATACCCAGATATATGTTGAGATCATTTGACTGATTTGATTTGATTTATTGTATTTATATGCAAATTTTCATTCAAATGAATCTCAAAAGTGGCTTACAGAGAATAAATAATAATAACATAATGAAACAATCACAAATACAGTGTAAGTCATAAAATAATTAACAAATAATAAAAGAATTACAGTCTATAAAACACGATTAACAAAAAACAGCATCTAAAAAATAAAGATCACCATTATTGACAAGTCAATACAGTGTTTATAGATCATGTCTGGTTTACTCGTGAGTTTTTATTTTGAGAGTTGCTGTGTCCTTTCCTCTTTTAAAACCTTTAAAGGACCCCCTTCGGGCAGTTAAAATCCACTCAAAAATGTATTTTGAATTCCAATTTGCAGATTGCAGGTTTTTCCCCTTACATCTTATTTTCCTTAGGGAAGCTGCTGTACACAGGCATAAGAGCATCTATATATACAAGTACACATTTAAAAATCATGCCCCTGGATTCAACAAGATTTACGTGCAAGAATAGCAACATGCATCAGTTACATCTGGCCTTCCTCTTTATTTCAGAAACATTATGGACAGAAGAACAAAGGCAGAGAGAGAACTAGGAGCTTTCTGATACCCATCTGCAACAAAAACTCCCATCTCTCTCCTTCATTATGCAATCTGCACTAGTAGGTGAGAGTAACAGAGACATCTGCTGGTAAGCGATGCAGCAATTTCCCTTATTTGGCAGGACTTAGTTCAGGGCCCAAAATTCATTGTTTCCCCCCTAGACCACACTTCAGACCACACATGGAAATAAGCAGCAATCTGGCACAGGAAGCCTCGTCTGGTGTTGATTGTGGCAACTGTTCTCTTAATTATTAATTCTCTTCATATTTATTTTTTGAGGGGGGCAGTGGGGAGGCCAAGTTCAGCTTTTAGGTTTTAATACAGTAAAAAGAACAAGACCTTTTGCTTAATGCCAAAATTGCTTTGTTCAGCTCACAATGAATTGACAACATTGTAAAACTGCTATTATACATTAAACTTAAGACAACATGTTGTGACAAATTAGTTTTTTTATCGTTGTTAATAACTGCAGCAACATCTGCAACAACAACGAAATTAAACCATTTCTGATCTTTTGATTTAGTACCAGTTTGAAGTCACCTTTCCTGCGTCTTTAGCCAAAGCACAACAACATTTGTGGGATCATAGCTTTGCAGGATTAGTGCTTGCACAAATGTTAAGGTACTTCTTTAGCATGTCTCCGCTAGTGCCTGCCCCACGTAAAAGCTTTTCTGTGTTACACTGACTAATAAACCAGTCAACATCTGCAGAGAAAGGGGTTTTCCCATGATCTGGAGAGAACTGTGTGGCTGCTCTCTGATTTTGGAACA